TAAAGATAGACTAAGAAAATCGGAAACGAGGCGTTATGTCTTTAGCTTACACCTAAAGCCGGTAAAACCTCTCAAGGTAAAAGAAGATTAAAGCATGTATATATTCTAACCCCCCCGCAAGCTGGCTGGGGGGGGTAGGATTAAATTGTGTTAGACCTAATATTACTAAAAGGGTCAGACATTCTTTTCCTTGATATGCTTTAGGTATAAGAAAGTATAGCGCGCCTGGTATCGGTCCTGAACCATCTAATTTAAGTCCGTGATTTATCACAGGTTTCACAGATGCAGAGGGTTGTTATTCTATCACAGTTTACAAGGATTCTACGCAGACTACAGGTTGAAGAGTCTGTGCTGAATTTCTAATCGGGCTTCACAGAAAAGACGTAGGGCTTTTAAGAGAAATTCAAGCTTGTTTAGGTGGTGTAGAGCGGACAGGCAAATTTGCTAAAGATGCTTATGCTTTAAGGGTAAATATTATAGGTGAAAAGGTAAAAAAAAAAGACATCATTTTGATAGATACACTTTAATTTCTCAGAAACATGCTGATTATTTTCTTTGAAGAGAGATTATTATGATGATGAAGCGAAAGGAGCATATAACTCAGGGAGGGCTTTTAACTATTCTTAGTCTGAGGGCTTCTTTGAATTTAGGTTTATCTGAGGCTTTAAAGACAGCTTTCCCAAATATCATACCCGTTATTAGACCTAAAGTCGATAATATAGCTGTTCCGCATGGTGAATGATTAGCTGGGTTTACATCAGGTGAGGGTTGTTTTTTTGTTTTTGTAAGTAAATCTTTAACGCATGCATTAGGTTTTCGAGCCCAATTAGTATTCCAAATAACTCAACACCCTCGTGATAAGATATTAATTGAAAGTTTAATCTCTTATTTAGGTTGCGGTAGATTAGTAACTAGTTCTGATGGTAAGGTGCAGTTCAGAGTAGAAAAGTTTTCGGATAATTCTGATAAAATTCTGGGATTTTTAGGCAGTCATAAGATTCGCGGAGTAAAATTTGAGGATTTTAAAGATTGATCTGCTGTGGCTAAATTAATGCGAGATGGGGGCATATGACTCCAGAAGGGCTGGATAATATTGTAAAAATAAAAGCGGGTATGAACAAAGGAAGAGCTTAATTTTTCATTATTGACACTTCCCTTTGCATGTTTCATCTGCCAAGGAATAAAAATTCTACCGCTATTCTTCCTGCCCTTATTTTTTTTTTTCCTTTTTTTTTTTTATAGTTTAATTCTTACGTAATAATTAAAATATAATAAAAAAAAAGAGAAAAAAAATTATAAGCAGGAAGCTGGTGGTGTACTGTGTTTCTAGCATTAAATTCATATACCTTTTCACTTAAGGAGATTAAGTTTTTATAACCTGTGGTCCGCGAAGGAGCCCTCCTTACAAAGTAATGAGGGATCTGTAAGATAGAAAAAAAATATATTAACGGAAACGAGGCGTTATACTCTCAGCTTATACCTAAAGGTTAAGATATTAAATTTAATATCTTGTATACCCATGGAAAAGAGAACCAAGACATGTTATCCTACCAGAGTTAACACACGTAAGATTTATTGTTACAGCAGCTGATGTTATACATAAAAAGTGAGATTAGGTCCTCACTATTGTGTTCAATAACCAAACTCCGGGGAAGCCCTAAAGCATTAGTTACTAAACATTAGACTTAAAAGGGTCAATGCGGCTGAATTAATCACTCAGGTATAGTAAGAAAACTTCTGATTATTTGAAAAGATAATGGGTAATCGCGGATCTAAATCACCTCTTAGTAATAGACTTATAATTATTAATGTGTAAAAGAGCAACGAGTAGAAGGTTATTCAGTATGGATATCTAAGCACTGTAAGGTGTACTCTAGTCACCGGGAAACCGGCTCTGGGTAAATATTCAATAACCCAGATTAAAGTTAGCACAATAGCCTTTCTAATTTATTAAGACTTTAATTCCTGTTATGTTTTCAAAAAATATGAATATGTAGCGTGTAGCAGAACAGTTTTTGTTGTTCTTTTGTTAAATTTCGAGCTTAGCCCGCTTTGCTTTACTTTTTATCTTTTAATTTTATATTTATACTTGTGGTTGTTGTGATAAGTCTTAAATGTATTAAAGAGGAGAGGACAGGGAATTTACTCCTTGGTTTTTCTAAACAATAAATATATAAATAATAGATTTAGATAGATTTATAAATAGTACGTTTAGAAAGGTAATTGATAAAAAGAGAATTTTATGTAACGTCTTTTCCTTTTTAGGTGTCGTCGTTAATACCAGTTATTATAAAAAACCTACCGTGTCCTTTTTTTCTTTTTTTTTTATAAAATAGTGTTTTTATAATGCTTCTTATTAACAACAAGGTTGATTGTATACAATCCCTCCCGTCTCTTTTTAGTTAACTGTAAATATAAAATAGTGTTTTTATAATGCTTCTTATTAACAACAAGGTTGATTGTATACAATCCCTCCCGTCTCTTTTTAGTTAATTGTAAATATAAAAAAGATAAAAATTGTTCCTTTATTTATTACCTATAAATATACAAGTACAAAAGCTACCTGCCGTTTCTCTCCCTCCTCCTCAACCGGTTGAGGAGGTAGGAGAGAAAATAAAAGAGGGGTTAATAATATGATAACTTTGTGTGACGTCTTTCGCCTGTCCTGCTTTAGGTATTAAATGTGATGCATAAAAAAAAAATAAGTGTAGGCTACTTATTAATTGTGCAATAAAGAGCCAAACTCCGGGGAAGCCCTAAAGCTCTAGTAACCAAAGTCACCCGGGAAACTAGGAGACCGGCCTGATTAATGGCTCAGGGTATGGTAACATCACTAGAGATGACAGTAATGTAAATGGGTTATCGTGGATCTAAATCAGAATTTGTCTGTAAAAGAGCAACGAGTAGACGGTTCTTCAACTTTTGTAGTTGTAAGGTGTACTCTAGTCGCCGGTGAAACCGGTTCTAGGAAGAAATCAAGTAGATAGCTTTATCTATCTATAAAGTAAACTTAAATTAAAGTTACTACAACAGCCTTGGCCTAACAACTATTTAGGATAGAGTTGTAATTCGACCCTAATTCGAACCATATATTTAAAGATATAAACATGGTAAATTATGTAATAGCCGTGGCCGTAAACGGCTGTACTATCCTTTTAGTTATATCCTTAAATTATTTAATGTACTTATATAGAGTGACAAACAACCTGTCACCAAGCCTAGAAGATAAACTTAGTATAGGTAGAGAGCCACGACCAAGTATAGGTAATAAAATACATGGAATGCAACGTGCCTCTTATATATTAAACGCAAAAGTGGGATGGTTTAGACCCCGTTTGCAAAGTGTAAGTGCATTAAACTCCGTTAGATTTGAGTCGAATACAGCTACATCTCTTTACAATAGTAAAACATCTCGTACCCAACTTCTAGTTCAAGAACATATAGCCAAAGGTAACCCTGCTAATAGCGAAGTTATTAATAGTGTCTTACTTAATCAAAAAGTTGCTATATCTCAAAAAGAGCTAGACGAACTTTTAAGCCTTCCAAGTGTAAAATACGATTTACCTTTTTCTGATGAAACATATCCTTCATTACTAGCGTTAATAAGAAAACCACATTCTAAACGTAGTAATGCAGGAGTCTATATTTTTACTCATAAATCTACAGGTAATAAATACGTAGGTTCAAGCAATGACTTAGCTAGAAGATTTAAACAATATTTTGACAAACATCTATTGTTTGCTAATAAAAGTTCTGGATTATTAATGCCTTTGATTAACCAAGAAGGATTAAAAGCATTTAACTTACAAGTTATTGTAGTATCATCTACTTATCCTAAGCATTCACACTGCTTTTTAGAACAATACTTTTTGTTAGACAAAAGTTTTAACTTAAATACTCAAAGAATTGTTAATTTTAGAGTTAACCAAGGACTTAAAGTGTTTTTATACGACTTAGATTGTAAAACTTTATATTATTCAAGTAACTCTTTAAATGCTTTCTGTGCGGATTTAGGTATACACAGTTCATCTTATAGAAAATGTATATCAAGTGGTGTTCCTTTCTTAGGTTTATTTGTTATTTCAAATAATTTAATAGAGGATGCTGTACCAACTAATTTAACAGAATCTGAAGTGGGTGAGTTAATAGCTAAACGTAGAAAAGAAAATTTAGATAAGCAAACTGTAGATTTAGGTAAAGTCATAGAGGTATTTGATAAAGATACCAATGAAGTAAAAACTTATCCTTCTACTTATAAAGTTGCATATAGATTAGGTACTACTAGAGCTACAATTAGAAGCTATATTAGTAAAGGTAAAGCATTCAAGAATCGTTACTACTTAAAATTTACTGACAGTAGTAAATAGTCTAAAATTATAAGATATTATGTAACAATGAGATTAAACACTGGCAGATTTATTAGGCGACGTTAGGCCGAAGTTGTAGCACGACCCAGGGAGATTAAATCAAGTGTCTGTTCTTATAAATAGAGAAGGAACATTCTATGGTCTTATTGAACAATGGCCAAAACTGTAGTAAAGCTATGGTTCTGAATCATCAAATTGCGGGAAACCCCTAAAGGAATCTTAACCAAGTAAGTATGGTAACATAACTTATGGCACAGGTAATGACTCGTGATACGGTAAAATCAAGATTTATTGTTCAATGGGCAATCCGCAGCCAAGTGCCAAGTATTTAATATTTGGTATGCAGTTCATCGACTAGACGGTGGTTGGTGTTATTAGTTTTAGTATTAATAATGCTTAAGGTATAGTCAGCCCTCACCTGAAAAGGCGCAGAAAAATATTTTAGTTAATATTCTTTATATTTTTTGTTAATTAGATATATAATAATTCCTTAATTATGTCTAGGGATTTCTACAATAGTTTGTTAAACTTATTTTAATGTAAAAAAAAATCTTTATACAACACACATATAAAAAAGAAAAAATAAGAGTAGAATGTCTTTTTATTCTTTAACACTTTTTTTATTCTCTTTTTTTTCTTTTTTATCGGTGCTTGTCTTTCATAAAGACTATAGTAGTATTTGCATGATACAATTAGTAGAAGTATTTTTAATAATCAGTCCGTATTCAATAAACGTATTGAATTAGGTTCTATAGCTGCTATACCTTTAATTAGATCTTTTAGCTCAAGTAGATCTTTTACTTCAATTAGACCTTTGGCAAATAACCCTAAGTCTTTAGCGTTAGAGCATATTAATAGTGGAAAACCTACTACTTCATTAATTATCAATAAAATACTATTAAATCAAAATTTATCAGTTGCTGACTCTAAATTAGAAGAATTATTAAAAGTTAAAGGTGTAGAACTGGATCTTCCTATATCTACACTCGAAAATAAAGAACTTTTAGCGGGATTAACAGGTAAATCTAAATATAGAGGTTTCTCAGGTGTATATATCTTTATACATACAAATACAGGTCAAAAATACGTAGGTTCATCGGGTTTATTAAGACGTAGAATGGATTACTATTTTAAAGGAGATTTACCTTTAATGGGTAAATTTTTACCTCTACTGGAGAAAGAAGGGCTAAAAGCTTTTAAATTAATTATATTTAAATTAGATAATAATATATTTGGTAGTCAAGACGCTTTAATATTAGAACAGTATCATTTATTAAGCAAAGAATTCAACTTGAATACTTTAAGAGTTGTTAATGCAGGATCTTCAAAAGGTGATGCTGTATATGTTTATGATTTAACATGTAGTACTCTTTACTATCATGCTAAATCTAATATTGAGTTAAAAAGAGTGTTAAAAATACATACTGAAACTAGTAAAAAGTATGTAGATTCTAAATTACCATATCTTAATAAATTCTTACTATTAAGCTATCCCATACCTACTGCTCTAACAAGCAAGCTTTCAGTAAATGAATTAGTAGATATGATGCAAAAAGAAAGACGTGATGCATATAGCTTAGGTACTCGTAGAAGTATTTCAGTTGAATTAGAAATTAAAGAAGGAAATACATTTGTAGATTATAGAGGTCAAAAATTAAATTTTGATTCTTTAACATCTTGTATTGAATATTTAAGAAAATTAGGTCTAACTATTAAAAGAGACACTCTGACTAGATATATTAATAATGAAAAGTGTTTCAGAATTTCTTATGTAAATACTCAGATAAAGTTTTACCTGATAATTTTGAAGAAGTAGGCTTAATTATTGATGAATATAAAAAACTAAAAGTAGATACAGGCTTAGCTTTATTAAAAGTTAATAAAAAGAATAAACCTATATTAGTAAAAGGAGAAAATTTTGAGAAAGAATTTGAAAGTATTGCAGATACAATAGAATATTTTAATTCTTTAAACATCAAATTAGATAGAAAAGCTTTATATCTTCATTTAAAAGATGGTAAAAAATATAAAGACTATTCTTTTGCTTATAAATAGCTAGATAAAAAATTTTTCTCTCACATTTCTCTCCTACCTCCTCAACTAGTTGAGGAGGTAGGAGAGAAAAAGAAGAAAAGGTGTTTTTAACTGCACTAATGCAACTAGATCTTTTAATTACTGAACAATTTTTTTAGATACTTTCGGTCTTTCCTTAAATGTTGCTCCAAAGGTCGGTACGAGAGAAAGTAGTATATTATCTGATGAAACCAGAAAAAATTTGAGTGATGCTCACCTAAATTTAGATATTACGCTTTCGGAAGACCAATGAAAAGCAATTAGAGCTAAAGCTGCCGAAGTTTGAGCGAAGGAAAGTCCTGAAAGCGAAAGAAGAACAGCTATAAGTGAATTTCACGGTAGAGCTGTTCTTGTAAAAGACTCTAATCAAAAAGTGAGGGGAGAATTTAATTCGATACTAAAAGTAGCGGAATATCTCGAGGTTAATCGTAATAAAGTTAGTCTTTATCTAAAGTCTGGGAATTTATTGGAGAGTAAAATAGGACCTGTATTATTAATAGAAAAAGGGACTCAGTTAGTGAGCGTTCATATAAAATTCAAGTTTTGGATAAAAATCAAAATCTTTTGGATACTTATAGTAGCTTAAGGGCTGCAGCTAAAAGTTATGGTATTTCGCCTTCTTCCCTTAGTACAACCTATTTAGATAAGAATAAGTTCTGTAAAGGTAAATACTACTTTATTAAATGTATATAAATTTTTTTTATATTATATTTACATAGGTATTTAGTAAAGCTTTTTTTTTATTACTCTTTTATATATACAAAGGTCTTTTCACCCTAAATAGTACTTCAAAGTGTTTATCTGTCTAATTGACAGTTATTAAAAAGTAAGATTTATTAATTACATTAAATTATAGTAGAGAAGCGCAATGTAGCGAAATATGTGGTATATTACACTCGAGCATGCCTATAGTTATTGAATCGGTAAGTATTGAAAAATTCTTATCGTGATTAGAAGAACAATAATTTAAATTAGATAGTGTTCTTAGTCCACTTTAATTAATGTAAATAATTATTAATTAAAGGCTAGAATAAACATGTTTTAAGAGTTTTTGTGATTAAAGCCAGGAGTTATAAAGTAAAGATAGATAACTATCTTGAAGGTAGATAACTATGTTATAGGGGCGGGCAGGGGCCCTTATATGTTTATATAGAAAAATTCCTAATATGATTAGAAGAATAATCTAACTAATGGTGGAATGCAGGCCAGTTTATATGTAATAGGGCTATAATTATCTATACTAAAAATTTATTAACAGTAAAAAATATTATCATATATTTTTAGTAATAATTATAGATATATAATAATATTAGTGTAATATAGATAAATAAAAGGTAAAAAGATACGATCTTAGGTCAAATTCGTATCTTTTTACTTGGCTTCGCTAGGGTCCTTAGTTCTCTCTATTATTTCTTGCCATGACCACATACCCCTCCCTTTATGGTATCCGTGTTGAGCGGGTGCCACCCAGTGCTCTGTGATGGCATATATATATCCCGCTCACAGGGAGTTCAATATACGCATTGCCACGTCAGGTATTCAAAATGGCCTCGTCTTTCCGAGCCTCTTCGGATATACCTTCTCTTCATAGTAACGAACTGGGGAAGAGTCCTCATAAACTTATGAAGACGATTCGCCACCCTTATTACTTGGGAGTAAGGTTTTCCATAGTACCAGCCATGGAAGAACTGAGAAATAGCGTAGGCCCTTAAAGACTTGGAGTGCCTCAGCATTTTCACAAATAATGAAGTTGCTTTAGGGTAGTCTCCTGCTGGTATTGACCTTGAAATCTTAACGTTCCTGTGCGTTAGATACCTGTAGGCCTTTCGAACCTTAGTGCAACCACTTTCTAGGTATTCTGGGATTCTCCAGGGGAACTTTAAGTTTATCCCCCCCCTCTCCCTCGAACTATTTTGTATCGAACTTGCTTGTTGTTGTTTATAGGACATATGATTTTTGAAAGTTTATTGTTGCGACCAGCAATAATTTTATTTACTCCCGGGGTTGCCTCCGGACTTATCCTAAGAAATGTGCTTATCTCTCAGCTTCGTTCTGCGTCCCGGATCGCCATCTTGTGGCGATAGTAAGGCTATCGGCTCCTTCGAGTATATGATCTTAGATTTGTTGGAACATCCCCAGGTGAATTTGTTGAGAGATACTTTATTTTGATTTCGACCAATTACATTAAACATTATTAGTTGTGAGTGAGTACAAAAACATACAAAAAAGATATTAATGAAAAAAAATTAAAAAATGAGAATTTTTAAAAGTCGTCGTTTCAATAAAAATAATAATTTTATTAGAAATAGTCTTTTTTTTTTATCAAATAGTGTAATTTTATTAGTAATGCGGTGCGGTGTATATTATTATTTGCATCCTAGCGAAGCACAAGAAAAAAAAAATAATTAGGCATTTTTACAAATATTAAAATATAAAGAGCATAGTTTAATGGTAAAATTTGAAGCTTCAAACTTCACCTTCTCAGTTCAAATCTGAGTGCTCTTGATGGTAATTTTTTCTATCTTATTTTTATTATTATCTAATGCCGTTACTTTAAGACGAGACAAATCTATACTTTTTAGTAGAGTAGCTATCACAGTTTTACTCTATTCTTCTTTAATTGCTTTTTATAGCTTATACTTTTGTTTAGATAGTGGTATAGGTTTATATGGTGGTTTATTCCATGCTACAACTACCACACATGTTTTTCATATCTTTATCTTTTTAATTAGTGCTGCAATTTTACAATTAACAGCTTTTTATCCAAGAAAAGTCTGAGTAGCTGAATATTCTTCAGTAATAGAAAATACAATTCATATCTCCTTCATATTAGGATTTCCAGTTATTGCTTTACATATTTATATTTTAAATAACAGTAATCGTAACTATTTAATTCTGATTCTATTTTTTATATCTGCACTTTTATTACTTTTTGTATCTCTTAATAAAGATGATAAAAAATTTTTAGGCAAATTAAAATATTTATATAAATACTTTAAAAATAATATAAAGATGGCTTTATATCATTATGTTTCTTTTTTTTTAGTACTATTTAGCTTTTATTTTTTATTTCAATTTCTCTCCCTACTCCTCAACTAGTTGAGGAGGAAGGAGAGAAAAAGAAGGGTAGAAATTAATGATATGTCTTTAAATATAGAAATCTATATAGTTGTCTCTTGTATTTTTCCTATTTTATACTTTTTCCGGCTCCCCCCCCCGCCTCCTCAACCAGTTGAGGAGGTAGGAGGGGAGTAAAAAGAAGATATAAATTGTAATTTAAAATTAATTGATGAAATAAAAAAAAAATAATTCCTCTTTAGGTCAAATACCCTTTAATTCATATCTAATGGGCCTAATAAAGAATCATTTAACTTTAAATAATTCTTTATTATTAAGTAAAGAGGCATTAAAAATACAAAAAGAAATGTATTCAATATTTAAAAAAGATATAATACAAATAGTGGAAACGGAAACTGAAAGAATAGGGGATGCTGAAAGAATAGCGGATGGTCAAAGACTTGAAGCACTAAGAACAGCAGCAGATCAAAGAACTACAACAAGAAAAAGAGTAGAAGCTGAGAAGCTTGAATGAGAAAGAATTCAAGAAAGAGTTGCAGTAGATAGAGAAAGAAGAGAGAATATGGAAAGATTAACTAGAGCAATGTTAAGGTATGAGGAAGATAGGAGACAGTGGGGTATATAAATAGTCTATACTATGCAGATTAAGCTAAAGTTTAAAAAGTATAGTGTCTTCGAGTCTGGATTTTCCTCATTCTTAGGTAAAATCGAACACAGTTCTATGCCAATAGTAATAGAATCAGTTTCTATAGCGAAATTCTAAACTTGATTAGAAGAACAATAGTATATATCATTATTGCTTATAATTGTTTATATAGTTTATAACCTTATTACCTAGGCTGTATACTCCTTCTTCGTCAGAGCAGATGTTTTAATTCCGATAACATCAAACAGATAGCAGTTATTTGTAATTATAAAAACACTTTAATCGCTGCTGTTTTTCCTTGGTATGTATGTTTTACTATAAAGTAAAATTGTTTAGTATATTAAAATAAAAGATAGATATATTTGTTTATCTATCTTTTTCGCCTCCCCTCCGTCCTCCTCAACAAGTTGAGGAGGTAGGAGGGGAGTATAGATAATAAAATAAATATGTTCTATTATTAAATATTAGAATAACCGGAGACTATTTTTTATGGTTGTTAGTCACGCAGTGTGGGCGGGTATATTGCTACGTGTTAAATGGAAATATAGAGAAGGGCCGCCTGATTACTTATTGTTCCTTTATTTCATAAGGGCGGTGTTTATTTAAAAGATTTAAAGTATTAAACTCCAATTACATCTCTTATTCCATGTCTCTATACTTTTATTTTATTAGGTAGAGTTGATTTTCAAGTATTACGCACAATCTTATATAACTTTATTTTTATTTAGTTTTGTTTTACCTAGCCTACTACGGCGCTAGCTCTAAATATATCTTGTGTTGGTGTGCTATAATAGGCTGTTTTTAATTTTGTCTCCATATTTGTATAAATTTTACTATGTATAATATAAGTAAATAGGTATATGCTATATATAATAATGTTATGTAATTGTAAACAAGAATAATGTTTATTAAACTATTAAATGCTTAATTAGGTTATAAGTAAAAAAAATTTTTTTGCATTAAAATAAAAGATCTTCTTTTTAAGTTATGTATATGTTACAGGGTTTTTAATAGAAATATAACCACGACTCGTCATAAACTTAAAAACAGAACTTATATGTGGCTAAACCGTCCTGTAAGAGTATACAGCCTCTGCTCTAGTTTTTCCCTTTTTTTTTATACTATACTATTTACGTAAAAGTTATATTTTTATTACTAAAAAAAAAAGGGAAAAAACAGCAAATAAAAAAACTTCTTCTTACTAATTGCTGGAAACTCCTGTTTAATAGGACAATCAGCAGGAGCCTGCTGTATATGTTTATACAGTAGGGTTCTTCAGAGACTACACGTAAGATATCCTAGAATCATTAAATAAATAGGATAAAGATATAGTCCGCTCTTAATAGAAATATTAAGCTAACAATATGTGACAATAAGTTCTGGTTTAAGGTTTAAGCTAAGAGTTTTTAAGTGAGCTTTTTATACTGTGGCTGGTATTGGAGGACGTGTCCGTACCTCTTTTTTTTTTATTTTTATTTATATATATATATTATTTTTTGAAAGAAAAAAAGGTAGGACAAGTCCGCGAGGACTAGTTTTTTTTTAAGTGAGGACTTTTTTTTTTTTATATGGTATATTCTTATTAAGTATGCTGGGTTTTTAGCTATTAAACTTTTTGAGTAACTTTTATATTCTTGAAGTATTATATTTACTGGATTCTTTCTTTATATACTTTGTATATATCGCTTATATACTAAAGTTATATTTACTTTGAAGTTTTCATGTAAAACTTGTTAGTAGTAATAAACATAATATTTATATTATAAATATAAAGAACTTCTTTCCAAAAACTCCTTCAAGTTCCGAAATTGTTATTAGAGATATGCCGCCTTTTCTAAGAGAGTTTATGCCTGAATTCCTAGCTTTGACTGCTCAAGTTGCATTAGCTACTGTCTCAGGTATGCCTGACGCTACGATGCAAGGGCTAGATACTAAGGGCAAAGACACACAATTAGCAGCTTTACAAGGAATAAGGAGTAGTTGAAATAACGTATTAAAAGATTATTACGTAGAAGCTAATGCAATATCATTTAGAAATAGCCCGGAGTACCGGGAAACGCAGGCATATCATGATATGTATAGAGAGTCTTCTACTTTTTATACTAGCCCTGAATTTTCCTTATTTTTCCCCTTTTTTTTATAATTATAAGTTTATTATATATAGATTAATAAAATTATTTATCGCCCCCGCAAGTTTGCGCGGGGCGGCATGCCGCACTTTATTTTTTTTTTTTTCTTTTTTTTTTAATAATAATTTTATTACGTAATAATCAAAATATCATAAAAAAAAAAAGAAAAAAAAATTTAGGCAAGCAGCGGTGGCGGCTTGCGTTTTTTTTTTTCTTTTTTTTTTTTATTATTATACAATATTACGTACATTATAAGATTATATTTATAACTAAAAAAAAAGAAAAAACAGTTTCCACCGCACGCTTGCGTGCTGAAACTTGCTTCGCTAGCGACAAAAAAAGGAAAAAAAATAAGCGAAAGAGGTAGTGCTTGATATCAAGTTAAGATTAATTCAATTACATAAGGAGGGTAAAACTAACCAGGATTCTTTTAAGCTAGGTAGTGATGGTAGTCAAAGATTTAAAATAATTCAAAATGACTTTTCGGATGCTTGAAAACAGCCTGAAGGAAGGTGGAATAACACTTATTCAAAGAATGTACCTGTATAAAGCAGAAATTAATACTTGCTTATATGTGTCTGCTTCGTACGACACAGAAGAAAAAAAAGCCTTTATTAACTAAAGGCTAATCTAAACGTGTTATGACGATAAAGAGTATTAAACTAGGAGTTATTTGGTAAAGATAGACAACTATCTTGAAGGTAGATAATTATGTTAAGGGGCGCAGACGGGGCCCCTTAAAATACTCTTTGTATAAATAGATTAACCAAAAATATGTAGGTATGAATCAAATAATTATATACAGAATCTTGTGCTCTCATCCTGGCCTGTAAGTTTAAATTATGTACTCGAAGGTTTTCAAACAGTTTGGACTCAAATTGCCTTACATGATAATTGTCAATAGAAAATCTATATAATAATAAATATAAATATTCTGTAATGATGAAGAGCTTTATTTTAAATGATTAACAATAATAATAAATAAAATGAGTTTATCCTTAATACTTTTTTTAATAGGAATTTTAGGTTTTGTTTTAAATAGAAAAAATATTATATTAATGCTTATATCAATTGAAATAATGTTATTAGCTATTACGTTCCTAATTTTGATAAGTTCCCTGAGCTTTGATGATATATTAGGCCAAACCTATGCAATATATATTATTGCTATAGCTGGTGCAGAGTCGGCTATAGGTTTAGGTATTCTAGTTGCTTTTTATAGATTAAATTCTTCTCTTTTTTTATCCTGTCTATCCCGTGGCCAAACAACTTATTCGAAAACCGTCAACAAGTTTAGCTTTAAAAGAATAGCAAGATGCTATTCTACAATGGCTAAGAATAACTATACTACTAACCAAGCTAAAATTTCTTCAATAGATCCTTGGTTTATTACTGGGCTTTTCGATGCTGAAAGTTCTTTTGTTGTAACAGTTTTAAAAAACCCTAGATACAAAACAGGATGAAACGTTCAAGCTAGAGTTCAAATAAAAATGCATGAGAAGGATAGAGTTTTAATCCAGTCAATTCAAGAATTTTTCGGAGCTATAGGTTATGTATCTAAACTTAATAATAGTTCAGCCGTAGAGTTTAGAGTTAGTACTTTAAAAGATTTAGTTGACGTAATTCTTCCACATTTTGATAACTACCCTTTAAATACAAAAAAACATTCAGACTATCTATTATTTAAACAAATTGTTTTACTTATGTTAAATAAAGAACATAATACTTTAGAAGGTATACAAAAGATAGTTAATATTAGAGCATCTCTTAATACAGGTTTGTCTAAAGATTTAAAAGAAGCATTCCCTATGACTATTCCAGTTACACTAAACTTGGAAAACAGAATTAAAAATAATAACTTACATCCGGAATGAGTAGCAGGGTTTTCTACTGGAGAATCTAACTTTTTTATTGCTGTTCAAAAATCTAAGACTAAGAGTGGTTTATCTACTTCTTTACGTTTTTCAATAGCTCAACATTCCAGAGATCTTTTATTATTAGAAAGCTTTGTTAATTTCTTTGGTAGTGGCTTTGTAATGAATTATAAAAAACGTTTAATATGTGAGTTTATTATTACAAAAATTGATCACGTAGTTGAACATATAATTCCTTTTTTTGATAAACACCCTATATTAGGGTCAAAGCACTTAAATTTCTTAGATTTTAAGAGCGCGGCATATATTATTAAAAATAAAGAACACTTGAATGAAGATGGGCTAGGTTTAGAAGAAATTCTACAATTAAAAAGAAGAATTACATTACTATACTCGAATAAGGCTATGAATAATCACAGTGTTGTAGACGGCACAGAGAAATCAGATCAAAAAAGGTAGGGTAAACCTCTGCCTAGTCATATTTTCAATATGGCAAAACCTTCAAATTGCGGGAAAGTCTTAAAGACAAATCTACCAAGTTAATACAGTAATGTGATTAATGGAACAGGTAATGACTCGTTGTACGGTAAAAACGATTTGTATGAAGAAATTAAGTAGACCATCCGCAGCCAAACACCAAAAACTACTGCTCGCTCAAGTGGATGGTGCGCAGTTCATCGACTAAATGTAGGTTGGTAAATAATTGTATACGACTCTTTTTTCAATAAAAAAAAGTTTTGAGAAGATAGGACAAAAATTATTTGCTTAAGGTATAGTCAGGCATAACCAAAAAGTTATGGGAATACCCTGGCCAACCTAAGGGAATAAATAAAATTCCTAAGGTAAAGGGGGAAAACGAAGAGGAAGTATCGCAATAGAATATAAATAATGTATTTAGCTATAATAACTTTACCTTTATTAGGATCAATAGTTGCCGGATTTTTAGGTAGAAAAGTCGGAGTTAGCGGGGCACAATTTATTACATGTTCAAGTGTAATTGTAACAACCTTACTAGCAATCGTAGCTTTTTTTGAAGTAGGTTTAAATAACATACCTGTGTCAATAAACCTTTTTAGATGAATAGATAGTGAATCACTAAATGTTTTATGAGGTTTCCATTTTGATAGTTTAACAGTGTCGATGCTTTTACCGGTTTTAATCGTTTCTTCTTTAGTGCATATTTATTCTATAGGATATATGAGCCATGATCCTCATAATCAACGATTCTTTAGTTATTTAAGTTTGTTCACTTTCATGATGATTGTGCTAGTAACAGCAAACAATTTCCTACTAATGTTCGTAGGTTGAGAGGGTGTTGGAATTTGTAGTTATCTTTTAGTAAGTTTCTGATTTACTAGAATAGCAGCAAATCAAAGTTCTATCTCTGCTTTATTAACTAACAGAGTAGGTGATTGTTTTTTAACTGTAGGTATGTTTGCTATATTATGAAGTTTTGGTAGAAACTCCAAATTGTTAAAAGTTTATTTAAATAGATTAAATAAAAATAAAATCCAAGAAATACTCCCTTATAGGCAAGTTAGAAGAAATTCGGGTTATACGGTAACGGCTAACCTTTTTATGGCCTCTTATTTAGCTGGTTTAATTGAAGGTGATGGGCATATAGCTGTGCATGATAAAAATTCTTCATCTAAAAGTTTCCGTCCTAAGATTATTATTACATTCAATTTAGCTGATAAACCTTTAGCGGATAAATTATCTGCAGTATTGAAAGTAGGTAAAGTAATCAGTAGACCAAGTGCTGGTCATGTTATATTACAAATTTTAGCTAAAGATGAAGTTTTAAAAATAATTAATTTAATTAATGGTTATATGCGTACACCTAAAATAGAAGCTTTACATAGAGCTATTGCTTGAATTAATGAAAGGGATAGTAGCTCTATACCTTGTTTAGGTTTAGATTTATCAGCTATTGATAGTAATAGTTGATTGGCTGGTTTTACAGACGCAGACGGTAATTTCTCTATAACTGTTACTGACGTAAAAAAAAACGGTATTTTTAGGAATAAAAGAGTGCAGACTTTTTTCCGTATAGAAGTAAAACAGAACTATTCAAGAGAAGTTACCGAAGCTCAAGGTGGTGGTGGTGGTTATTTTAACATTTTAACTAAAATTACTGCCTTTTTTACTGTAAATCTATATACTAGAACTAGATGCGTAGAAGACAAGGTTTATTATTCTTTTATGGCGATAGCTCATAATTCCAGAAGTCATGAAATAGTTCGTAAATATTTTGATGCTTTCCCTTTATATTCTTCAAAATACTTAGCCTATAAGGATTGATGCTATGTTCAAGATCTACTAAAAGTTCCTTTAAGCAAAGAAGGTTTGGACAAGGTTAATGAAATCAAAGCTCAATTTAACAGTAAGCGAAAGGTATTTGATTTTTCACATTTAGATTCTTTAACGTTTTAAATATTGCCGTGGGCGGTAGTAATACTGCTCTTATTATATAACTATTAGCGGGAAACCCCTAAAGTCTTTTTATAGGATACTGTGGAAACTACTTTTTTATCTTTGTTTTATTTTTTATCTTTGTTTTCTTTGTTTTACCTAGCTTGTGCTATACTCCCTAATCTTGGTTATATTATTTTATAAAATAATCCAGATTTGAATAAGAAGCTTCTATTCACTGCTAGCGAAGTAAGGATAGAATTAAGGAAACTACATGAAGACTAATGCAAAATATTGCTAGAAGCATACACAGACGATAAAAACTAAAAAGAATGAACTTATAGACTGGTGTGCAGCTTTTACTTTTTTTTTCTTTTTTCTCTCTCCTCCTCACTACTAGTAGTGAGGAGGTAATAGAAAACAAGGAAAAGAGAAAGAGTACATACTATTATATCAGTGAAATGGACAATCCGCAGGAAATGAAGTTAAAAATTCTTATAGAATGCAAGGAAGCTTAAATTAAAAATATAAAGCTTGTTTTATATGTGTTCTTAGGTTTAAATTTAAAGTAAGATCCTCAGAGACTACACGTTATACCCCATGCTTGCTATTAATTAGCAGCCTTTGGGTGAAAATATAGTCCAATTTATAGTTGAAAAGCTATTAGGGAGGCTTGCCAAGCTAAGATATAATAAAAAAGTTGTTAGTAAAGCAAGCTCCTAAAATTGAATATAGATTATGCTACAGTTTTTTCATTAGCTCCTTTTGTTAGTGAAAACATTGTTACAATTATAGGAATTTGCTTATTAATTGGTGCTATGGCTAAAAGTTCTCAAGTTGGATTACATGTCTGGTTACCGATGGCGATGGAAGGTCCTACACCAGTTTCTGCATTAATACATGCTGCTACTATGGTAACGGCAGGTGTGTATCTTTTAATGCGTACTAGTCCTTTAATAGAATACAGTTCAACTGTATTAATATTATGCTTATGATTAGGGGCTATAACTACTGTATTTAGTAGCCTTATTGGATTATTTCAACAGGATATTAAAAAAGTTATTGCCTATTCTACTATGAGCCAATTAGGTATGATGGTAATAGCAGTAGGTTTATCATCATATAACCTTGCCTTATTCCACTTAGTTAATCATGCTTTTTATAAAGCATTGTTATTCCTAGGTGCCGGGGCTGTAATTCATTCAGTTGCGGATAATCAAGATTTTAGAAAATATGGAGGGTTAAGACCCTTCTTGCCTTTAACTTATTCTGTAATGTTAATAGCAAGCCTTAGCTTAGTTGCTTTCCCGTTTATGACCGGGTTCTATAGTAAAGATTTTATTTTAGAGTCTGCATATGGACAGTTTTACTTTAGTGGTACTGTTGTTTACTTTATAGCTACGGTTGGTGCTATGTTTACGACTTTATATAGTGTGAAAGTATTATATATTACTTTTTTAGGGCCGGCTTTAGGTCCCATGACTAATTATAGTAATGCACATGAAGGTAATTTCTTTATGAGTTTACCCTTAGTAGTTTTAGCCTTATTCTCTATATTCTTCGGTTATATCACTAAAGATCTTTTTATAGGTTTAGGGTCTGGTTTCTTTACGGATAATTCTATATTTATTCATCCAACACATGAAATTATGTTAGATACGGAATTTGCTGTACCAACCTTCTTTAAACTTTTACCTTTGGGTCTTACATTATGTCTTAGTACATTAGCCATTATCATATCGGAATTTTACTCAGAATTGATTGTGAGATTTAAGTACACAAGATTTGGTTACAACTTATATGGATTCTTTAATCAAAGATTCTATGTAGAAATGTTCTATAATAACTTTATTACAAACAAAGTGTTACACCTAGGTGGTCTAACAACTAAGGTTTTAGATAAGGGAAGTGTAGAGCTTATTGGTCCTTACGGACTAGAGAAAGTGTTATTAAGCCTTAGCCAGAATGTAAACAAGCTAAGTACTGGTATTGTTACTAGTTATGCCTTGTATGTATTAGTTGGTCTGGTTTCTTTTATGTTTATTTTTTACTTAAATGAAAGTTGACATAGTTTAATTATATTAATTGGTTTAGGACTCTTGAGTCTAAATCACAATAATCCTGATTCAGACATGGGAAGACGTTCTGTATAACATCCTATTAAATCTAGTCACGTGGCATTAAATAAAGCTAACGCGTCTGGTTTAAATGGTAGGGAAGTACCCGCTTCGCCTGAATGGAGGTAATAACCTGTTTCATGTAAGTAATACTCCTGGACGAAATTACAGTACGTCAGCTACACTACCTGTTGTTATATATTCTTACCCTTCAAAGGATAGAAAATAAATATATGCAGATAATAAAGAACGTACTGGTATATATCTATGAGAGAATAAACAGAATCAAAAAGTTTATGTGGGTTCCTCTCAGGATTTGGGGAAGAGAATCAAGGATTATTTTTATAATACTAATTTAAATAGTTCCAAAGGTTCTATTATATGTAAAGCATTAATTAAACATGGTCATGATAGTTTTAATCTAAAGATTTTAAAATATTGCTCTCTTGAGGACCTGTTGGTAAGAGAGCAATACTATATTGATCTTCTCAAACCCGAATACAATATTTTAAGGTTTGCGGGTAACTCGCGTGGATACATCCACACTGAGGCAAGCAAAGAACTAATGAGCGTAGGTCGTAAGGGTTGGGAATATACATCAGATGAATTAGCTAATTTTAGTTCTGAAAGTATTAGAAATAAATCGACTGTGCTAACTGATTCTGTCACTGGTGAGACGCTTACATATCCCTCTATGAAGAGTGCGGCAGAGTTTTTAGGTACAACTGCTACTATATTGAGAAGCTATTTATCTAAAAACCTTTCTTATAATGACTACGTTATTAGCGTAAACGAGGGAAATGAGCTCTCATCAAAGACACAGTCTCTTTTATTAACGAATATACAAGATTCTAGTACTAAGGAGTTTTCTACGATTAAGGATGCAGCAGTTTTTTTAGGGGTAAGTCGTTCAAGTTTAAGTTATGCTTTAAACAAACCAAATAGTGGGGAACAAAATGGCTGTAAAATCGGTGATTATCTCGTAACCAGAATAGAGAGTGAAGTGAATTGCATTAGACCTGGAAGCGTGTCAGTAGAAGTTACAGGCTTAGAGAATAATACAACTAATGTTTATCCTTCTATAACCTTAGCTGGACAAGCTATTGGGGTTTCAAAGGCTAGCGTAAGTCAGTATATAAGGGGGTAAACAAGCTATAGCGTATAAAGGTAGATATATCTTAAAATACATAAGCTAACTATATTAGTAGCTTGTGTAGGTAAAAGTTTGTTTATAGAGCAAACATCAGTTTACAATTAGCCCGCTTCTAATGAAGCAAAAAAATTTGTTTTTGTACGCTTTACTATGTGGTGATTAAGACTTAAATGTGAGTTATAGAATTAATCGGGTGGTGGTGGGTAACTACTAGGTAAGTGAATGCTAAAACAAATACGGGTTCTAAGTATAAGGAGAAACATGCTCTGCTTCTAATTTTTCCCTTTTTTTTAGTAATAAATATAATCTTATTACGTCTTTAGTATTATTATATAATAATAAAAAAAAGGGAACTGAGAAGAGGTGGTGTATTCCCCTCCGACTTGGTCTTGGTGGAGTCAACCTTTTATAAATTATAAGAATGCTCACCTTTATTTCTCTCCCTCCTCCTCAACTAGTTGAGGAGGAAGGAGAGAAAAAGGAGGGATGGCTGACTTATTTTTAAGTATTCCGTTAATTATATTAGCTTTATTCTCTATTTTCTTTGGTTACATTACTAAAGATATTTTTATTGGGTTAGGTTCAGGTTTCTTTGCAGATAATAGTATATTTATTCATCCAACACATGAAATTATGCTTGACACAGAGTTCGCAGTGCCAACATTCTTAAAATTGTTGCCATTGGTGTTTACTTTATCTTTAAGTGCGCTCGCTATAACCTTATCGGAATTTATTCCGACTGCTTTAGTTCACTTCAAATTTACGAGACTAGGGTATAACCTTTTTGGGTTTTTTAATCTACGTTTTTTTTTTTTTTCGAATTGTTCTATAATAAATATGTTACTAACTTTATCTTAAACACAGGGGGTATAACTACTAAGTTTCTGGGCAAAGGTTCAGTAGAGATGATTGGGCCTTACGGTCTTGAGAGAGGACTGCTGAGATTAAGTAATAATATCGAGTCTTTAGGTACAGGTGTAGTTACAAATTATGCGTTGTAAGTTTTAATAGGTTTTGTTTCATATTTGTTAATTCTTTTTTTAGATTTAAATATGGACCTAGTTTTATTGACTTTATTTAGTGTTCCTTTTACATTAATGCCTACTTCTTTGCAAAGCATCCCTAATAATACCTCGAGGAAGTAATATTAAACTTAGGGAATCATCCTTATTGACTACCGGTAAAAATAAAATGAGCTAATTAGCTAAACCCAATCAAGGAATAAGCGGAAGTCGTAACTAGAGTACTGGTAGTTTAGTCAAAGGGGAAATCAAAGATGGTGAAGGTTCAGCTGTTCACCTTGAACCTTGATTTGTAACTGGATTGAAAAAAAAATCTTTTTTTTTTTTATTTTTATTTATACATATATTATTTGTTGAAAAAAAAAACACGACGCCAGTTTTTCCCCCTTTTTTTTTTTTTTTTATTTATAAAAAAAAGGGGAAAAATTTAGTAAGCGTGCTGAAACCTGCTTCTATCCCCCAGAGGGGAACGGAATGTATTTTTTATTTCTTTATTATTCCTATATCCTTTTTTTTTTTTATGGGGGGGGGTTGTCTTTGTATATTCTCTTGTGTGATGGTTAAGTCTAATTTACATTAAATTGTTGTAAAAGAATTAGCGGGTGGTGGTGGGTAACCCACAGGATTTATACTCTGTTAAAGATTTATACCTAACTTTATGGATTAACCATTGCAAAGCAGGGCCTTTTGTTAACCATGTGTATTATTATTAAGAATATTATTTGATAAAGCAATATTCTTAAATAAAGCAGTATACTTTATCCTTTATTTTTTTTTTCCTTTTTTTTACTATAAATATTTTCTTATTTCGTAAATAGTATTATATAATAAAAAAAAAGGGGGAGAAAAATTAGATAAGAGAATAAAATTTATATGATTGAGAATACGTATCAAAGTGGATCAGCAGAAGCGCTAACAAAGGTGGGATAGTAATAAAGACCTCTATGATAGAGTATACTCTGTCATAAAGTTCACCATAAGCAAGTCTGATGATAGTATAATAGTCTCTGCGAAGCCGGGCGTTAAGTTGAGATATAGATATTCAATTTAAATGTTGATACCTGAAAGTGGATCATGGCCATATTAATTAATATTTGTATAAAAAAGTATGCTATCTGCTTATTTTATTGCATTATATATTATAATGATATATAGTGTCTATGTATTAGTAATAATAAAATAGGGAATATTGTATATTTCTCTTATTTTATTAAACATAAACGTAGGATATAATGTAACATTGTTAACATTTGACCTAACTATGCCAAGTTCATATTCATATTAAAGAGGTTTAAGTGCCTTTTTTTTGTAAAACAAGATCTAATCAATTTATGGGCAGACGTCTGGAGAGAGTTTATGCTAACTTTAGTATATTTTTAATGTTCACCTTTTTTCTCTCCCTCCTCCTCAACTGGTTGAGGAGGAGGGAGAGAAATGAAGGAGAATGGAATTTAAATCTAAATTGGTTTTCGCCTCACTTTGGTATAACGGCAGTCTAGTGAGAGATAGAGACAAATTTGTTTTTATGTTAATTGTTTTAGTCTAATCTAATTCTACAGTTAAATTTGAATAGTATACAAATATTTACTTTATTTTACAGCCTATTATAGGGAATGAATGATAATTATAGCTACTTCAATAAAATGATGATTATTGAATATTAATTTTAATTCCACCCCCTAGGCTCTGCCTAGCTCCGACTAGGCAGAGCTAGGCAGAGCCTAGCTGGAAGCTAGAGAGATCTTGAAATATTTAAACGCTTGTTTTATTATGTGCAAAAAATAAGGCAAGTAGTTTATCGCACTCTATTGGCGCTGGTGTTTAGTTTTTTTTAGTCCTCTGCTTTGCTATTTCTACCTATTATACAAAGTAGATATAAAAGGTGTACTTTATCTGATAAGGATTGAGGAATGAGAGTTAGTCGTATATATTATAAGTTGTTCATAGGTTTCTATTCTTTCTTATTATAAGTATTTACTTTTAGATTTTTAATATGATTGCCTCTTTTTATTGTATGATACTTATATTAGAAAAAAATTTTATATGTTTAATTTATTTTAAGTCTTTTTAACAATTGTGATGCGCCTAGACCTAGGGTCTATATTTTCAATATAGTGCAACGTGGCGTTATAAAAAAAAAAGAAGAGTAGAATGTCTTTTTATTCTTTAGTACTTTTTTATTCTCTTTTTTTTTTTAGGAAGGTTTACTTGAGTTATATTAAATTTAATAAAAATTGTGTACAAGAGCAACCATACTTTTTTACAAATTAATTCTTATTATAATAATTTTATTTTAATTATTTTTTATAAATTAAATTAGTAATCCAATCAAGTAGATTGGATTAATTCTCTACTATCGTCGTTAAATTGTTTGGGTATATAATAATAATCAGAAGAATCTATTTTAGTTTTTAGGTAAGTTTAAGCTCTTTTGAATTTAAATTGGATTTAAACTATGAATAAATGTATTATTTAAACTGTAAGAAATAAATTTCTTGTAAGTTGCTATTGTTTTTCTTTTGTCTTGCTCTTATTGTTATTGTAGGTAATTTAGCTGTCTTTTTAGCTTGATGGCTTATATTTCAGTATAGTTTACCATTCATGCAAGACCAGTACTGGTCTTGCATGAAGGCAGATAAACGTAGGAAAATCGTCTTATTTTAGATAAACAAATAGATATAATAAATAATTATACTAGTATAGACCTTAAAAAGCTTAATCTCATTATTTTTTTTAGACCCTAAAAATAGACTTTACTGTCTGCCTATGGGTGGAGGTAAAAACGGATAAGTGAAGACGTTTCTAGAGTAGGACGTATATTAGCACATAAGTCACAATGGTAAGATTAATTAACCTCTAAGTACATAGTGAGTAGGAGTTGGCTTTTGGTTTTTCGTGTACTTTTATAAGAGAATTAAGGCTTATATTGGTTTATATATAAACACTTGCTTATACTTTTATTCGCAAATAATTAGAAATGGGAGAAGAAGATTTTTTTACTAAAGTCCTCTAAATAAGCTGTGCTTACCTTTTGGGTGGAATACCTAGTATCCTATATAAACTCAAAGAGTAGCACTTGTCTTCTAGGTCTTATATACAAATAAGATTAATACTCTTACAGTTATATTTGTGAACCTTAGCCACTGCTGGCTAGGGCGAAGCCCCAGCAAGCATTTGAAATATTAACCCCCCCCAGATCGGTTTAAGATAGAATGATGAATTTAGGAAAAAAAAAGTTTTCTGTTTTAAAAAGTCCACTTAAACCTCATAGTTTTGTAAGTTTACCTGTACAATCTGCTGTAGAGGGTTTTTTGTGTTAATCTAGAGTAATATTTTTTTTTGTTACATATAGTATAGGTACTATATATACATATAGTATAGGAAAGTCCGAAGCTTGTAAAACTAAAACTCATATTGAAGAGAGTAAAAGTAAAAATTTTGGTATTAAAGAGAAAATAAAGTCCATCTTTTTATAGTTATGATTAAATGTACAGATAAAAAAGAAATGTGATTCTTTTTTATTTTAGGCAGTCGGAGAAGGTAGTGAAACCACAAGCCTAGGTTAAGCCTTATTTTAGTTTAATAACTAAGACAGGATCCGGCTTAAATGTATCAAAAAGTAATAACGACTTTATGTTAATTATATTTATATGATTATTAATTAAATTTAATTAATAATAGGTGAATATTTTATTAGTAATGGTACAGAATTTATATAGGATATAAATTCTAAACCATAAAAATTTTTTTTGAGTTTGATGGTGGCTCTGAATGAACGCTGTCCAAGTGCTTGACACATGCTAATCGAACGTCTAATTTAACCATGTGGCGTTAAGTCACTAATTTGATTAGAAGTGGTGTACAGGTGAGTATTTAATATTTTGGCTGCCTTAAAGAAAGGTAAAATACCTTATAAAAATAGGAAGAAGAAAGGAAGTAAGTTTCCGCTTTAAGAGGACAATAAATATTTCGGATAGGTAGTAGTTAAGGTAATGGCTTAACTAGCTTGAAATTCCGTAGTCGAGACTGAGAGGTCGATCGATCACATTGGGTCTGAAAAAACCCCAATACGTATAGTACAGCAGTGGGGAATATTGGTCAATGGCCGCAGAGGCTGAACCAGCAACTTGGGGGAATGTATAGCTCCGGCTAACTATATTTAGTTTTTTATTATAGTAATAAAAAGTGTAAATATTTTATATATTGAAAAAATATAGTATCGATTTTGTCGAATAAAGTTCTAGATAGAATACTGATCATGACTATTTTCTATCTATATGTCTTGACCAAATTACGTGCCAGCAGTCGCGGTAATACGTAGAAGACTAGTGTTATTCATCTTTAATAGGTGCTTTGTGGTGTAGGATCTCACATATGTGCCTAAAACTACCAAACTCCGGGGACATCCTAAAGCTTCTGATACCAAGCTTTAGTCGAAAGGCTATACGTGGCTGAAGTAATTACTCAGGTTTTTTATTAGATTGTTGATTAAAAAATCTAATAGATAAGGTAACAAGTCAGAAGATGATCGAAAGAGAAATGGATTATCGCGGATCTAAATCAGTAATACCCCAAAATATTACTGTAAAAGAGCAACGAGTAGACGGTAGTTGATGCATTAAGCCTGTCCCTAAAAACAAGGAATTAATGTGTTTAAGGTGTACTCTAATGGGCTTCGAAAGAAGTTATCAAATCAGAATCCTTTCTAAGGAATTACATAAAAAAGATAGAAGGTTCTATTCTACTTCAAATATTTACGTTAATAAGAATATCAATCCTTGATTTTTGACTGGGTTTATAGATGGTGAAGGATGTTTTAGAATTTCTTTGACTAAAGTCACTAGAGCTATAGGTTGAAGAGTACAACTCTTTTTCCAAATAAACTTACACAAGAAGGATATAGCATTGTTAGAAGATATACGTGACTACTTTGGCGTAGGAATGATACATAAATCTGGGACAAATCTCGTCCAATATAGAATACAGACTTTTGACGAATTATCTATTCTAATTAATCATTTGAACGATTACCCATTAGTTTCTCAAAAGAAATGAGACTTTGAACTATTTAAACAAGCTCATGAATTAGTTAAGATGAATGAGCATTTAAATAAAGAAGGTATTTTAAAAATAGTTTCTCTTAAAGCATCTTTAAATTTAGGACTATCTGAAGCATTGAAATTAGCGTTTCCTAATGTAAAGAATGCCACGAAACTTACATCTAGTACTGTAAGTATTCCTGATCCTCATTGATTTTCAGGGTTTACTTCTGCTGAGGGTTGTTTTATGGTAGGTATTGCTAAATCTAAAGAGTCTACGACAGGATATCAAGTATATTTATCTTTTATAGTTACTCAACACGTTCGTGATGAATTATTATTAAAGTGTTTGATTGATTATTTTAGTTGTGGAAGATTAGCCAGAAAGAGAGATGTTTATGAGTATCAGGTTTCCAAGTTTTCAGATGTTGAAAAGTTTATAGATTTTTTCGATAAATACCCTATCCTTGGAGAAAAGTCCAAGGACTATTTAGATTTTCGTACGGTGTCAGAAATAATGAGATCAAAAGATCATTTAACTGAAGTAGGTGTTGCCAAGGTACGAATAATTAAACAGGGTATGAATAGAGGTCGGTAATTTTATTATAGGCAATTGGATGAGATTTTCTCTCTTAATTCTAAGATAAATTTGCTAGGTCAGCATTTACGCCTATAGATGCTGATTGCCGTGTTAAAGGGTACCTAGACGGTAAAATTACTCCTCCACTGTATACGGTTTACTAGAGTTATATATGAGGAGGTGAGTATTTAAGGAGTAGAGTTGAAATTCAGTCATACCTTAAGGACTGGTAATGGCGAAAGCAACCTTTTATCTAATAACTGACGTTGAGGGACGAAGGCTCGGGTAGCGAACAGGATTAGATACCCCTGGTAGTCCCAGGCAGAAAATTATGAATGCCATAGATTAGAATATTTTTAGTTTATAAATGAAAGTGCAAGCATTCCACCTCAAGAGTAATGTGGCAACGCAGGAACTGAAACCATTAGACCGTTTCTGAAACCAGTAGTGAAGTATGTTATTTAATTCGTCGTTACGCGAAAAACCTTACCACAATTTGTATAGTATCCCTGAAAAGATATTACAAGCGTTGCACGGTTGTCTTCAGTTAATGTCGTGAGATATTGGTTAATTCCATTAAATTAACGGAAACCCTTGCTTTATTTGCAAAATTTATAAATAAAGCAGTTCACCAGTATATCGGAAATGATAACAGGGACCAAGACAAATCATCATGGCCTGCCGAGCGATGTCGGAGATCGCTCAAGTGTGGGTAAAACTATCAAACTCCGGGGACACCCTAAAGCTTCTGGTACCAAGCTATAGATTTTTTTGTGATCTTATCACAGAAAAATTTAAGAAAAATTTTTTTCTTAATTGAAAAACTATATGTGGCTGAAGTAATTACTCAGACTTTTTTTATAGTCGAGCTTCGCTCGACCATAAAAATAAGGTAACAAGTCAGAAGATGATTGAAAATGAAATGGGCTATCGCGGAACTAAGTCAGTAACAGGTTTAAGTAAACCCACAAACCAGGAAGAAAAATCTGTTACTGTAAAAGCGCAACGAGTAGACGGTAGTTGATGCATTAAACCTGTCCCCAAAAACAAAAAATTAATGCATTTAAGGTGTACTCTAATGGGCTTCGAAAGAGGTTATCAAGTCAGAATCCCTTCTAATCAGGTAAACACAAGAAGATTAACCACTATACATCTACCTTCTAATCAAATGAACCCTTGATTTTTTACAGGGTTTTCGGATGCAGAGGGTTCATTCTCTATTTTAGTTCAGCATAATATTAAATATAATACCAATTGGAGGGTTAAAGCTATTTTCGCTATAGGGCTGCACAAAAAAGACAAATCTATATTGGAAAAAATCCAACTTATGTTAGGTGTAGGTAAAATACATAAACATGGTAAAGATTCCGTTCAATATAGAGTAGACTCTATTAAAGAATTACAGATTGTCTTAAACCATTTTGATAAGTACCCACTTATGTCTGCCAAATTAGCTGATTATATTTTATTTAAAAAAGCTTTTAATATAATGAAGGCTGGAGAACATTTAGGTAAAGAAGGTTTATTAAAAATAATCGGAATAAAGGCCTCTCTTAATTTAGGTTTATCACCTAGTTTAAAAGAAAGTTTTCCAAACTTTGTCTTGGTTAATAGACCAGAGTATTCTTTTAAAGATATTCTTGAGCCTGAGTGAGTAGCAGGATTCATAAGTGGAGATGGTAGTTTTAATATAAAAACCAGTAGTTCTATAAGCAGTAAATTAAGCAGCAGAGTACAATTAAGATTAGGAGTAGGTTTAAACCTTAGAGATAAGGAACTTATCCGAGGTCTGATTGTTTTCTTTAATTTAGAACAAGGTAAACATATGCATATTTCAAACGATTCTGTACATCTTGAAATTTCAAAGTTCACAGACATTGTAAATATAATAATACCATTTTTTGATAAGTACCCTATACAAGGTATAAAAAGCTTAGATTTTGCGGATTTCAAGAAAGTGGCATCAATTGTGGAAGATAAAGGGCATTTGACCCTAAACGGTTATAATAATATTATGAGTATTAAAGGGGGAATGAATAAAAACAGATTATAGTAAAAACACTAGTTGTTTATAATAAAGGACGCTTTAGATATAGATTAACTTTTAAACCCGCAGGCTCAAGGTTAATGTATGTTTATCTGTATGGCAAATCTGATCGCTATGAAATATTGTGGGCTATAGACGTGCCACATATACCTATACAAAGAGATGCGAAAATGTGAATTTAAGCTAATCTCAAAAAGTAGGATAAAATATGGATTGTAGTCTGAAATTCGACTACATGAATAAGGAATTACTAGTAATCGTGAATCACCACGTCACGGTGGATTTAATCTCAGATAGGTACTAACTACTCGTCAGGCGCCGAAAGAAGTATGTGCAATAAGTTTGGCTAACTATTATAATTTAATTCTAGATAAATAGGTCTAGTTATTATAGTGGAAGGTTTTCGTATGCGTGACTTTAATTGGTGTTAAGTCGAAATATGGTTCGTGTAGTGGAAGTTGCACGGGATTAATTAATGTTAACAATAATAAAGGGGCAGTACCGTGGGTACTGCCTTCAAGTCTATGTTTGGAGCAAGGTTTTCTTTGTTTAAATCTATTACATCTGGTTCGAATCCGGAATAGACTCATGATAAAACTAATAATAAATATAAATAAACGCGAACTTGGATCTTTCTACTGTTTCTCTCTCTCCTCCTCAACAAGTTGAGGAGGTGGGGAGAGAAAAAGGAGGAAAATATCGCCTTTGCCTGCAAGGAGGGTTGATCAATGTTAACTGTTAATGGAAGATACACACAGTATGCACAGTATATGTATTACGATCGGGGTAGCCAGATGGTAAGGCACTGTGTTTCGGCCACATAGATTACAGGTCCGAGTCTTGTACGCGTTTAAATTTATGTTTCTTTTTTTTTCTCTAAAATAAAAAGGTATCAGGTTAATACTTTAATTTAAAATATTCTTAAAGAGACTAATTACACGTACTAACCAAGCAATATAAAATATAATGTTAAAAATATCTGCTTAATGTTTTTATTGTAAAATAAAATTAGAAAACGTTTAGTCTAAATATAAGCCTTGTCTTTCAGCCACAAATATTACAAGTTCGAGTCTTGTACGCGTTTAGACTATAATCATACTAAAAAAAAAGAATAAAATGAAGAAAGTTCGAGAAGTATGACATATTTTTTTCCTCGCCCGTAGGTCAGGAAAATCTATCCTCCTTTAATATAGTTTAATTCTTATTCCTTTTAAAAAAGAACAGTTATAGGTGCAATATTTAGATAGTTTAACCTAGATAGAACAAAATTTAATAATCTTAAAATAAAGTAAAAAAAAAGTTTTTTTATAGGACTGGTCTAGTAGAGGTATACTTTTTATAAACAAAAAAATGAGTATTTTTTTTCAACCAGTTTTATTAATAGCCTTTCTACTGCAGATACTATGGTGTTATTTGCAGAAGCTTTTTTCTAAGAGTCGTATTGCTTTTGTAGCCTTAACAGAATTAGCTAGCGGTTCCTCAGAGAGTTTAGCCATGGTGCTTACTAGTAATAATCTAGCCGAGTGTTAGATGCTCTAGACTAACCTCCACGTAGTGATAGCTTTCGAAGTTTGGTCATAATAAAAGCGTCCTGGATAGTAATTTAATCTGATTAGCAAATAAATTAGTAGGTAGTGGTGTATTCCGTACATAATTAGGTTGCACTCTAAAAGAGTAAAAAAAAAGTTCAGCCTATGGAGTATAAACATCGAATGCTGGAGGTAGCTAATCCTGTCTCTTTTCACCCTTCCAAGTAGAGCTAGTCTACATATGGGCTTTTTGCATCTTCTATGCAAAAAAAGCCCCCCAGGAAACTTCCATAATTGGTAAGATGGGTTGAGCTGTAAACTCAATAGTATTGTACTTTTAAGAGTTCGAATCTCTTGTTTCCTATTGATAGTAACTTTTTATTATATAATAAATAATTCTTTATATTTGAATAAATATACTTAAATGACCTATATAATTTATATAAGCTTTGAAACATGTACGTAATTGATAAATAGCTAGGTAAGAATTGAATATGGGCATCTTTACGCACAAAGACCGACTTATTCTTTTTTTTTTTTTATTTTCTTGGTATCACACTTGCTGTTCCTAACCCTTAGGGGTATGGAAAAAAAAAGATTTAAAAATAAAAATACCTTTATTATTTCCCCCTCATTTCTCTCCCTCCTCCTCAACCAGTTGAGGAGGTAGGAAAGAAAAAGGACAGGGATTAGTCCATATAAATTTTGGCTTGTTAGCCTATTTGCTATGTGTATTAGTTAAATGATATCTAATTTAAACTAAATATAAGAGGTCTTTATACTTATACTAAGCTTGGTCATTGTAAAAAAAAAATATCCAGCTAGCTTTATTTTTGCTAGCCGCAGCCTAGCTCTCGCTTGGCTGCGCCAAGCGAAAGCTAGGTTTTTAATAAAAATTCAAAAGGCAGGAGAGACTTTTTTTTTTTTATACTTATATATTCAAGCCTTTATAGCTCAACGGTAGAGCGAAATACTGTTAATATTTTGATAGATGTTCGATTCATCTTGAGGGCTGTGTATAAGGTATATGTGTTAATACGCGTTAGCCAAATGGTAAGGCATTGTGTTTCGGCCACAAAGATTACAGGTTCGAGTCTTGTACGCGTTTAAATTTATGTTTCTTTTTTTTTCTCTAAAATAAAAAGGTATCAGGTTAATACTTTAATTTTAAAATATTCTTAAAGAGACTAATTACACGTACTAACCAACGCAATATAAAATATAATGTTAAAAATATCTGCTTAATGTTTTTATTGTAAAATAAAAATTAGAAAACGTTTAGTCTAAATATAAGCCTTGTCTTTCAGCCACAAATATTACAAGTTCGAGTCTTGTACGCGTTTAGACTATAATCATACTAAAAAAAAAGAATAAAATGAAGAAAGTTCGAGAAGTATGACATATTTTTTTCCTCGCCCGTAGGTCAGGAAAATCTATCCTCCTTTAATATAGTTTAATTCTTATTCCTTTTAAAAAAGAACAGTTATAGGTGCAATATTTAGATAGTTTAACCTAGATAGAACAAAATTTAATAATCTTAAAATAAAGTAAAAAAAAAGTTTTTTTATAGGACTGGTCTAGTGGAGGTATACTTTTTATATAATTTATCATGATTAATTTAATTCTTTTATGAGAAACTTTCACTAATAGTTTTAGGGCAGAAATGTTGGATGTTGCTTCATTATTTGCTATTTTTTGTGCTATACTTGTTATTGTTAGTAAAAATCCAATAGTGTCCGCACTATTTCTAATTGGTTTATTTTTAAGTATTTCTTGTTATCTTATAATGCTTGGTATTAATTTTATTGGTCTGTCTTATTTATTAGTATATGTAGGGGCTGTATCTATTCTGTTTCTATTTATTTTAATGTTAATAAATGTTAGAATAAGTGAGTTATTAACTGACACCAGCAATAGTATACCTTTAGCTATTATTATTTCTATTTCTTTTTATTCTTCTGTACATTCTACAATACCCTACAGTATTGTACCTTTTACTAGCTATATTTCAAATATCATTAATACATTTAATGATATATTAGATATAATACTGTTATATATTAATAATGGTATAATATCTTTTACGAGTAATTTTACTAACACTAGTTTTACTACTACTAATATTTGAGATGGTAATTTGTCAGAAACTAGTCATATAACAAGCATAGGTAATATTCTTTACACTACTTATAGTATATGACTAATATTAACTAGTGTCATACTTTTATTAGCAATGGTTGGTGCTATCGTTATAACTATAAAACAAAGAGAAGTTAAAAGAGAAGTAAAAAGTATGAATACCTAGCATAAAAATTTCCTTAAGTGAAGGTAAAATAAATTTTAAAGGATTAGTAGTAAAATTAAGACTTATTTTTTTTATCGGGAGTAACTTTAACAATAGTCTTGCCCTTATTCATGATGCCTGGTCAGGCATCAGATAAAGCCGCTATATTAACATTTTCAGTTAAATTGGTGAATAATGATTAAGTTTTTAAGGTAGATTCTTTTAGTATAAAAGAGTGTTAAATACCCTAAACCTATGCCACTAGGCACTGTCGCTACAGTGCCCCAAGGGATTAGCTCAAAGGTAGAGCAACCGTTTTACACACGGTTGGTTAGGTGTTCAAGTCACCTATTCCTTAATCATAACCCGTATTAATATAACTAATTGTATCAAATGTTAGATTAATAAGGTGTTGAATTTGCAACTAAAATTATACACTATTGTGTGCAAAATATAACATATATTAAATTAAGTATAACCTGTCTATTTATTGATGATTATTTGTAATATATATTTTTTTTACTTCTGGCCATTTTCTCTCCCTCCTCCTCAACTAGTTGAGGAGGAGGGAGAGAAAACCCAGATAAAGGGTAAGTTAATGCTTTTAGCCGAAATATAAAGGTATTAACTTCAGACTGTACTTAGATATGATGTTTTTTTTTTCTTAAATATATTGGAAGCTCTAGCAAGTTTCTTTCCCCCCCCTTTTTTTTTTCCTTTTTTTTTTAGTTATATATTTATAACTAAAAAAAGGGGGGGGGGGGTGAAAACGAAAAAAAAAAATAAAGCAGGGACCGGGTAAAATTTCCCCTATTTTAATTTTAAAGTAAACTATATGTAGGTTATAATTAATATTTGATACGATTAACCACCATTAAAAGGTTAGGACTAAATTAGGATATTTGTTATGAAAAAAAAATAAAAAAAAAATATATAGTATTATGTGAGCTACGAGCCTAAAAAAAAGAAACTATTTAAACAAATTTATAATTTGCCTAGCCGAGGCTAGGCAAAGCCTAGTGTGTATTTTTTATGTCTTAGCATAGACTCCTAAATCTTTTTTATATAGAAACGACTCTTTTTTTTAGGGTGTAGTATAATTATATATTATAATAATTAATGAAGAAAGATAAAAGAATGACAATTTTAACAAGAAGTAATTTTCAAGCTCATCCTTTCCATTTGGTATCACCATCACCTTGACCTCTGTTTACATGTATTGCACTATTAACATTAACAACTACTGGTAAACCCTTTAATATGCCAGTCAATTTTCAAACTATGTGCTGGAAAATCCTATTGCTTATAACAGCAAAAATAGGACTATCAGCAGGAAACCTACCAAATAATATTTTTTTAGGGTTCTTCAGAGACTATACGTTTAAATTTCTCTTTTGTGTCACGTATGTATTTATGTCTATTTTGTTTTGTCTATTAAAAAAAACATCAACTGATAATTATAAGGATGCTACTAGCTATCTTAGTTCCTATAAAGACGAAACTAACGACGTTTCATCTAATGTAAATAAGAGTAGGCTTTCACATTACTTAGCTGGTTTAATTGAAGCTGATGGTACTATAATAACACCTAAGAGCGAAAGATCGCCCAAAGGCAGACTATATTATCCTTCTATCCAAATTGTGTTTGATTCACATGATATGTCTTTAGGTTTAATGATTCAAAACACATCAGGCCACGGTTCTCTTTCAAAAAAAAAAGGAGCTAATGCTTATGTTTTAACATTTAACAACAAAGAAAGCATTGTGTTAATTGTGTCTTTAATAAATGGGTGTATGAGAACACCTAAAATTAAAGCATTACATGACTTAATTGACTGAATGAAAGTATCAGAATACTCTGATACAATTATACCTAAGTTACCCTTAAATTGTGAACCTTTGGGTTCTAATCCATGGTTTGCGGGATTTATAGATGGGGATGGCCATTTTTCGGTAAGAGCTAGTAGCTCAAAAACTAAACGAGTTAATCCCGTAGTTGAGTGTAGACTTGAATTGGTACAAAGACAAATATACCACAATGGTTTAAGTAATTATGAATTTATGCATGATATAGCTAAGTTCTTAAATAGTAAACTAGGTGTAGTAAGAAGTGATTCAGCTCATCATCAATACAGGGTAAGAACTATCAATTTAGCTAGTAATATGATATTATCAAGCTATTTTACTAAATACCCTTTATTTAGTAGTAAGCATCTGAACTACTTAGACTTTCTAAAAGTCTTAGAGCTTCAAAAAGCAAATAGACTTAATCCAGGAGATGTCAAATATTTAAACAAAGTAAGAGAAATAAAAGAAGGAATGAATAACAAAAGAACTCTTTTCTTTTGAGATCATTTACGTGATTTTTACAAATTAGAGAAATAAGATCTAGTCCTATCCTATGCGTAAGTGTAGGCGTATATACCCAAAAGTCCTTAGTTTAACAAACTAATCCTTAATCGTTTGTTGATGGCGCGAGCTCGGGCTTTTTTGAAGCTAGGATCTATTAGCCTAGCTATGGGAGTCAATCCAGTATATCAAAATTTTGTGGTATTAACAATGCATGGTTTTAGTAATGCAAACTATTTTTTAACTATAGCTTTTATATCTGTTGTTTCTTCAATGTCGTTTTGATGAAGAGATGTTATATCAGAGGGTAAAATGTTTTTCAAAAGTACTATACTGTTTATTGATAATTTGAATATAGCTAAAGCTATCCCTATCAAAGATATAGAGAAAGCTTTAAATTTTTATAAAGCTAATAATAACAATTCTATACTAGCTACAAAGAATAATTTAGGTCATTATTTAGCTGGCCTGTTAGAGGGAGACGGACATATATCTATTCCTGCTTTAGGTAATACAACTTTAAACCGAGTACTTAACCCTAGAATAGTTTTTACTTCACATATTAACAATTTAGGTATGTACGCCTTTATCCAGTCAGAGTTAGGTAATGTGGGACGTTTTCAAATTACAGGTGAAAATATTCTTCGTTATATTATTGGAGATAAGGCTGGAATTATGCTTTTTATTAACTTAATACATGGTAAACTTAGAACACCTAAGAACAAAAGATTTAATGATCTAATTAAAGTATTTAACGCTAAATATTCTTTAGGCATATCAGAAAGTTTATTAGATAATTCCTACTTTACAAACAATAGTTGATTTACAGGCTTTACGGAAGCTGATGGACATTTTGGTATTAAATATGTCGAAAGCAAAGCTAAATCAGATACTCGTAAAAGGTCTGTTAGTAAAAATATTAGTCTAAAATTTAGATTAGATCAGCGTTCATATGACAAGCCTACATCTTCTTCTATGAAACCTTTTATGGAAAGTTTAGCTTTATTTTTGTCTTGTAACCTTAAAAATTATACTAACAATAAAGGTTCAGAAGCATTATCTCTAAGTGTATTATCTATAGATGGTGTAAAATTTCTTATTGATTATTTTAATAAATATCCCTTGTTGGGTAATAAGTCTAATGATTTTAATAAATGAGGGATTGTCTACAATATGATTATATCTAAGGAACATCTTACTGAACAAGGTAAACTAAAGATTAGATCTTTGATAGGAAAATTGTAAATAAAAGCTTGCGCGGGGCGGCATGCCGCATTTTATTTTTTTTTTTTATAATAATTTTATTACGTGATAATCAAATTATCATAAAAAAAAAATAAAAAAAGTTTAGGCAAGCCGCGCAGGCGGCTATATAAAAGTTATAAAGACAGTATTGTTACATCATGTGCCCTCTTAAAATTTAACTAATTGCTGGAAACTCTTGTTATAACTAGACAATCAGCAGGAAACCAACGGATGGATAAATATCCTAGTAGGATCTACAGAGACTACACGTTAAAAATTAATACGTTAACTTAATATATTTAACCTATTAATTAAGATATAGTCCAATTCGTTTATTTATAAGTGGTTGCATTTTTGACATACTTAGGTAACCACACTCTGTCGGTACAAAGAGGATTAAATATGGGTGTTGCTTTATTTATAGTCTCAGAAGCATTATTTTTCTTAGCTATATTTTGAGCGTTTTTTCATAAAAACAAATTGTGAATAGAAACCATACTCCGGGGAAGCCCTAAAGCCCTAATAACTAAACTTTTAAAGAAGGCTTTAAAAGTGGCCTCGTTAATAGCTGAGGGTATAGTAACATCATTAGAGATTCTTGGTCTTGATCAAGAAATGGGCAATCGCGGATCTAAACCAGATAGCTACATATCTGTAAAAGAGCAACGAGTAGACGGTTTCTCAGTATTAAAGAAATACTGTGAGGTGTGCTCTAAGTGCCAGGGAAACCTGGTTTTTATTGCCTTTTTAAATTATGTAAATACGATAGTTGAATCTATACCTGGAATCCAGGTTTATCCAAAAGCCCCAATATCTTTGTTTTCTGTCTTTACTTTTGCTGACAAAAAACCCTTGCTGACAGGAGGTCAAGCAAGGTTTTCCGAATTTAGCCCTGCTTCAACTAATGGCTTGAATCCTTATTATATCACTGGTTTTACTGACGGGGAAGGGTGTTTTTTTGTAGGTGTTAGTCCAGACTCTAAAAGTAAGACAGGTTATAGAGTAAAAGCTAATTTTCAAATTGGTTTACATATAAAAGATCTTGCCTTATTAGAACAAATTAAATCGTTCTTTGGGGTAGGTAAAATATCTAAATTGGGTGCGGAATCTGTTCAATTTAGAGTATATGCACTTGAAGACTTAAAAGTTATTCTTCACCATTTCGATAAATACCCTTTATTAACTAATAAGCAATCCGATTATCTACTTTTTAAACAAGTAGTAAATTTAATGGAAGAAGGTAAACATTTGACTTTAGAAGGTTTAAATAAAATTATGTCAATTAAAGCTGTGCTAAATAATGGGGAAGTATCTGATAATTTGAGGCTAGCTTTCCCTAATATAGAACCTATTTTAAGACCAGAAATTAAAGATAGAACTATAAAAAGTTTACACTGGTTAGCTGGTTTCACCGATGCTGAAGGATGTTTCTTTGTAGCATTAAAAAAATCCCCTGCATCTAAGTTAGGTGAAGCCGTATGATTGAGATTTATTTTGACTCAACACACTAGAGATGAAGATTTTCTAAAAAGTTTAATTTCTACTTTAAATTGTGGGAGATATATACCTAAATCTGGCTATGGTGAATTTATAGTTGAAAAATTCAGCGAGGTTAGTAATAAAGTGATTCCCATTTTTGAAGAATTTAAATTACACGGGATAAAATCTAAGAATTTTGAGGATTTCCAAAAAGTGGCTTTGCTTATGAAAAACAAAGTACACTTAACTAGAGAGGGGCTAGATGAAATAAAGAAGATAAAAGGGGGAATGAATAAAAGTAGATTAAACTAACATTAGTATATAAACATAATATAGGATTAAAAAAATTAAAAAAAATTAATATGTGCTTTGCTTGCTTCTTTCCTTTTTTTTTTATTTTTTTCCATGTAAAAAAAAATAAAAAAGGGAAGTCTGCGTAGCTGGTAACACATAGTTAATCTAAAAACGAGTGCTTTTATCGCCTACGATCGAATTGGGTGCTCAATGACCACCTATGGGTATAGAAGCTGTTAACCCTTAGGGTAAAAAGATATCAAAGGGGCATCGGAAATCTTTCGATGCAAAAAGGGCTAATTGCGGGGAAGTTTCTTAAGAATAATGTGAGTATACATTGGTACACGTGTACACTTTAAATAATCCGCAGGTAATGCTTATATATTAAAGATAATGTGTTGGAAGTTTTTAAATATTGTTTAGGGTAACAGTATCGGCTTAATCCTTCGACTAGGGTACGCAAGCCTGGTCGTCCTTAGCTTCAGTTCCCTCAGCTAGCTAGGCGGGTCGTATGATTTATTTCATTGCTAGGAGAGCTAGTTTGCAGATAGGAATTAAAAAGATCGGAAAGTCGGAAAACTTTATTGTCTTTTTTTATAAGTAAACTTCAACGATCATACGCCTTTATATAAATTATTTAAAGTGACCTTTAGAATAAGTCTTCTGTTTTTTATCTCCATTCTTAAATTAAAGCACAAATACATCTTGTCGCTACGTAAAGGATTTTAAGAATGAAGGATAAGATAATTAACTGGTCATTCCGTTTTATTTTGCTATCCAAGGCTTGGATATGTCTGAATAAGAAATTATCACCCTCGGCTACCTTTAAATATATTTATATATGATATGATCTAATCTAAAAGTTAATTTAGAAAGTTTGATGAACTTACCTTTATAATGAGTACCGGTATTATTCCCATTAATAGTCGCAGAATCCGGACCATTAAAACTAAAGGTTATAGTAGGAGTAGTCTACCCTTAATCAATAAAGAAGATTATGCTATCTTATATGGATTGATTTTAGGAGATCTATACATTTCAAGATAGAATACTGAGAATGCTTCCTTGAGATTTGAGCAATCGATTATTCATGAACAATATCTTAATCATTTATTTGCAAAATTTAATTATCTCTGCACACCATCTGCTTCAGTTAAGCGAGCGGTTAGAAAGTTATATCCCGATACATCCTCAGTTTATTTTACTACTCGTCAATTAATAGCTGTTACAGAACTTCATACTTTGTTTTACTCAAAGGGTAGAAAGATAGTACCATTAAACATAAGTTCCTTATTAACCGATAAGAGTTTAGCTTACTTCTCTTTTACAACTTATATTGAATATTAAATTAAATAAAAATTAAATTAAACGAATAAAAAAGATATGCATTCTTGGATTTCCTTTGATAATTGTTATCAATACTATAACTATGGTTTCAAGCTCCATTATAAAGGTAATAAAGAGAAAATAGATAGAAATATTTATTTTCTACCATCAGACTAACTAACGTTTAACGTCCATTACAAATAAAAGATCAGAAAATAAGTAAGGTTCTTATTTAAACATATCTGATTAGATTTGTAATGGAAATAATACGTATTTGTATAAAAATAAATAGGTGTTTGTATAGGGAGCGTATTTGTAAATATACCTTACCTACATTTTAATTACTTATTAAAGTCTTGTGTTTTAACTTGACTAAGAAGAAGAAGATACCTTTTAATATATTTCGTTTAAGTTCTAAATATTGTTATAAAAAGACAACATAAAAATAGATATAAATTTATTATACAAGTTAAAACGTATAATAGGTTGTTTGAATCATATTTACTTTATAATTTACAGGATAGTATTCTTATCATACCATGCCCTTTGTTTGCCCAGGAACCTACAAATGATTATCTTTATTTTTCACTTATACCTTTTATAATTAAAGGAATAAACATTACACCATGTAAATCTTATTTAAATGCTGATTTAGATAAAAATTTAATCTATCAGGAAAATAAGAATAAAACCGGTGTATACCTTTGAATTAACATAAGTAATAACAACAGCTACGTAGGTAGTAGTTTTAATTTATCTAAAAGATTTACTTGATACTATAGTTTTAATAATTTAAATAGATTAGTAGAAAACAGCGCTAGTCTTATAGGGAGAGCTTTATTAAAATATGGTTATAGTGGATTTAGGTTATATATATTAGAATATTGTGAAAGTGATCAGCTGCTAAACCGAGAACAATATTACAAGGATCTTTTGAATCCAGAGTATAATCTTTTACGAGTAGCAGGTTTATCTTTGGGTATAAAACATTCTCTTGCTACTATAGCTAAGATTAAATCCCATAAGTTTACGAGCGGACAACTAGCTAAATTGAGAGAGCATTTAAATAAACAAAATGCTAGTGATGAGCAATGGGCTAAAGCTAGGGAGAGAATGCTTAAGATAAATAAGGATAAAGGTATAGGGATAGAAGTGTTTGATACGGTGACAGGATTGACAGCTGTTTATAGCTCGATTCGTCAAGCTGCATTGGCCATAGGTTGTCCACATTCGAGTATGTTATTAGCCAGAAAGGCATTTGTGAACAAAGGGGTTGAAACCTTTGTAAAAAAAGATACATAATAAAAAATTAGTTTAAGCTCTTTAGTTTAAGCAGGTAACGATCAATATCTATATTTGTCTTTTAAATTTTGGTCTTCCTGTCCCCCTCAGCAAAGCAGGGAGGGGATGATGGAGATAACCACAGGTCAGGTTATATCCTTAATACATGTGGGTTTTTACTAGGAGATATTAAATTATTACAAGTAGCTTTATATAAGAACTGAGGTCTATTTACCTCTATTCATAGTAGAAATAGAATATATATAAAGGCAGAGTCAAGAAGTAAATTTCTTGAAATAATCAAGCCTCGTTTTCACTCTTCAATGCTATACAAAATTAATTAACAATTTAAAGGGTTGTTTGAACTACCTTTACTTAATACAGTAATATTATTATCATCAGGTGTAACAGTAACATACGCTCATCATTCTTTAATACAAGGAAACAGAAGCGGAGCTTTAGATGGTTTAGTTGCTACAGTACTATTAGCTCTAGTATTCACCGGCTTAGACATTAGTTGTATGTCTTTTTTCAGTGTTGGTTTTACCGTCAAAGGGGGACCTTTAAGTAATAACTATAGTTCGGCCACAGTGGATGAACCAAAGCTTTCCCCTCACTGGGTTACGGGATTTGCGGATGCAGAATCAAGCTTTAGTTTGAAAGTCTCTAAAAGTAGTACCACTCGTTCAGGTTGAAATGTTATACCTGAATTTCAAATAACGCTACATAGCAGGGACTTACTATTATTAAGAAAAATACATACCTTTTTCGGTATAGGTATAGTTGGTGAACGTGAAGATAGAAATCAGGTATATTATAGCGTTCAATCTGCACGTGCTATAGTTAATGTCATTATACCTCATTTTGATAGATATCCTTTAATAACTCAAAAGAGGGCGGATTACCTTTTATTTAAACAAGCTGTAAACTTATTAATACAGGGCCAATCACGATCTAGTTTTGAAGGAATCCGTGATATTCTAAGTCTTAAGGGCTCCATGAATAAAGGATTATCTGATACATTAAAATTACACTTCCCCGACATCCTACTTTTTCCTCGTCCAGTAGTAGGTGAGCAAGGCATCCAGGACCCTAGTTGATTAACAGGTTTTGTAGATGGAGAAGGTTTTTTTTATGTTAAATCACTAAAGAATAAGAGATATTCATCAGGCTTTAACCTTACCATGGTTTTTTCTATACCTCAACATGTAAGAGATGAGGCTTTATTAACTAAATTTATTGACTACTTAGGATGTGGTAGGATTGAGAGGGCCCCAACCAGACCAGAGATAGTTAATTTTTCTGTAAGTAAATTTAGTAATATTAAAGAAAAGGTGATACCTTTTTTCCAAAGTTGTTCCTTACATGGTATAAAGCGTATGGATTACTTAGATTTTGTTAAGGTAGCTAAGATTGTAGAAATTAAAGGTCATTTAACGCCCGAAGGTATTAATAAGATAAATTCTTTAAAATCTGGAATGAATAGCTCTAGAATGTATAATTAATTATGAGTAGGTATTTGGCTAAGCCAGCACGAAAAAGCATATATATATAGGCCTTTGCTTAAAGTTATGCATAAATAAATTAGTAAGCTCTTAGCTTTATGCACGAAGTTAGGCAAATGTATAAAGTAAATTGCATGGAAATCTTGTAACTTTTCGCCCTGAGCGCTGAAATTGCAGCTAATACATTTTAAGCGTAAAGTGTTAATTAATCTAATAACAAGACAATATGCAGCCAACTTTTCTTAAATATTACAAAGAATATTTAAGAAGTAGGTTCAACGACTCATAAATAGGATAAAACAATTTAGCACTCCTGTTTTATCAAGGGACCGCAGTTTTATTTAACTCTGGATACTGACCTTTAGACAGGGTGCTTTTTTTTATTCTGTTTATTTAAAAACTTTGGTATACACATAACGATATTATTGTATATATTATATAGTCTGAACAATAGTGAAAATTATTGAAATAAGGATTAAACGCCTTATGATAACAATATTGTACAAGGTGTAGAATACACTGTTTCTTCATTCACTATAAGTGATGGTGCATTTGGATCATGTTTTTATTTTGGTACCGGCTTCCACGGCTTACATTCATACTCAGATTGGAACCTGAGAAATAGTGTAAAAAAGTATGCACATTTTAGGTTTTATTCAGCAATTACTTCACCTATGTTGCCTTAAAATTTTTCCCCTTTTTTTTTTTATCGCCCGCAAGTCTGCGCGGGGCGGCATGCCGCACTTTATTTTTTTTTTATAAATAATAATTTTATTACGTAATAATCAAAATATCAAGAAAAAAAAATAAAAAAATTTAGGCAAGCAGCGGTGGCGGCTTGCGTTTTTTCCTTTTTTTTTTAGTTATACATGTATAACTAAAAAAAGGGAAAAACGAATGAAAAAAAAGGAAAAAAAATTAGCTGAAGGGTGTTTTTCTATTAGAGTTAGAAAAACCACTAGGACTCTTGTAGGTTGACAAGCAGAAGCTGTCTTTTCTATCCATCTTCGTTTGCGAGATTTACTACTTTTGCAAGAAATTCAGGCTTATTTTTGCGGTGTAGGTAGAATATCGGAAGGGTGAAAAGTTGTGGTTACTTTGTATCTTTTATAGGAGATTTAACTACTAAAACTACACCTCATTTTGTAAAATACCCTTTAATAACTCAAAAACTAGGAGATTTCCTTCTTTTTGAGTTCGTAGTAGAGATGGTTAATCTTAAAAAACGTTTAACAATGGAAGGGTTACAAAAGATTGTATCTTTTAAAGCTTCAGTTAATCTTGGCTTAATCGATGTATTAAAGGCTGCTTTCCCTGAGACTGTACCAGCCTTAAAACCTTTAATTGTAATTACAGAAAAACCACATCCTTATTGGATGGCTGGGTTTGCTTCAAGAGATGGTTGTTTTGCCATAACTGAAAACAAATTTTCTTCTAAAAATATTGTTAGATTACTTTTTAGTTTATCTCAACATAGTAGAGATGAATCTTTAGTTAGAAGTTTGGCGGCTTTTTTTTTTGTTGTGGTACATATAGTCCATCTTCTTTAGGTCGAACTACGGTAAGTTTGAAAACTTATAGGTTTTCAGACAATTATAATAAAATCATGCCGTTTTCCTAACCCCCGGCAGGCCTTTTTTTCCTTTTTTTTAGTAATAAATATATAATTATTACGTAAATAGTATTGTATAATAACAAAAAAAAAAGAGGGAAGAAATTCGGGGTAGAATATAATATAAGAGGTATTAAGGCTCAAGATTTTAAAGATTGATGTACAGTAGCCGAAATAATTCAAACCAAGGATCATTTAATTAAAGAAGGGTTTGACCGAGTTTGTCAAATCGAATCCGGAATGAATAAAGGGAGATAAGTCGCTACATTGTTAACTTATGAATAAGATGATCTTAGAATGTTCCCTCCGTATCTAGCCACTTAGGTAAGGGAGCGTTTAGCCCTAAGGCTTTAAAGGGTAAAAGTATATCCCCTTTTGGTACTTGTACTTTTGTTTACCATTGGAGGTAAACGAGTAAAAATTTGTTTAACCAAAGAATACATACTAAACTGCCAAACTCCGGGGAACCCCTAAAGACAATAATACCACCTTATATATAGTGAAAAGTCTAATAATAAGTACCGTTATTAATCGTAGTGGGTAAGGTAAAAAGTTATTGTATTAAGGAAACTTAAATGGGCAATCGCGGAACTAACCTATATAAATCTTTTGAGACAAATATGGAAAAGCGCATCGAGTAGACGGCAGTTGTTGTGGAAGGGAAACTAGAAGCAATTAAGGTGTATTCAGTCTTCCTTAGAAATAAGGAAATAACTTTACGTTCTTGCTAAGTCGCCTTTTATTTGGTTTATGTACCTTGTTTATACTTATGTTGTTACTAGTGGATTAAATCATTTAAACCGTGCGATATGTTAAAGTAAAGATAGGCACGGTGATGATCGGTACAGCTTTCATAGCTGTGGGTTTATGACGTGTTTTGGCTTACCATTCCACAGATAACCACCATCTGGGAATGGAGGCAAGTATACTATATTGACATTTTGTGGATGTGGTATGACTTTTTTTATATATTTCTATATACTACTGGGGTTCATAGTATGTAAAGAATATTAAAATAAATATCCTTATTTATTTTATTTCATTAATATTTGCGGAGTTATTTTAACAGCTGTATGTTTCTACGAAGTTCTTACTTAGCTTGTTATGTGTCCAAGTGAAGAGGGTGGCCTTAGTAAACCTAGTGGACCGGCCCTAGTGAACCAAGTGGACTGCCCCTGGTGGATCTGGGGACTGGGTTAGAGAAAGGAAGATATATGGGAGGAAATTAAATAAGATGCAAGGGACTTAATACTTAGAGGATGTATAATGTTTTAGATAAAGAGGAGGCTCGGGTAAAGAGCAGGTCTATAGAAAAGATGATGATCTATTAAATAATCTTTACCCTTATTCCTTTTTGTTTTGGGCGGAGCCCCAGAGTCCAGTAAACTACTAATTAGTTATAGATATGTAGCTTATCCCTTAGAAGTATTTTAGGGTTAAACCCCGCTAACTATAAGGAAACCGGGAGAAAGCATAAATTAAGACTGGCTCTATGTACGTGTAGGCACTAATTTGTGATAAAGCCCCCCCTCCTTTTTTTTGTCCGCCCACCTATTTAGACTATTCGCTATACCTGCCCTGTTCCCTGACACTCTAATAAACTTCCTTTCCCCTTTATTTTCCTTTTTTTATAATTAAACTGTAATTAAAAAAAAGGAAAATACAGTGGTGATAAAAGGAGGGGGAAATAAATTTTGAAGGTAGATTTTAAAAGATTAATTTAATTTAAAAATAAAATATAGTTGAGGATCATTAACATATCGGAAAACTTCCTTATCTATAAAGGAAATCTTTATATATAAAGGAAATCTCTTTTTAAATAGAAAGGGGAGTAGACTAAATTACATATAAATTTAAATATAACCCTGCAGCAGCTTAGCGTGCGTGCTTGTTCTCAACTCTTATATTTATCTTGACTATATGTTAAGCAGCGCTATTTTTTAATTTTAATACTAAATTTATACAATGTTAGTTCTAATGTTTATTAGTAATATATAGTAAAAAATAAAAATACCCTAAGATAAACATGTCATTTTGTGTTTATTTAGCTAAAATAACTTCTTTACCCTTGTGTTGGCATTTTTATTTTTATATGTAGCTCAAAAGAAAGATAAATAAATTTTATTTTTAATTACTTGATGCCTATTCTTTTTTTCTTATAGCCTGATTAAGTATTAAATACTGTTTTAATAAACATCGCACCTGTGCAGTGTTTATTAACTCTTATTAGCTCAATGGTAGAGCAGGATATTTCTAATATCTAGATCTAAGTTCGAGTCTTAGATAAGAATAAAATATCATTAAGCTTACTCTAAGTAATATATTTTTTTTCGCCTGTTAGGAGACTAAAAAAAAAGAGAATAGACAATATACTAGTTTAATGGTAAAATACGAGACTTTTAATCTTTGTTATAGGGGTTCGAGCCCCATAGGTCTTAAATCTGCCTTCATGCAAGACCAGTACTGGTCTTGCACCTTTTTTTCTCTTTTTTTTAGTTATAATAGTTTAATTTCTACGTAGTAATTAAACGTATAATAATAAAAAAAAGAGAAAAAATCGGGGTAAAACTATTCTTTTTTTTTTTTTATTATTTTATAATAAAAAAATAAACGGCCATAGGTTAATGGTAGACCTTTCGTCTTCCAAACGATTTGTGTCGATTCGAATTCGGCTGGCCGTAAGGGTTAATATTCTAATTGGTAAGAACCTTCTTTGTCATAGAAGTGTATATCGGATCGAGACCGGTTTAACCCGTATACTTATATATAATAATTAAAAGTATTTAGGAAAAGTTGTTATTGGTAAAACGAGATATTTGCTAAATATTGTGTTCTACACCTGGATGTTCGAATCATCTCTTTTCCGATATAATATAAATTATAAACAGTATACTTTAACATTAAAATATAAAGAGCATAGTTTAATGGTAAAATTTGAAGCTTCAAACTTCACCTTCTCAGTTCAAATCTGAGTGCTCTTGATACTTTATAACTCCTTTTAATTATGCATAATATCACCCGAGTTAAGTTATTAAAATTGGTTAACTCTTGTATGATCGATTCACCACAATCATGTAACCTAAGTTATATATGAAAGTTTGGTTCTTTATTAGCTGTTTACTAGAGGACATAGAGTAACACCTTAAATTTTTCCCCTTTTTTTAGTTATATATATAATCTTATTACGTAAATAACATTGTATAATAATAAAAAAAAAAGGAAAAAAAAAACAGTTTCCACCGCACACCTGCGCGCTGAAACTTGCTTCGCTAGCGATAAATAATTTTGTTACTGCATAGATAATAGACATATAAATAAAAAAAAAGGGGAAAATTAAGAAGGAGGTATGTATGAAGAATCAGAGATATTAAATAGGAATAAAATGGTTTATGAACAATATATGAGAAAATCTATAACATGCGTGTTGCAAATATTTCGCTATCTTGCATTTTCCCCCCCTTTTTTAGTTCTAAATATAACCTTATTACGTAAATGGTATTATATAATAATAAAAAAAGGGAAAAATCAGTCATGGCCCCGCCAGTTTGCGGGAGGGGGCGATAAAAATAAGACTTACAGTAAGATAGGGATAAATTGTAGATGTAGAAGCAAGCACTTATAGAGGCCATGATACCTATACTGCACTACTTCTTCTACTGCATAAACTAAATCTACTTCTACCACATCTACTTCTATTTTACCTTCTTTTACTTCAACTATAGACCTACAAATGAAATGCCAAGTATACTTTACGGTATAGATTAATTTCCTTATCAATTGGTGAGCCAATAGCAAAGTTGTTTTGACTTAGGATTAGTTTTAACTTTAAGTTTAAGATTACTATGTTTTATTCTTAGTATAATTGAACTATGTGTTTATTGGTTAGCTATTTATTTTTACTAGTAATAGCTATAGTTGTAAATATATGATCTTTAATGTCATTCTTTGCCAAACAAGTTGTTTGAGTTCTTGTTTATTATTACATATTATTTAATTAGTTGTTATATGAATATTCTAAATATTACCTCTTACTATTATAAGGAGGAGGTTTATGTTATATAATGTAAATCAAAGCCCCTTAATATAACAGGTTATGTAAACAAAGTTAATTAACCTTATTTATATAATTTTAAGGTAATAGGTTCCTTAGCTTAATTGGTAAAGCGTATTCTTGATAAGGATATGTTCGGAGTTCAAGTCTCTGAGGAATCAATTTAAGTGCATTATGCTTAATAATATTATGCTGAATAATATCTTAAATTTAATCTTTAACTTATTAATATTAACTAGCCGCCTGCGCGGCTTGCCTAAGAGGAAAGCAAAGCGCGGCAAGCCGCCCCGGCTAGTTAATATTAATATATAACTATATGCTATTATAAAGAGAATTGGCCGAGTGGTTTAAGGCGGTAAGCTTGAAACTTATTAGATTTAATAGATCACATCCGTTCAAATCGGATATTCTCTGTACTAAAAAAATACGGGTTAGAGCCAGGCTGGTTAGGCGCCTCATTTGGGTTGAGGAATTGTTATGTTCGAATCATAATAACCCGAAATATATAGCTAATAATATTGATTGTTATTAGTAATGTGATAGATATCAAACAATGTTTCTATACAAGGGAATATTTTTTGTATAGGCAAGTATATAAAGAAACTATTAGGGATATCTTGCTATGTATTAAAGAGAGTTTTTTAATTTGTGTATTTCATTAAAATTAAATGCAGCACATGTACTCTTAGAGAAATTCAATAATAAACGAAGTGAATTGAAATATCTTAGTAACTTCAGGAAAAGAAATCAAACGAGATTCTATGATTAATGTGAATGAAAGTAGAACAGCCTATAAAGTATCAGAATATATATATTTAAATATTTTATATTTAAAGAGATATAAGTAAATATATTGTAAAAAAAATTATTAGCATTACTAGGACAATGACATGTTTGCTTCTTTATTTTTTTTTTTTACTCCGTATTGGTGATAAATGAAAAAAAAAAGCTAAGCAAAACAAAGCTCTAACCACTGATATATTAAATAAGTAAAACGGGCAATAACCTGTTTGAATATAAGGGGAACCTTCCTCTAAGGCTAAATATAATACATAAGCGATAGCGTAAAGTACTGTGAAGGAAAGGTTGAAATAGTAGTTTTATAAGCAGCTCAAGTTAAAATAAATAGTAAGAGCGTACCTTTTGCATAATGGGTCAGCAAGTTAATATTAGATGCGAGCAGTAATGCCTAGATAAACCAATTATGAAATAATGAATTAGTATCTAAAATTAGACCCGAAGCCTAGTGATCTTACCATGGTCAGGATTATAAAAGTCCGAACGGGTAGAGAACAAGAATTGGAGCCCTTGTTATAGCCCAAGTTGAAGAGAACCTTCAGCTATAAATCATCAAATTGACGGGGAAATCCTAAAGCAATCTTAACTAACCTAATATAGTAATATATTAGGGGCGCAGGTAATGACTCGCGATTATTTTTAAACTTTTATTAACTTTAAAAGATATTAAAAATTAAGTAACATCAAGATTGATTTGCGAAAGTGAATGGACAATCCGCATCCAAGCTCCTATTATTAGGAGAAAGGTTCATCGACTACATGGTGGTTGGCGCAAGCTTAAAATATAGTCAAGCCTCATCCGAGAGGATGCAGGATAATATAGTTTTAACAATATCACCAAATTTAGCATTTCCTAAATTCTTTTTTTTTGTTTATTTGCTGTTGGTCGCATAGCTACTTGATTTATGTAGTAGACCCAACTGTTATCTTTCATTACCTTTAGTAAACACTATTTCTTTGTGCTTCGTCTTAGCTAAGCTAGATGGAAATAGTTTAACTAAATAATAGCCGATTTAATCTCTGCAGTATATATCCGTATTAGCCTGAAGGCAAGGTACAAGTAGAAGGTATCCGGACCCTTGGAAGGCTAGCCCCCTAACCCAAGGATAGAATAGAAATAGAGAAAGTCTGAAATCTCTGGCAGTTGATGGTATTGTAGCTCTTGCGATAGTTTCGTAGAGAGCTAAGCCATTTAATATAAATCAAAACATAATAATAATAAATAAAGCTTCTAAAAACTTCTTTCTACAAAAAACAAAAAAAGCATTCTTTTCTACGAGTTCCTCACTAATGACTAATTCTTTTGTTGTAAAACCTATTATCGTTTATGATAATGCGGATACAGCTAAAGTAGATATATTTGCAGACAACCGTAATAAAAGCGGTGTGTACCGTTGAATAAATAAAGTAAATGGTAATACCTATGTGGGTAGTTCCATTAATCTTTCGGTGAGATTTTATACATATTACAGTTTAGCTTCTTTAGTGTCAAGTAAGAGACCAATTGATCGTGCTTTATTGAAGCACGGATTTTCTAACTTTAAGCTAGAGATCCTAGAGTATTGTGAGATAAATCAAGCTTTAGTAAGAGAGCAATACTATATGGATAATCTAAACCCCAACTATAACACAGCTAAAGTTGCAGGTTCAACTTTAGGTTATAAACATACACCAGAAGCAATAGCTAAAATGAGAGCTGTTGTATTAAGTGAAGAGGTTAAAGCTAGAAAAGCTTTATCTACAAAAGCGGCCACGGCCTCAAGAAAATTGTCTATTTTAGTTACAAATACATTAACTAATGAGAAAATGGTATTTAACAGTTTAACCGAGGCAGGTCTTGCCTTGGCTGTCAGTAAAATGGCCGTTAGCCTAGCTATTAGAGAAGGAAGGTTATTAAAAAAAGTCTATTTAATTAGCAAAGGGATTAAATAGAAGATAAGCAAATAGGTTCTATTTGCTTATGATTACAGTTTGTTACTGGACCTAAGAATAAAACTATATTATCTGTTAAATGGATAACTTTATATGTTGTCAATAATGACGCAGAGTTATTTAGGGAGAAAAGTCTTAGCTCAGCCTAATTTGGAATAGTTTTTATATTCCAAGGCTAAAGAGATAATCTGTATCGTTGTAAAGATATCCGATGAACTGTGGTAAGTTAGTGAAAGACAAAACTGACTAGGATAGCTGGTTTTCTGCGAAACCTATGTAAGTAGGTAGTTCAAGTTAAATCATAGCAGGTACAGAACTGTGATCTCAGGCAACTTATAATTTCTTATCTAGGCGTTGCCTAGATAAGAAATAATTTTGCATATATCGGGGAATCGTGAGGATTTTATCGGTGAGTATTCGCACTCGGAAGGGCAATGATGAAGATTAAAATGTATTGAATAATCGGACATAGTACGATAAGGTTGTATGTCTAAAGGGAAACAGCCCAGAACAAGAGTTAAGGTTCCAAAATTATTGTTAAGTGAAACTAAGGAAGTTTCTATCTAATACAACTAGGAAATAGGCTTAGAAGCGGCTATTTTTTGAAGACCTCGTAACAGAGCACTGGTTTAGTAAACAAAATTTACATTGATAGTTGCACCGAAAATTTAACGGATCTAAACAGTATACCGACACCTTGTCCATATTGTTAAATATGATTTATAATTTAACTATGGGGTAGCAGAACGTTGGGTAAATTTAGGACATATTCTTTTTAAGAGTATAAAATTGACTGTGGCAGGTTAAGAAAATACCCCAAGTGAGAATGCTGACATGAGTAACGAAAAAGGGCTCCTTTGCGTTCGTTTTGATAACAAAACTCAGATTGAAACATTGAAGATAGCAATAGGTACTACACTAGCCCGTGAGACTAGACCTATTAAAACTAGAACGTAGAAAATAATATGGAAGGAGGTATTTAACAAAAGATGCCATAGCCCTCGCCTAAAGCTTATGGATTTATTAAAGTAACGGCCTCTAAGTTTATTAACCTAAAGGATTAAACGATGAGTAAACCTTACCTACAAAGTAACAACATCTTCTTGCCCTGTGATAATGTTTATACTCGCCTCTGCTCGTGTTTTTTTTTAATAAAGCAAAGGGAGAGTGATAATATTTACACTCTGTAAGAAAAGTGAAGAAGGTTCTGGAAAAACTTGTAACAAGTAATGTTTATTTTATCATTTTAAATGTACTAAAATATATGAAGAATGACGAAATAAGGCTAAATAAACCGTACCTAAATACTACCACAAGTAAGCAAGTAGAGAATACGAAGGCGTTTGAGTGAACAATCATTAAGGAACTCGGCAAACTAACTACCGTAACTTCGGGATAAGGAGAGCCATTCTTACTTATTATTATAAGGTAAAGAATAGGAAGCATGGAATAGTGTTGTACGACTGTTTAATTAAAACAAAGCACTTTGCAGTAAGATAATAAATCAAAGTATTGAGTGTGATTTCTGCCCAATGTCGGCTGGTTAACGGATTTTCTAGGTTGACTAATATAAGCTTGGATTTGAAGGAAACCCCGATCAATGGCGGCCTTACCTATGAGGGTCGGTGTATAGGGCCCTCTTTAAATTTAGCTATATGCTGGAACATTTTATTGGTATTTTAAGTAAATTACTTTTTGTAATTTAATACTTTTTTTTTTTGCTAGGCGGTGGCTAGCAAAAAAATATAAGTAAGGTAGATAGTAATGTCTACTGGAAGTGATCCCATTAACAGAGTCGCAAATAGAGAGCCGCAAGGTATTTTTTTTTTTATAAGCGATGCGCCCCAGTTTTACCCCTATTGTTAGCTTTAGGTAATAAAACAAGTTTCTTATCTTATTCTTTTACAACTATAAAAAGTAGAAGGTTAGATAAAAACTAAACCAATGAGAAAGGGGACGATGTGGTCCAGTGGTATTTACATTTATACATAATAAGTATTATGTATCTACTGCTAAGATTAAGTATGGTTGTATACAACTTTTAATATAATATATAAAACAAAAAACATGGAAAAAAATAATATGGAAAAAAACAATAATTTAAATCAGCAGGAAAGAATACATGGGTTAGTTCAGGATGAGAACTACAAATTTTGGTTAGGTGGGTTTGTGGAAGGTGAAGGTACTTTAGTTGTTTCTATTGTTAGAAATTCTAAAGTATCTAATGGTGTAGCACTACAACCTGAGTTTAGTGTTGCCCAACATGAGAATGGTATACAAATATTACACTCGTTTAAAGTCCTTTTTGAAGGGAAAGGTTCTGTACACGCAAAGTCAGGTTCAGAAAAAGTATGAGTATATTCTCTAAAAGGTTTTCAGAACTTGAAAAAGTATGTGTTACCTTTTTTTTCTAACTATGTTGTTAAGTATTCTAGTAAGTACAAATCAGAGGTTTTCCAAAATTTCCAGGATATAATTGCAAGATTAGATTCTAATAATAAGAAAACCATGGAAAAATCAGAAATGGTAGAATTAATAAAGTTAGTTTATCTTTTAAATCCGGACAGTAAAGGAAAGTCCAGAAAAAGAACGCTAGGGGAAACCTTAGCCATAATCGATCAACACTACTTAACAAAGGGTAAGTAAAGAACGATCATACTTCTATAAGCAATTTAGCCTGAATGATTCATATATTATCCTCAGAGACTACACGCTAAACAATTTATCTATTTAGTAAATTCAGGGACCGCTCCCTCCCCAACTTCGTAGGGAGGCGCGGGGGAATGCAGGCCTTCTTCTTTATTACGTAATCCTAGGATTTGACAAGTAAAATTCGTAATACGTAGATTAAAAAAAGTCAGAAGTATGCATGCTTTGCTAAGTATATATAATTTCTTATATATATACAACTTTGAACGATTATTTAGCATTTGTCCTTCAACCAACCCTGATTAAGGGATTAGGACATGTGGGTTTAAATTAAAGGCATTTAAATTTATAAATTGAAGATATAGTCCAATAAATAGACCTTTAAGATTCGTCTAATATAAATCTTAAAGGTTTTATTTTAAGCCTAAGGTAGCGGAATACCCTGGCCGTTAAATGCGGTCTTGCATGAATGATTTAACGATACAACAGCTGTCTCAATGATTGGCTCAGTGAAATTGGAATAACTGTGCAGATACAGTTTACCTCTAGATAGACGAGAAGACCCTATGCAGCTTTACTGTTGCTAGTTATTGAATATGGTTGAACCAATATTAGTGTATAAGGTAGTTGGAGGCAATTTTTTAAACCTCGTTTAGGCAAAATTGAAACACCTTTATTTTGTTTATCATATTCGTAGGCTATAGAGTCTACTCATAATATTATGAGCGTTGTTATTACGTTGTTATTAAGTATTATAATTAACCCATCAAATGGGAACAATGACTAGGAGGCAGTTTATGCGGGGCACAGATCCCATAAAAAGTACCTGGGTGTATCCAAAGTTAATTTTGTAAAATTGTCATGACTTACTTATGACAATTAAATATACAAATTGTATGTTTTTATTTTTAGTTTGTTATTGGTTTAGCTTAAGCTATAACTAATCCAACTATATATCTATTAAGTTAGAATTAATATTTTAATTTAAGTAAGATTTTAACTATATGGAAAATAGATGTAATTAAAACATTAATTTGAAAATACTTTTCTAATGTTTTTAGTTATATAATTAGTTTAAATTACACTATTTATATAATTATGTTTATTACTTGTCAAGTTTAATGGCTTAATCTTGCTTTACTGTTTGACTTACACGTCTATCAGTCGCGTAAGCGGGGCATATGATCACAAGATGCAGAAAGGAAAGGTCTTGGATTTTTGAAAAAGCTACGCTAGGGATGTTAGTCCTCCAATGTTTTATTTCTAAAAATTTTAAGTAGTAAATCTATTGGTTAATTATTGGGTCAATTTCAAGAATAACTTATAAAGTTCACTTGAAGCGAAATTTACTTAAGCATTACCTTTAATTTTTTTTATGTCATTTCTCTCCTCCTCAACCAGTTGAGGAGGAGAGAAAAAAAAATAAAAATAAATAAAAAATAAAGATAAAGAAGTAAAACCGTTCAACGACTAGAGGGTGAGTATGCTAACGATAATCCTTCTCTTAAACCCAACATATTTATTTATCCTGTATATATAAACTATTTTATTCTCAACCCTTTTTTCTCTCTTACCTCCTCAACAAGTTGAGGAGGTAAGAGAGAAAAAGGGGAAGGGTAAAATAACTAAACAATAACTAATATTAATATTAATATTAATGAAATAGACTCAATTTAATATTGAGCATGAGCAAACATTATAAAGCAAAAAAAAAAAATTTTTTTTTATAAAATGGACAAGCAAAACCATAAAATATCTTCAATAAAACCCGCTTCTGCTTACCATGCCACACTGCTTGCTCCGCACAAGCAAGCAAAAAAAATAAATGGTAGTAAGTTAAAGGATTTTTTTTACCCTTATACTAATTCGGTGGATATGGGCCAGAAGCAAAACGCAAAACCACTTGTTTTTAAGAAAAAACAAAAGGAAGTTAAAGTTATACCTTTAAAGGTAAAAACAAGTGATACAGGACAGATAAGACATTTTACACCTGCAGCTCAGGAATGAAGAAATAGTATTTATGCTTATAATAAAAACTATGTTAAATTGTTACCTGTAGCTGATAATAATTTTATGAGCTTAATAAAAAGTTATTTTAATTTTTATTTTAAAAATAAAAAAAAAGCTAAAAAAAGTAGTAAAAAAGGTCAACAAAATATATCTAGACGTAAACGTAGTAGATCTAGAGGACTATCTGCCAAGAAAATCTTTGTAGCTAAAGGAGATTTAAAACATACTAGTTCTAAAGCAGTTGTTACTTTATATTTTTATAATACAGAAAAAAAATTTTTAATTAGAAAGATTAAAAAACAAATTTTTGATTTATATAGGCCCAATAAACGCCTAAAACGGTTTATTAATGTGGATAGAAACAATAAAGAGATCGTAACTTATAACAGACCCTTTAGTCTTAAAGAATATATGAGAATACCTAGTCATTACACAGATTATGTGACACTATTTAAGAAGTCTTTTGTGGAAAAATTCTGTAAATATTTTGATCTGACAAATAAACATATTAATTTAATATCTAATTTAGTTGAAAGCAAAGTATTAAGTGAGGATGAAAAACTATTAATTTTTAAGCGTAAACTTAATAGTCTTGTTCGTATCAAATACCCGGATTATACGGATTATATGCGTAAGGTTAAATTACATTATCTTAATAAATTAACTATATGTATAAAATTACTTACACTTAACCAGATTAAGTTTAAGCATGCCTTCTTATTAAAACTAAGATATCTGGTTAGCCTAATTTATAACAAAAATGTAGTATTTAATCTAGTTAATTTGAAAAAAATGCATTTAAATAGTGATATTTTTACGCAAGCTGTTTCTTTAAAATTAAAGAACAGAGAGAATAGATTATATAGAGTGTTAAAAAAATCATTAAATAAAGTTAAATTACCGAATATAAGTATAATAAAAGAAAAATCTCTTGCTCACGGCTCCGGCAACAAAAATAATAATGAACAGCTCTTAAATAAAATGAGAAACCTTAAAATTAATTCATTGTTTACTTTTGACTCCGCCTTTGCCCAGAGAGATCTTTTAAATAAGTTACTCTTAAGTATTTTTCCTTATGCCTTGGACCAGCAAGTTTTGGCTACATCAGAAGCAGGTAATTTAAAAAAAGAAATTAAAAGTAGAAGATCACTTGCTTCTGTTTTCGAAGAAAGAAATGAGCGTCCTGTTTCATTAAGGAATTATATACTTAGATCTTTAAAGCACATGAAGATGCGTGGTATTAGAATAGAAGCTAAAGGTAGATTGACCAGACGGTTTACTGCTTCTAGATCTGTTTTCAAGATGAAATGAAAAGGTGGTTTAAAAAACGTAGATTCTTCCTTTAGAGGATTATCAGCAGCAATACTGAGAGGCCATGTAAAATCTAATGTACAATATTCAATGCTTCATTCCAAGAATCGAAATGGAGCGTTTGGAGTTAAAGGTTGAGTAAGCAGTAAAGATTATAACTAAACCTTAAAAAAAATTTTTAAGTACTTATCCCTAAAAAATAAAGCAGAGGGGATTAGGAGGTAACAAAATAACAAGCGTGATCTTTAATGTGGGTTTTTTATAATTTAGCGTTGCATTATATACAGAAAATAAATATGAAGAAATAGTCTGAACCATTTTGTAAAATATGGAAATAAAGAAGTAAATAAACTTCTTTTATTAACAAATATTGAACAGGCTAATTGCGCCAGAGAGTACAAATTGAGTGCGCAGTTTGGCACCTCGATGTCGGCTTAACTTATCCACATGAATGCAGGAATCATGAAGGGTTCGACTGTTCGTCGATTAAAAAGTTACACGAGCTGGGTTAAATACGTCGTGAGACAGTATGGTTTCTATCTTCTAGAGGAAATTAGAATAAAATAAGGATAGCCCCCTCGTACGAAAGGAGCTGGGTATATTAACCTATGGTTTACCTGTTGTTTATGTGCCCAATAAATTCTCAATAAACTAATATAGATGAGCGAATAGGGATGTTACTTTCACTTAAGTAAATATTTTGTATCATAGCATAGGCACGGCAGGAACGCTACGTTAGTTAGAGATAAGTGCTGAACGCATCTAGGCACGAAACTTACCTTAAGATATTCTTAAATATACGTAGTTGAACACTACGATTTTGTAGTTAATATTAGTTTTAGATTTTCTTGTTTTTAATTAGTATTAAGTGCAATTAATAGGCTTTAGCTGAAAGGATTTAAATGTTTTTAGGCATAGAGTACTAATTATATATATAACTAAACATTGTAGTATATCTCACATTAAATTTAAATTATTAATAAAATATTTAGCCTGATTAGCATAAAAGTAATGTAGCTGTTTTGTAACCAGCTGAAGCAAGTGCGATACTTGCATTGGGCTTTTACTTTATTCCTATTTCCTCTAATCCATACCCAGCTGGGTATGGATTAGGGTAAGGATTAAAAGCAAAGCGTGACATATGCTTTACCGACATATGATAATATAAGGCCTCATAGTCAAGTGGTTAAGACATAATGTTTTCATCATTACATACGAGGGTTCGAACCCCTCTGAGGCTAATATAGTTATATATAAATATATATTCGGAGCGGATTAATGTAACAGTAACATAATTGGCTCATGACCAGTCTATGAAGGTGCAAGTCCTTTGTCCGCATTTTCTCGTTTTCTCTTTCCTCCTCAACTAGTTGAGGAGGAAAGAGAAAACAAAAGAAGAGTTAATTTGCTATTTTTAGTAAATAAGGCTTTAGCTTAATTGGTAAAGCAAGCTGCTCATGACAGCTGAGATGAGTGTTCAAATCACTCTGGCCTTATCTAATACTTTTAGTATACTAAAATTCGAGTGCTGGAATAGGTAGACAGGGCTGCACGTCCCCGTGTATATAAGCTAGTATTGTATAATCTCCTTACATATGACCTGAGTGCTGGAATTGGTAGACAGTGAATACTTAAGACATTCTGAGTTAATCTCGTGGACGTTCGACTCGTCTCTCAGGTAGATCCTTTGCGCTAAAGGACAAAAAAATATCATATTTATATGAATTTAATTCGCCGGTATAAAAATAAATTAGTCAGAAGGTATGTTTTCGATAACTAAGCTAAAAGGAAGGCTAACACCCTACCCTTTGATCCCCAGCAATATTTATCTTTTAGATCTCTAGGCTCAGTCTTTCGAAGTAAATATGTGGTAGATATGAGACTAGGCATGTATAGATTGTGATAAGATTACTTAATACAAAGTGGTAGGGTCACAAGTTCAACCGAGCAACCTTAAAAAGATTACAAGGGCCGGACCTAGAACTAAAACATAATGTTCAAAGTAGTTAAATTTAAGGCCCTTATATTGTAAAGCAAGTAATGTTAAACAAATACGTATAATTTAACATTTAACCTAGGTAACATTATGAGCGTTGTTGAGGAAGAAAATTCCTCAAGCTACAATATCTGAGTATTAAGATTAGGTTTTAGATATTTATATGGAATTTTTGGAGTTACTATTGTATATTTACTTCCGTTTTCTCCCATTGGAAGGCTCCATACACAAAAACCGTCACTAAAAGATTCAACTTTAACAAAATAATTATACAGAAAATTTTCCTTTCTCGCATTTTTTTTTCTTTTTTTTTTTTGATTTTAATATATTTTTATTTATATATATATATTTTTATCGCCCCGCTGCTTGCGTGCTGAAACTTGCTTCGCTAGCGATAAAAAAAAAAGAAAAAAGGAGAGTACAGCTACAGTATGTCAAGACGCCATGTCCACTTCCAATTTAGGTTTAATAAGCTCCGTCACAAGGGTTTTACACTATTCGGCTAACGCCAACAATCCTATTGTTTCAGATAGTGCACCTGTCCCAGTTGTTTCTTATTCAAATGCAGATAAAGAAAAAATAGCCATTCTTGAAAGTAATAAAAACAGAGCAGGGATATATAGATGAGTTAATTTTACAACAGGTAATACATATATAGGTTCGACCGGTAATTTATCCAATAGATTTAGTAAATAATTTAACATAAATTTCTTAGTAAATGAGGTTACTAAAAATAACAGTATGATATACAGATCTTTAATTAAAAATGGTTATTCTAACTTTAAATTAGAAATTTTAGAATACTGTGAAATAGATATAATTATAGAAAGAGAACAATATTATCTTGACAGATTTAAGTCAGAATATAATATATTAAAGGTTGCAGGGTCCTTAAGAGGGTTTAAACACAGTGAAGCTACTAAAGAAGCCATAAGTTTAAGCAAAAAGGATAGTATTATCTCTGAAGAGACAAGGTTAAAAAAATGCAACTACATTATTAAAAGGAGAATATATAGTCGTTAAAGTTCTTGAAACAGACAGCTTTTTATCCTTTATCTCCATTAGAAAAGCTGCAGAACTTATTGATATATATCCTAGTTACTTAGCAAAACACTTAAGTTAGGTTGTTTTTTATTAGAGTAAGGAATTTCTTGTTTAAAAATCTTCGACTCCTTTGGAGGAGATTTTTAACTTAGAAACGTATAAAAATGCTATAGCTAACGGAGGTAGAACGAAAAAACGTACCGAAACATCTAAGGAACTAATACGTAAAGCTAACTTAAATAGTAAGAATGCTAAATCGGAACTAGTCACAAATATTGTAACAAAATAAATAAGAGAATTTTCTTCTGCGTCAGCCTTTTTTTCCTTTTTTTTTTTATAACTAATTTTAGGTTTAATGATATAAATTTGTTTTTTTTAGTTATAAATATATAATTATTACGTAAATAGTATTGTATAGTAAAAAAAAAAGGGGGGGGGGGAAAGAGGGTAAGGGAAAGGAGCACCACATGCAATAAATTAATTCAAAGTTATTCCAGCAAAAACATAGAAATTGACGTATGACTTATCTATACATAAAAGCCAATATTGCCTTAATCCTGTTTTCCCTTTTTCCTCAAAATTTTACGGGAAAATTTGAGGAAAAAGGGAGAAATAGTCCCACTTATTTATTATGAAAATGTGGATTGTATAAAATTAGATTTACTGAAACAAAAAATAAATAAGGTATCTATAGATGAATTAATAACAGATTAATGTTGTGGCATTGCTCCTTGGTTTATTCTTTTCTTTTTTTATGAAAAACCCTAGATAATAAGAGAAAAGCAGGAGAAATATATTTATATTGGCTCTGCTTTAAAATTATGGGCTCGACCCCGCAAAGATTAATAAATTTTTATTCCGTATTTTATTTAGAAAGAGAAATGACAAATAACAACATGGTTTGCAAAGCGTTGCTAAAACAAGGTTGTTTTAGCTTAGAGCTAGATAATTTAAAAGTTGCAGGATCTCTTTCCCTAAATCCCTATTTCTCTCCCACCTCCTCAACTAGTTGAGGAGGTAGGAGAGAAAAAAGGGGATAAGGGAAGTGGTGGCAAAGCCAAAGGGTGATATTTAAATGTATTGAAGCTACGAACTCATGCAAGAGGTTAAATTAAGTAGTAATCAGGCCTAAAGGGCTAAATTAAGCATAGCGGCTACTAGTGCTATAGCAGAATCTTTAGTTGTTTTGCTTTCTGTCTCCTGCGATAGCAGAGGAGACAGAAATAAAGTAAATAAAAGCTAAAAATAATTCTTTTAGCTAAAGGGGGACATAGTTTAACTGGTAAAACTACGATTTTGCGTATCGTTATTTCAGGATCGAGTCCTGATGTCTCCAAATTAGCTACTACTATTGTTTTACTGATAATATATATAAGCATACTATTTTTATTGTTTATATATAAGCCCGAGAAGCTCAACTGGTCGAGCGAAATATTGAAGCTATTTTGGTTGTAAGTTCAAGTCTTACCTCGAGCAATTAAATATAACATAAATATATTTATTTTTGTGTTTACCTTTATCTTTATATTTATATGTTTATAGTTTAGATTATATGAAAAAGAAAAAAAAGAAGTTTATAAATAAAAAAAAATATAAATATAAATTAAAATCTAATATCGAGCAGTTGTACTATGTATATAGTATATAAAGGTAGTGATGGAATTGGCAGACATGAATAGCTTAGGCCTATTTGATTTTTTTAATCTTATCCGTTCAAGTCGGATTTACCTTAAATTACTTATACTTACGATTTACAGCACGAGCTTTATTTCATAGCCTGCTTCTGACCCGACACTAAAAAACATATATATTTTAAGGTGTGAAGGAAAGGAGCAATATTATTTGTTATCAGATAAAGGATTTAATTTAAATGTTCAACTTATTCTCAAAATTCATGGCTAATCAAGGTAAAGTGTGTATATATAACCCCCATAGGAGTATTTTATTATAAAGTTCTAGCAAAATAGTGTTTAAGACAGACACTGGTATTAATCACAAGGTTATAAAGAACCATTTAAATAAAAAGATCTAAATAGTTTTTATATCTCTTTTACCTTTCCCCTGCTTTGTTTTTTTTTCTTTTTTTTATCCGTTTCCCCTCCCCCCCCCCTTTTTTTTTATTTTAAACATTTTCTTACTATGTAAATAGTTTTAAAGATAAATCTCACGCTTGCTGTCCAGAGGGAAAGGGTAGTGAAGCTATAAGCATTTAAGGTTTATCTTCGCGCGATGTGGTTACTAGACGGGTCGTGTTATAGAGTATTTAAGATAAAATGGGTCAAAACTAGCCTAGCAACTGTTAAATCACATGACCATGCTTCTTTGCCCTCACTAAAAACACGTGCTTTTAGTGGGGCAAAAGGAGAAAAAGTGAGTCATTCTTCCGGATTTTTTTTTTCGTGTCTCCGACACGAAAAAAAAAGAGGTTACTTAATTAAGCGATAATCGGTGTAGCATTTAAATTCTGGCAGCCCTCCTGCATGTTTACACAGGAAGGGAAAATTACAAAATTTTCTTTTTTTTTTTTTGCTTTTTATATTAATTCTCTTTTAATATATACGGAATAAATAAAAATCCAGGGTAGACGAAACGGTAAAGTCAAGAATTTTTGGTATTCTCATTTGGGTGTTCGAGTCGCCCTCCTGGAAATAACCGGTAAGTCATAAATTTCACTTTTGCTTTCCCCGCATTAAAAGTACGTTTTTAATGAGGGAAAAGGTATATATATCTTTTTAGTGAGGGAAAGGTATTTATTATTGAGTGTTCGAATCACACCTACGTAATTACGGCTAGCGGAGTCGTACTTTTAAAGTATTATAATATTAACAAAACTTATATTAGATAAATAAATGAAGAATGTTTATAATAAAAAGATTTTACTTTTTAGTGGATATAACTCAATGGTAGAGTGATTGTATGTGGCACAATTTGTTCTCTGTTCAAATCAGGGTATCCACCCATAATATATATTAAACAACATAAAAATTATATGCTTTCATGTTTTTTTTTTTCTACCTTTCCCTCACTAAAACATATTTTTTTTGTGAGGGCGCAGAAGTAGGGCTTTCAGATATGTTATACCTATATCTTTAATATCTCAAGATATAGGTAACCAAATCTTTCATATTACCTAGTATAATTGTAATGGTAAATCTGCGCAAGCGTTGAATTTATCTGGCCCTATGATTTATTTTTTTTTTATAAGAAGAATAAATAAAAAAAAAAAAGGGACAAAATAGATATATGCGCTTGTTTCATCAACCTGCCGTAGGATGTGTAGTAGAAACATAATAGATATGCCACATATAAAACATGTAAGCGTAAATATAATGAAAAATATATAAACGAGACTATTTGCAATACTACAGCAGGTAAAATAAGGTTATTTTCTTTTTTACTGTTTAAGTATTATGAAGACAAATTTATTTACTCACATATTAAATGACGAAAAATTAAATATCTATATGTTCTATATTTTTAGTGCTTTTTATAGTAAACTTAAAGGCGTTGCGACTTCTTCCTCTCCCAGAGGACTTCGCTCATTTCTCTCTCTCCCCCTCTAAATTTTTTTCCCTTTTTTTTTAATAAAGAATTTTATTACAATCTAGATAATAAACTAATAATTCTAAAAAAAGGGGGAAAAATAAGGAACAGTGAGGAGGTAAGAGAGAAAAAGCATAAAAAAAAGGCTCGGGCCTTTTTTTAATTTTAATTTATATTTTAGATGTTAAGGTAAATCCAGTTTATATGTATAAAAATACAAAAAGTTCAATAATTATGCCAGGATAGTTTAATTGGTTAAAACATTAATTTCATGCATTAATAATGAGAATTCAAATTTCTCTCCCGGCTTATTTATAGGACATATATAAAGATCTGAATATGCAATGTGGTGGTAAGATATTTATTTATATATTATGGTAGTTATAAGGATAACCCTCTTTTTAAAGAGTATCTCGACATTTTTATTTTTTTTTCCTTCTTTTTTTTAATCGCCCCGCAAGCTTGAGGGGGCGATAAATAATTTTATTGTTACTAATTTTTCCCCTTTTTTTTTTTTATTATCGTTTAATACTATTTACGTATTAAGAAAATATTTATAATTAAAAAAAGGGGGGGGGGGAAATAAATAGATTTATTTTCTAGTTTTCCCTCTTTTTTAGTTATAAATATATAACAATTACGTAAACAATATTGTATAATAATAAAAAAAAAAAAGAGGGGAAAAAACGAAAATAAAGAAGGCAAAAAATAGTGAAAAGAGGATGTATTTAAATTCACCCTAATTTAAATGTAAACTAACACACTTTTTTTTCTTGTATGCTCTTTTTTTTTATGCCACGCGAGAAAAAAAAAAGAATAGCAGGCATTGACACATATTTTTTTTTATAACGCCACCAAAAGGTTTATAACTTAAATAATTGTGTTAACCCCTTTTTTATGTCTCTTACACTTTCCTCCCCCCTAATCATGAAGTAATAAGGAAACGGCAGTAATAATAAAAGTAAATAAAACATATTCATTAGTCTACCGGAGAGGTAAACAAAGGGTAGAAGGGTAAACATACCCTATCCCCACAGGGAAGAGGATTTCCTACCCTTCCTAGCTTAGTACTCTATATTTAATAGGGTATAGTGGCAGTCTGATAAACCCTTATACCGCAATTAAGCAAGTTTAAATTAGAAAAGTATCTTTCAAACCGTATTCAAATCTCGGTTTGACTACTCAATAAGTGAGCTGGGATCGAGGGGGAGGCTCCTTTCCCCCTTAAGAAATTATTTATATATTCATTAGTAATATGAATAAGAATAATATAACACAAGATAAAATTTATAATCTTATACTACATTTTTACCTATTACTTAAAATTTAATCTATTTATAGATAAAATACCTAAACTTTAAGGGGCTCGCCGTTATTATATATTGCTTATATATAATGGTTAAATTAATTTTTAATATCAACTAACCTATAGCTAGTATAAAAAAGTATGAATATACTTTTTTCTAGATATAGTGAATCTGAACTTAATTTGGAAGTTAGCCAGCCCCATCGCTCTTTTGTTTTAAATAATATAAATATAAGCCTGAAGGAGGAAACCGAGCTGAACAGGCCGGCTGTGGATTCTAATCTTTCGGTTTTAAGGGCGAATATTTCACTCTGAACTGAGAGATGATTTTTATCCTCAAATGCCAAAGATATTGGTACACTATACCTTATCTTTGCATTATTTTCTGGATTATTAGGTACAGCTTTTTCAGTATTAATAAGATTAGAATTAAGTGGACCTGGTGTTCAATATATAGCAGACAATCAACTATATAATGCTATCATTACTGCTCATGCTATATTAATGATTTTCTTTATGGTCGAAATTTTTAGACTTAATTTTAAATCGCAACCTAGTCTAAACACTGAAAAGATAGGTGACGATAATAACAATATTTTAACAATAGGGAAAGCTAATAACAACGGAGGCAATAAAAACTCTCAGGAACCTAAACGAAAGTATGTGAAGATTTTAGTAGAGGATCCCTTTAACAATAGAAATCTTATACTTAAAGTTACTAAGAAGCAAAAAGGTGTTTACTCTCCTGATAAATTAAGCCCCGATTGAGTTACAGGGTTTTCTGATGGTGAATCATGTTTTGGGTTTAGAGTTCGTAAAACCCCTAATTAAAAGTGGGTTGAGAAGTGAATCCTTATTTTTTTTTTTTATAGATTTACACGTTAAAGACGTTTCTATATTATTAGACATAAAAGAATTTTTCGGTGTGGGTAATATCAGTAATAAAAAAGAGTCCGTGCTATATCAAGTAAATTCTCTTAATGATTTAGTTAATGTTATAATTCCTCATTTCGAATCATATCCTTTATTAACAAATAAGAAAGCAGATTTTTTATTGTTTAAATTAGCTATCGAACTAATTAAACAAAAGAACATAAAAATATAGAAGGAATACATAAATTACTAGAAATTAAAGCATCTTTAAATAAAGGCCTATTAAAGGATGAATCGTATTCATCCTTTAATAATATTGTACCTAAAGAAAGACCAATAATACAGTTACCTGAAATGATAAATCCTTATTGATTCGCTGGTTTTACAAGTGGAGAGGGTAGTTTTTCAGCAGAAATACTAAAATCTTCCTCTCATAAAAAAGGATATCAAGTAATTCTTAAATTATCAATAAGTCAACATACTCGTGATGTTGAATTATTGAAATGCTTCATAAGTTTTTTAGGAGGAGGTTTTGTAAAAGAACGTACAAGCATTTCGGAATTTGTGGTAGTAAAATTATCACTTACTACAGAAGAACTTATACCTCTTTTTCAAAAATATCCTATTATAGGAAATAAAAATAAGGATTTTATAGATTTTTGTAAAATCGCAGAATCAATGAGTAATAATGCACATAAAACACCTGAAGGGCTTGATAAAATTAGAGAGATTAAATCTGGTATGAACAGGAGCAGAAAATAACTTATGTTTTTACAAGATATATTAAACGTAATATACCTTGATTTTTTTTCTGTATATATGTATTCTAATACATAATAGATGAGTAGGTAAACTTAAAACTTTTGTTTATTTGTTATTGTTTAACCTTTTATTTTTATTTATTGTTATTATCTTAATCAGTCTATTCTGTAATAGACTGATTTAAATTAAAATTTAAAATGGCATGGCCGAGTAAAGTAGAAATACTTTACAATTTATTTCACTGTATGCTGGAACTTCTTAATAACTTTTGATTCTAGTACTCCAGACTTTCGGAACTTAGTAGCAGGTAAACGAAAAGCGGGAGAATACCAATATGGTTTCAAAAGATAAGACAATCAGCAGGAAACCAAAAATAAAAATTTAATGCTACAAATTATTTGCCTTCCTATGAACAGCGCGTATTCTGTAGCTTTTTAAGGGTCTACGCTTAAAACGAAAAGATTTATTTTTAATTTGTTTAAGTCCTTTTATTTTAAGATTCTATTTAGTTTATCTCTGGTAAAGCTTAGATAGTGAACATATGTATGTAGGTCATTCGATTAATCTATATAATCGAATTAGTTCTTACTTTATGCCCTCTATACTTAAGACTAAAGCACATAGAGTTTTACGTTATTTAAATAAACATGGTTTTAGTAATATAAAGTTAACTATATATATTATGGATGAGAACTCTAGCTTAGAAGAAGTCGTCGAGTTGGAACAACATTTTATTGATAGCCTAAAACCTAACCTTAATGTAGACTTAGTAGCCAGTAGTTCAGGATACCATGAACCTATGAATCCAGAAATCCGTGAGAGACTTAGAAAACAAAGAGGTACACCAGTCTATATTTATAGCACGGATGACTTTCTTTTGAGGAAAAGCGGCAGAATACAGTAACATTTCAAAGGATTAGGCAATCAGCCGGAAACCAAAGATAAAAGGGCTCATTGTAGCATTAAACACTTTTATTTAGTAGGATCCTCAGAGAACTATACGTGAAATACCTTCTTATTATATATTTAAAGGTAAAGATATAGTCCAAACATTAATGAAAGTTAATGATAAAACAAAAAAATTTTTTTTTCTCCCTATTAAAAATAAATAAAATATGAAGCATGCCAGTTATTTTCGTCAACTGACAATTAGAGGTTGTTAGTTTTTATGTTAATATAAAGTGTTATGTTATCTTTTTTATTTATCTTTTTTATTGTATGTATCACGATTTATTGAGTCTTAATCAAAGAAAGCTTGTGTCCCGATTATCCCCTAGACGATATATTACCTGAGGTAAGTTAGCTACTGGGCAAATGGGTATTCTTCTAGGTAGAAGGTGTTATAGTTCCTCATCTCAAGAGTCTGGACTTGATTTAAAAACCACTGTGCGACAATCGAAGAAGAAATATTCAAGAAAAAATCTAAGTTCACCTGAATCTAGACCCTATGCTGATTTATACAAAGGTAGAGGTATACCTAAAGATGTACCAGCTTGAGTTAAGGATAATGGTATGGAAAGAAGCCCATTTGGGGCTTCTTGAGCGAAAGGTCAAAAAAGTAGATTGCCTTTTCCTACTAAGTATCCATGTAATTATCAGAATATTACCGATCCTTTTAACAATAGAGAAGAAATAAAAAAATATTGTAAAGGAAATCGGGTGGTATATGTTTGAACTTATATGCCAAGCGGTGTTTGCTTAGTAGGGTCTTCATCAAATAGTGTAGAAAGAGTCCTAAGTTATTTTGAAAGAAAATATTTGTTTTTAGATAAGAGAAGGGGTGTACAATTTTTAGGTGATTACGGGTTTAAAAATATTCAGTTAACTGTTATTTATTTCAATTATCTTAAGTTTACGGCGCGTGATATAAAACTTGTCGAAGCTTATTACATCAATGAATTAAATAGTAGCTTAAATTCTCAAAAATATGTTTATTTACCAGCTGAACCTTTGGAATCTGTATTACCTTTTATTAATATATCGAATAGGGACACCTCAGTGCCTATATTTGTGTATGCGCCTGATTTAACTAGGGTTCTTTATATTTTTAATTCAAAAACTTCTTTTTATAATGATTTTAATGTTCACTGAAATACATTAGAGAAATATTTAGATGTAGCTAATAAAAAATTATATAACTATTTTACCTTTTCTACGAAGATTTTTGAAGGTTCAGACTTAGATAGTCTTCTAAGTTTAAATGAGTTAATTGATTTGAAAACTAGCGTAGACCCAGTTATACCTAGTAGGGGTCAAAATGTTAAATTAAAGGATTTGACTCAAAACATTGAATATGAATTTTATAGCTTAAGTAAAGCTGCTGCCCATATATTAGAAACGACAGGGTCTTGCGATACAGCAACTTTAAGAACTCATATGAAAAATAATACTATATATAAAAATAGATGAAAAGTAGAAAAAAGATAACCTCCGATAAAAAAAATTGTATGGTGCGACACGAGGGTTGTAGTAATAATGAATTTGTAAGAATTCCAGGTGTGTTCTCACCTGAGTCTAGGTGAACATGCCAGACGGGTAACTGTCTGGTATGAAGCTTCACTGACAACATTTTTAACGAGATAGCTTAAAGGTAGTAGTGTGCGCTTAGAACCTAAGCGATTTTTAGTACACATCGGTTCGTACACTTGTGTGTGGATAAATACTACAGGGCTTCTAGATAAAGTTAGACTGTGAGATAAAAGGATAAACGGAAGTGAAGGTATGTATTAAAGGACGGTTATTTCTCTGTATACGAATAGCAAGTAGGTTATGCCTCACTTGGTTAGCAAAATTAGTATATGGAGAAAAAAAAATAAGAAGGGAAGGAGCGAGCTGTCATACAGGCGAAGCCAGAATCACTAATAGCCCTACCGTTCAGAGTACCTATCCAAAATCTCGTAAATCTTAGATTTTTTTTTAGTCTGAGAATTGTATTACTACAGCAACGTGGTAAACCCTGTTGTCTCCTCATATTTATATTTTACAATTACTTATTTTTAATAATGAGTTTGCTTATCCATATCCATATCCTTCGGATTAGTATTAGGATTAGGATGAGTAATAAAAATAGTTTTCAAACCTAAGCTATATGTTTAGATTGAAAGTGAGCTTCGCTCAATATAGGAGGTGTCTTATAAGTAATTAAAAAGGCATATCGTCAGCAGGGCATAAGAATAGTCAAAAAGCTAACGATCAGCTGTAATGGGTGATATAGCCTTAAGAAAAGGCAACATGAAAATGTGCAGACTTGACTGCGGTTCTTTATTAAAAGTATTTACCTAAAAGAAGGTTTTATTGTTGTCCCTTATTTTTTTGCAGATATAAAATAAATATAATAGTATAAAAATAAATAAAAAATAAGGGTTAAAGTTTGAAACAGTTCAGCGTATTTACTTTTCTAACGTATTTATTAAAAGTTATATTTAATGAATTTTAGTGTAGCAGTATAACCATAAAATAATCAGTAAGACCTTATGTTAGACTATTAGTATGAGGTTACATTGTGAAGGGTGGACAGAGGTATGAAAAGAGATATTGTGTGAATCTTTATAGTTCTTAAATCATTTAACAGTACTGGTCTTTAAGGTAATATTAAAATAAAGAGCTTGAGCCGTGTGCAGGGGGACTTGCACGCACGGTTCTTAGGGGGGGAAAGCTCGAAATAGCCTACCTATCCCAATCCAGCATTAATCGGAGGTTTCGGTAATTTCAATAAACAAATGCAAAATTATACGACAATAGAATCAGGGCTGGCCCTGATTCCTAGTGCCTCTGGCAACCTCGCGGAATCTAAAGAGAACTTTGAATTAGAAAGTCTCAGATCTAAATTGGGCCCATACCTAGCCGGGTTAATAGAGGCGGATGGTTCCTTTGCTATACATGATAAAGATTCTAAAGCTAAAAGATATCTACCAAAAATATTAATAGTATTTAGTTTAGATGATACTCCTTTAGCTAATAAATTACTATTTATAACTAAAGTAGGTAAACTATATGTTAAAAAGAATCAAGGTTGTGCTATATGACTGATTCAAAAGATAGAGGATGTCATAAAAACAATCAAAATTATTAATGGATTCATGCGAACACCTAAAATAGAAGCATTGCACCGGGCAGTAGAGTGATATAATAACTTTAATGGTACCAAATTAGAACCTTTAGGTTTAGATTTATCACCTATAGATAGCAATGCTTGATTAGCAGGGTTCACCGACGGTGTTGGTAATTTTAGTTTTAATTTAACAGATAGAAAGAAAAAAGGTGCAGTTACTTCAAAAAGAGTACAGGCTTTCTTTCGTATAGAATTAAGACAAAATTATCATAGAGAAGCCTCAATAGAACAAGGAGGTATTAGTTATTTCAAGATATTGAGTGATATTTCTAGATACCTTGGAGTTAATTTATACTCTAGGTCAAGAGAGCAAAAGGATAAAATTTTTTATTCTTATACGGTTATGTCACATAATATGCAAAGTCATATCAAAACTATAGAGTATTTTGACCGTTATCCTTTATGTTCTTCTAAATATTTAGCTTATATAGATTGAAAACATGTAGTAGAACAAATCCAAAACCGTGCGGGTAAACCTTTAACAAGTGAAGATATATTAGAAATTCAAAGAATTAAAGCTCAATTAAATCAAAACCGTATTAAATTCGATTTTTCTCATTTAGATTCCATTGTTTAAATTTTGCTAGTTCCTAATCCCCTTTATTTTTTCCTTTTTTTTTTTAGTTAATAGTTTAATTACTACGTAGTAATTTATTTATAATAAAAAAAAAAAAGGAAAAAATTTAGAAGTGGGGATAGGTACGAGTGTTTAGAAAAAGATGTAAATTGCTGAAGGTAATAGTAATATTACCTTAAAAAATATAACTGTCGTCGGGAAGTTCCTAAAGGTTTGTTGTAGAAGTTATGAAAGTTTATCCTTGAATCAGAGGTTGTATATAACTATATACGTATTTAAATGTACATGATTCTTAAAAGCAATAAATATAAATATGGATAATCCGCAGGAAACAAAACAATATTAAACTATTGGTAGGATCCTCAGAGACTATATGTTATACTCCTGGCTTGCTACGATTCGCTAAGCAACCAGGATGAAGAGATAGTCCAAATGTACTTTAACGATTACAAAAAAAAAAATGAATTTCTTATTACCGCTTTTAGTAGGGGGACCAGATATGGCAAAATGTTCTGGTCCCCATCCCCCCGGCTTTGCCGGGGTTGGGGAAAATTTAAGTACTAAAAATAATAGTACTAGTAGAAGTAGCAGTACTAATAGTATTCTGCTTAATTCCTACAGCTTAGGTTCCTATCTAGCTGGTTTATTTGAAGGAGATGGCCATATTTGAATTCGAAAACAAGTAGGCAAAAAGACTCATAATCCTAGATTTTGTATTACTTTTAGTTTAAAGAATGAAGCTTTAGCCAAAAAACTGCTCGGAATTGTTGGGTCAGGATTTCTGAGGTATAAACCTAAAGATAATGCTTGTGTTATAGTAGTTTCTCCTGTAGTTGGTTTAAAAAGGATAGTTAATTTAATAAATGGTGAGTTAAAAACGCCTAAAATAAATCAACTACATAATTTAATCGACTGATTAAATAAAAATCATAGTAGCAGATTTAACAAATTACCTTTAAATAAAGATAATTTAGAAAACAGTAGTTGATTAAGTGGATTTGTGGATGCCGATGGTAGTTTTTCTGTACAATATACTAAAACAGAAACAGGTGCAACCAAAAGAAAGATTTCCTGTAGGTTAAGAATTGAACAAAGAATTTCGGATCCAAGTACCCATGAGGATTATTCTTATATTTTAAATCAAATTTGTTTATTCTTTAATTGTAAATTGTTAACTAGAACACAGAAATCTACAGGTAATACTTATTATACTTTAACTGCATCTAGTAAAGCTTCTTTAAACATTATAATTGACTATTTTAATAAATATCATTTATTTTCAAGTAAGTTTTTGGACTATCAAGATTGAGAACTAGTTGCCAAATTATTTATTAATAATCAACATTTAACATTTGAAGGAATAAAGACTGTTGAAATGGTTAGAAGTCGAATGAATACAAAAAGAGTTGACTTCAATTGAGATCATTTAATTGGTCTACACTAGCTACGTTACACTACTTAAATTTCCCTAAATAAGGGAATGCCGTTAGAAAGTGTAAATTTTCTAATTATTACTTCGCCATAAGCATAGAATCTCTCGAAATAGGGTTAATTTAACCAGTCAACAGATGTATAGACACCTAGTTGGACAGACTGCTGTCATAAAGTTAGTAAATAAACTGAACTAGTCGTTAAACTTATACGTACATGGGAGGATTGTGCTGGAAACCAAAGTAATTTATTTACGAGTAGGATCCTTAGAGACTATACGCGAAGCCCCTTATGTCTAATAAGGGTGAAGACATAGTCCGTACAGGTAGGAAACTACTTGGTGTGTTATTATTATAACTACTATGCGATGCCCTAGAATTATTTCCTACTTGTTTTTAATAATTATACTTTTATTATTTACTCACATTAGCTTAACTATTGTAGAATTTAGATGTTTAATTAGTAATTTACCTAAATTATATGAATGTATTCAGCTTTTGGATAAGATAGTTTTATATGTATCTTGTGTAATATATTTTTTAAATATATTGATATTATACTATAGTAGTAGACCTAACCTTAGTTTTACTGCTAGATTCTTCATAATGCTAATATTAAGGGTAATTTTAATTATATTACTTATTATAGCTACAATGTTATTTCAAGACCCGAACCTTTGTGATAGTTTGTACCATTTTAAATATCATGACTTAGCTAACCATTTAGAGTTTGAACGTGATATTGTAAAATTTTTCAGGCAAATAAAAGGCCAAGTTGTTGACAGCCCTGTTACATTTAAACATATTAAGTGTGGTGTTAATGGAACTAACCCTCTTAAAGTGCCATTGTTAGAATATCTTAATGAATCCGATAGTCTTAATGGAATAAATTATAGATATAATTCTAGCAGATTAGATTCTATGAGAGTTAGCGATAACTTTATAAATAGTATACGAAGATTTGATGGGGATCGAGTTATAGGTTAGTTAGTCAAAAACACTGGTTCTTCGATTCCCTCGACTAAATAATATTTCATTCTGGTTATTACCACCCAGTTTAATATTATTCTTATTTGCTAGTGGTATAGAAAATGGTGCGGGTACAGGTTGAACTCTTTACCCTCCTGCCGAATGATTTTGGGAATCATTCATGTGGGAAAAACTATCAAATTCCGGGAACACTCTAGAACTTCTGGTACCAAGCTGTAGTTGAAAAGCTATAAGTGGATGAACTAATCCCTCATGTAAGGTAATAAGTCAGAAGGCTTCTGAAAAGAACGTGGGTTATCGCGGATCTAAATCAGCAACATCCAAATATATTGCTGTAAAAGAGCAACGAGTATACGGTAGTTGGCCAGGTAGTGTCATACCTAGCTTAAGATATACTCTAACGGGTTCCGAGAGGAATTATCAAATAAAAACCCCTTCTAACCGAATTTGCTTAGCGTTAACTCGAAAATTTTCTTCGATATCCCCGACATCTTCGATTAAAGATTCTGCCATTGAGGTAAGAAGTTGTGCTTTTCATCCTTGATTTCTCACAGGATTTGTGGACGGAGAGGGTTCGTTTATGGTTAAAGTTAGAAGAAACCCTAAGTACCGTACAGGTTTTTTAGTAGAAGCGGTTTTTTCAATAACTTTACATAAAAAAGATCTCGTGATCTTACAAGAGATCCAATCTTATTTCGGAGTGGGTAGTATAAGGAATGAGGCAAAGGATCTGGTAAAGTTTAGAGTCGAGTCTGTAAAAGATATTGTTAACAATATCATTCCACATTTTGATAAATACCCTTTAATAACTCAGAAGTTAGCAGATTATCTCCTATTCAAAGATGTTGTTAACATGATGGTAAGTAAAGAGCATTTAACTAAGGAGGGTTTAAATAAAATTGTATCAATTAAGGCTGTGATTAATCTAGGTTTACCCGTGGAATTACAGCTTTCTTTTCTTGACATTATACCTGTGTCAAGACCTTTGGTGCAGAATAAAACAGTACCAGATGGCCAGTGAATTGCTGGGTTCACTTCCGCTGAAGGTTGTTTCAAAATAACTCTAGTAAAACGACCTAATAGAAAGATAGATCAAGTATACTTAGTGTTCCAAATTACTCAACATTCTCGGGATGATAAACTACTGGAGAGTTTTATTTCTTTTTTTTTGTGCGGAATATTAGAAGCATCTTCAAAACATCTTGTTGTTAATTTTTCGGTCTATAAGTTTTCAGATAATTATGATAAAATTATACCGTTTTTTAAGAAACATAATATTGTTGGAGTAAAATCGGATGACTTCAAAGATTGATGCAAAGCCGCGGAAATAATCAAGGCTAAGCAACATATAACTGAAGAAGGGTTAAATATGCTTATTTCACTAAGATCTGGTATAAACAAAAGAAGATCGTTCGAGTAATTGCTATAGGCTGGACGATAGCCTATTATTATATATTTATTTTTTTTATCCTGAATGAGTTTTTACCGAGTAGGACGACTACTTATTTTTAATAGTAATCCGAGGACGGGTTTGTGGGGTATATAATTCTATTTTCAGGTTAGCTTCCTAATACTGCACTTAGACCTTAGGCACGTAGGTTGTGTAATAGCAGCACCCTACTTCGTAGGGTCTAAGGGCAGCAGCTTTAGGGGGAAGGTCTAAGGCTCCTTTGCTACGCAAAAGGCTTTTTTTAGACCTATAAATCAGAACATGAGCTTTAGTTTTATTCTGGCTGGCGAAGCATGCAGCGCTCCCTTAATAATTCGAAGAATACGCAGGATAATTTGCATGATAAAATTTATTGCCGTGTTATCTGGAGTACAAAGTCATAGTGGTCCAAGTGTTGACTTAGCCATATTTGCTTTACACTTATCAGGTATTAGTTCACTTCTTGGAGCTATAAACTTAACTTTTATTGGGCACCTATTTCTTTTACGCGTTAACTATGCAAGCTATATAAATAAATTTAACCTATATGTTTTGGGATCTAAAACTAAAAGTAGCTTATCTTTAAAAGCTAATTATAGCAGTAAATCTAATGGTGGAGGCGGTCCAGACCCAGAGATGGAACCAGAAAAGCCAAAACCTGAAAAAAAAGATAGTAAAAAAAAAAATAATTCATGACCTGTTATTTTAGGTAGAAAAGGTAATAACCTTTATACTCATGAGTTAGCCAAAGCTCAAATTAAAAAAGGTACACCTGTAACAGTAGGGGTATTAAATGAAATATTAGCTTACTCTAATATGCTAGTTAGTGAAGATACACTAAATTCTTTAATTACTATGCCTAGATTTGTTTTTACTGATTTGGATAAAAAAGAAACTAGACGTTTAATTGATGATAAACTAGGTTTACCTCATAGTAAAATACAACAACGTGGTATTTATATCTTTACTTGTACAGATACAAATGAAAAGTATGTTGGTTCATCCTCAGAGTTAGCTTTGAGATTAAGAGGCTATTTAAATAAAACGCACAAGGATTCTGGTAAATTGATTCCTCTAATTGAAGAAAAAGGTTTACCTTGTTTTAAATTAGAAGTAGTTTGTTTACCCTGTTACGCTGAGTTTAAACCTGAAATAGTTTTAGAACAATATTTTTTATTGGACCCTTCTTTTAATTTAAATACTATAAAGGTTTCAAATAATCCTAGTGGATCTACCGCAAAACCTTTATACATGTATAACAGAGATAAATCTATACTTTATTACTTTACTACACAACAAAAAGATTTTATATCTAAACTTAATATTAGCCATTTCACATTTACTAAACACTTAACTAAGGGTACTTATTATTTAGGTAAATACTTATTTTTGAGAGAACAAGTAGATACAGCAAAGGTTACAAATATGCTTCTACCTGATATAGCTCTAATGTTACAAAAAGATAGAGTTAACTTCAATAAAAATAAAGCCGTGTGTAGTTCAAGTAAATCTGTGATATTAATGGATGTTGAAAGTAAAGAAGAAACTCTTTTTGAAAGTTTGGGTAAATGTATGGAATATTTTAAAAGTAAAAATATACCAGCGTCTCCTAAAACATTGGTTAAACATTTGAATACAAATATAGCTTACCGCGGATATATTTGTAAATCTTCCACCCTAATCACCAAAAGTGAAGGAGGACAAGATAAAGTATAGTTATATGTAATAGAATTAGCAATACATAATGGGGTTTATATAAAACTTCTAACTATATGCTGGAACAGCATTAGTGTTTATAGGTTTAAATTATTTATATCCGGATAAACTATGCTCAATCAGCAGGAAACCCACAGATGTCATTAGATAATCTTAGTGGGATCCTCAGAGACTACACGTTAGACACCGTATCTAAACAGTTTGTTGTTGTGCACAAGCTCATACTATAGAAGAGCGTGAGTGCCTGTTTCACTTTTATTTTTTTTTTTTCGAAAAAAAAAAGTAATAGAATATAGAGGCAGACAACATTTAATAGATGCGCTGAAGATATAGTCCGCAATATTGGTTGTATTTTGTTGTATTCAAGATATAATCATTAAGTGTCATTACTACAATACTTAATATGAGAGCTCCAGGTATAAGCCTTCACAAACTAGCTTTGTTTGGGTGAGCTGTAGTTGTTACTGCTGTGTTATTATTACTATCTTTACCTGTACTAGCCGGTGCAATTACAATGGTCTTAACCGACCGGAATTTTAACACATCATTCTTTGAAGCTGCTGGAGGTGGTGATCCAATACTTTACCAACATCTTTTCTCAAGACTAGTATTTGAAGATTATTATATATTCAATACATTATTTATATTTCCTACTTCTAACCAATCAATCTTTAAAAGATATATATCTAAATTTAATTCTAATTTAAACAATAAGTTTGATTTTTCTGCATTTTATAAGAAATACAATACTCATTTGCCAAATAATAAAATTCCTTCAGAAAACTTTTTAACATGATTAGTAGGTTTCACTGAAGGAGAAGGTTCTTTTATAGTAAACAATAGAGGAGATTTGGCATTTGTTATTACACAAGCTACAATAGATAAACAAGTTTTAGAATTTATACAAGAAATTCTGGGATTTGGGAAAGTTATTCGTCAATCGGCTATAACTAGTAGATATGTAACACAAAATAAGAAAGAAATAGATATTCTAGTTAGTTTATTCAATGGTAATCTTGTTTTACCTAAAAGACAAGAAATATTTGATCTTTTCGTTAAAGGGTTTAATAAATGAGTTACTAAAGGTAGAATACTATTAGAACCTGTAGTAATTAATAATAGACCCATTCTACCTACTTTAAACGATGCATGGTTTGCAGGATTTACTGACGGAGAAGGTTGTTTTACTTGTTCAATTGGTGAAAAAAGAGGATTTAGTTTCAACTTTAATATTTCTCAAAAGTGAGAAATAAATCTAATAGTATTAGAGCATTTCGGTGTATTATTTAAAAATGGGATTGTTTCTAGACATTCAGAAGAGAATGCTTATGAATTTAGATTAGGTGGAGTAAACAATTGTAAAAATGTCTTCTCTTATTTTGATAAATATACATTATATACTAAAAAGTCTTTATCCTATAAATTATGAAAAGATATTCATAATGATCTTGTCAATAAAGATCATCTAGATGAGTCAAAAAGACGAGAAATGATTGAAAGAACTAAGATGATAAATAAATCAAATAATACAAAATCAAACTACTAGGGAAAAAAAGTCAAGGTTTAACGTGCAAGTTATGAAACTATAAAGACAGATGTAAAAAGATATAAGATCTGAAATAGTGAATATTATTATAAGAATATACCTGAGACTTAGTTAATATATATAAGTATTACTTGCAACTCTTAAGTTTAAAGGTTATATTCTTTTATATGAGATTTTAAACGTATTTTATAAATACAAGGAAAAGTAATAAAAATATTAGCGATGCTAGTGCAATTACGGTCAACAAGTTCCTCATTTAAAGACCGACGGTTATTTAAGTGATCGCTACAGACTGGTTCACTGGTGGGTGTCTGAAATGATGCTTAATGTACAGTCGGTTTCTTCTATCATAGATGTATGATACACAAGCCCGGAGTTTACACTACCGGTACCTGAATTTAATAAGAGACTTTTAAAAAGATAAGTTAAATTTGAAGAAATGGATTCTTCGGTCACCCTGAGGTCTACATTTTAATTATACCTGGTTTTGGTATAATAAGTACTGTAATATCAGCTAGTTCTAATAAGAGCGTTTTCGGTTATCTTGGTATGGTCTATGCCATGATGTCGATAGGTGTATTAGGATTTGTTGTTTGAAGTCGAGTTTTGGCTTCGCCACATAGTGATATGTGGATTAATGTTATTTATCTCGCTATAAGCTGGAACGGTTTAGTGCTAATTAGTACATTGAACTGTAAAAATCTAATTAGCTATACCAGATCTGCCGGCAATCTGTCCCTGTACTCAGCAAGGAGTAATATACAGAGTGCTTCAGAGACTATGCGCGAAACATCTTTTAATTTTTCAGCTTTTAATCTGTATTATAATACGCTATTCGGGAATGCTCCGCAACATCTGTCGAATAACTGATTAACTTGATTTATTGGTTTTGTAGAAGGAGACGGTGCTATTCAAAGATGACGGCGGAGTCCTTATTTGAACAAATTCACAGGATTTATGATCATTTTGGGAGTATTAAATTTATCATGGGACTAAAATGTTGAGGCACAAGCTCCGTTTTATTTAAATCATTCTTTTAATTTACTTTCAATAATGCCTTTAATAACGTATAATAACGCGGACGTTGAAAAATTTCGTATTTTAAAAGATAATAATGGTAAATCCGGAGTTTATTGTTGAGTAAATAAAGTCAATGGTTCTAAATATGTAGGTTCATCTAAAAATTTATACAGAAGATTCTTACAATATTTTAACACTGGGTATTTGCTTAAACTTGAAAATATTGTTATTTGTAGGGCTTTACTTAAACATGGTTATTCCATGTTTAATCTTGAAATCCTTGAGTATTGTGATTCTAAGGGTTTAATAATACGTGAACAGTACTATATAGATTTATTGAAGCCTGAATATAATATTTTAAGGAAGGCAGGGTCGGCATTAGGTTTTAAACATAGGGAAGAAACTATAGCTAAGATGTCTATCTCTAAAGCAGGAGAAAATCCTATGTTTGGTAGAATAGGAGAAAAACACCCTATGTTTGGGAGAACAGGTGAAAAAAGTCATATGTTCGGAAAACCAAAACCTGAAGGGTCTGGAAGCCCTTCACAACAGATCGAAGTTATTGATCTTAAAACCAATACAACAACTAGATATGATTCTATTTCTGCAGCTGCATTAGCTTTAAATATTTCACGAACTAGAATTTCTATATGTTTTAACCGAAATCAAATTAAACCTTACAAATCGCAATATATTTTCAAAAATTTCTAAAGGTCTTGGCTGGTTATTATATTGAAGCTGTTAATTGAAAGATGTCTAGTCCCTACGGGACCCGCAAGCTCGTATGTTCTGGGTAAGTGAATGCTTTCTTACTAGTAGAGCATAGTATGTATAGCTAATTATTAGGGCTATTCCAGCCTGGAGTACGAAGTTCATATACATCCATTTTTACCTATTTGGTAAAGATCCTTGTTCTTGACAGGGAGCTTATGAGCAATAAATTAACAAATATTTTGCTGTATACTGGGAAGGTTTAGTGTTAATTGGTACTTTGAATAGTAAAAATTCAGTTAATTATACCCCATCAGTAGGCAAGCAATACCTTTATTACGAGCTTAATTACTTTAAAATTTTTTGCCTCGCTTGTTGAGGCGTGCATGCACGCATAAAACCTGCCGTAATATTGAATGTTATTTTGCCTCAGAGACTATATGCAAAACATCTTTAAGAATAATACAAGAGGAGCTTAGATTCTATATCGTACAAGAGTACGTTTTGTTCTTACTCAGAAGGAAAGTGCTATCCTTTTCTATATTCAGAAAAAATTAGGAATAGGTCAAGTTAAGCATTTTCCACAAGGGAAAAGTGGTGACAATAATGACTTTTATAGGTTAATTGTAGATAACCCCCTCACATATTCTTCTACTAGTCTATTTATTTAATGGTAATCTGGCTCTTGCTAACAGAATGCTGCTATTATCTTTGTGAGTTCAAGCTTTAAACAATCGTTTAGGGGTAGATACAATTATATTGATTAATCAAGCTGTTTCAGTTACATTACAAGATGCTTGGTTATCTGGTTTCACCAACGCTGAAGGATGTTTTAATGTATCTATAACATCCAATGCAAGATATACGTAAGGTAGTGTTATAAAGATGCGTTATATACTTGATCAAAAGGATAGTGTTATTCTTATGGCCATACAAAACCTTTTTGGGTTTGGTAAAGTAACCCTTAGATCCCAAACGGACGGTGTTTATCGTTACACAGTTACAGGCTTCAAAACAATGAACGATGTAATATCTTACTTTAAAGCATTCCCACTACTTACTAAAAAGGTCCAATCTTTCGAGAAATGATTTAGTATCCATAATATGGTTTCTAACAAATTACATCTCACTGAAGAAGGATTAGCCCAAGTTAGAGTATTACAGAAACAGGTTAATCTTGAAAACGGTATGACGAAAAAAACAGGATCTGCGCATCCTTGGTATTATTCTTGAAAGATGAAGATATAGTCCGATTCTTCTTGTGAAAGGAGCGCATAGTCATATAGCTAAGCGGGCAGATATGAGGAATATCTGTTAACATTTTGCATCATATGTACACAGTTGGTTTAGACGTGGATACCAGAGCTTACTTTACAGCTGCCACACTAATAATCGCTGTACCTACGGGAATTAAAATTTTCTCTTGATTGGCTACATGTTACGGAGGATCTTTACAATTAACTCCTTCAATGTTATTTGCTTTAGGTTTTGTTTTCATGTTTACAATCGGAGGGTTAATAAACAACCACTTAGCTCTCCCTATGATTCGGTCTATCTTCTATTCAAGAATAGAAGATAGATTTTCATATTTTACTACTATATGCTGGGAACTTCTGACAATTATGCTACTAGAGTTTTATTTAATTTCAGTTACAATGTATAATTTTGAATGATCAGCAGGTAACCAAAGAATATTTAGTAATATTTTAGAGGGATCCTCAGAGACTACGTGTAGTACCCGGGGTTTAATCCGGGAAAATATAGTCCAAATAAGAAAAAATTCATTAGTTTTTAATTCTTGATTTAACTTTTCTCTTATGGCTCGCTCCGCACCGCAGAGATACGGTATTATAAGTCGATCTTATTCTAATTCTAGTGATAAGCAGCCTGGGTGCTTCGCCCACCAATATTTAAAGGCTGTAAAAGTTTATGATAACTTTAAGGAATCTAGAATAAATATTTTAAAAGAACAAAGAGATAAATCAGGTGTTTACTGTTTAATAAACAAGGTAAATGGGCATGCTTACGTAGGAAGCTCTATGAATTTAGCTTCTAGAATGAGAAATTATCTTAATAAGGCTTTTTTAAAAAGTAAACAAAATTCTAATATGCCTATTACCAAAGCTTTACTTAAATACGATTATTCTAATTTTTCTCTTTTAATTTTAGAATATGTTGAACTTGTAAATTTAACTGCAAGAGAAACTTTTTATATCACAGATTTAATACCTTATTACAATGTTTTAAAAGAAGGTTATTCTTCTTTAGGTTATAAACATACAGAAGAAGCCAAGAAGTTATTATCGGAATTAGCTAAGAATAGAACACATTCAGATAAAACTAAAGGTTTAATCGCAAGGGCTGTAACAGGTGAAAATAATCCTTTTTATAATAAAAGTCATTCTCTTGAAAGTAAGATAAGAATGATTGAAGCTAATTCAGCCTACTCTGTTTATGTTTATAATTCATTTAAAGAGTTATTAGTTATTTTTCCTTCTGTATTAACCTTAGCTAAATTAATTAAATCAAATCATCCTACCTTAGTTAATATTATAAAAGAGCAAACAATATTCAGAGGTGAATGATATTTAACAAACATACCTTATAATATAAATGATACTCCTATAATAGCTGATTGATCCTCTAAAGAATGTGGGCAATTAGTCTTAAATATGGACAAGAATAGTCATATTAGAAAAGCAGTGTTTGTATATGATATAAATAGAAATTTTCTTGCTAAGTACGATGGAGTAATGGAAGCTCAAAGAGCTTTAAATATATCACATTCTACTATTAAGAATTATGCTAAGATAGGTGGTGTTTATAAAGGGTATATCTTTAGTTATGAAAGATTGGCTGCTTCGCCTTATCCCTGAAGGGATCAGGCGTATTAATGAATTTTTTTTTACGTAAGTGGAGTAATTTTAGCGAACGCATCTCTTGATATTGCATTCCACGATACTTATTATGTCGTAGCTCATTTTCACTACGTTTTAAGTATGGGTGCAGTATTTGCACTATATAGTGCATGATACTTCTGAATACCTAAAATATTAGGTTTAGATTATAATAAAATGTTAGGTAAAGCGCATTTCTGAATTTTATTTATAGGGGTTAATGTAACGGGAAGAATGTCGTCTTTTTTTTATGCAAGCAAGATGTCAGGTAAAAGATTTAATCATGATTTAGCTGGTCCTGGTGGTTCACCTAACAATAATTTTGTTATGTTTTTTAATAATGTTCAAGATAGTAAAAGAGCTATTTATAAAACTTTAAGAGGAAAATCTGGAGTATATTTATTTATAAACAATATAACTAATGATTTATATGTGGGGAGTAGTATTACTTTATCTAAAAGAATGACTTCTCATTTTTACCTTGCAAACTCCGAGAAGGCTACAAATATAGTATTAGCTAGAGCAATGAGAAAGTATGAATTAAAAAGTTTCTCTTTGGGTATATTAGAAATTTGTGCTTCAGATACCATAGTCTGTTCGGAATTAGAACAAAAATGAATGGATTATTATAAACCTAGATATAATGTACTAAAAGTTGCAGGTAGTTCATCAGGTTTTCGTCACTCTGTTGATACTATAAATAAACTAAAAGAGCAATTCAAAAAAGAAAGTCACCCAAAATACGGTACAGTTAGTTCCCCTGAGACAATAAATGCCATTGCCCAGGGTATTAAAGAATTTTACCTTACTCATAGTCATCCCTCTAAAGGATTAAAAGGTAAACTTTCTCCCCAATATGGTATCGGGGGTAAATCTGTTTTTTGCTATAACCAAAAAGGTGAAGAATTAATATTCCCATCCATTAATGGAGCTAAACAACATTTCCATGTTAGATGAACACTTATAAAAAAAAGTATAGACACTGGCCAGTCAATATATTTAAACGGGGAACCGTGAATTATACAATCTTTACCTCGTCCAGCTCGTTAAAATAAGCCGTATTAGCCCCTCTCAACCTTTCAATAAGCTGGAAAATCTTACAAGGCTTAAATACTTAATAATTATTCCACAATTAATAAGTAACAATTTTAAGTATATCTAGACAATCAGCAGGAAACGTACAGATAATATTAAACTATCTTGGCCGGATCCTTAGAGACTACACGAAAGGAAAGTTATACCGGAACGGTATTACTTAAGATATAGTCCACGTTTATATGATAACAAATTTATCATATTTTTTGTAATGTAACATTCTTCCCTCTTAGGTTGGGGGCCTACATTAGAAATTTTGTAGCGTAAAAGGGAGATATAATAAACTCCCTGAAAACTTGGCAAATTGCTGGAAAGACGTCTAATCTTATGCCTAGTTATTACGACTAATCAGCAGGCAATCTTTCTTAGCTACATTAAGTAAAGCGGCTTCAACGATCATACGCCAAGTACCTGATACCTTTATAATTAATGTTTTATTTAGGTTTGGTAGTGATATGATCTACAAATTATTGGTGACAAATAAGCACTGATAATTTATCTCATCTAGATTCACCTAAAAATTTTAGATCTAGTTCTTATAACTTGAGTCTTCGGCTACAAAATTTGGCAACTATGATACCAAAACGCTCTTACTCTACTAGTTCTGTTTTTAATACCTTATCTGAGGTTAGTAATATTGATAACAATGAATCAATTGAGTTTGATTCTCTTGAACAAGCATGTGAACGGATTAAATTCAAATACTTAGGAGTTTCAGGTGTTTATAAACTAACATCTAAAAATGACCCTTGTCGTTTTTATATAGGTAGTTCTATTAACTTAGCTAGAAGAATGGAGGAGTATAATAAATTAACTAAAGGTTTACGTAATCCTCATTCAGCTTCTGAACTGGAAATATCCAAAATTTCAGCTTTAGATTGAAGTTTAAAGTTTATATATATTACTACTCCTCAAACTTCCCTAGTTTTTGAACAATATGCTATTATTAAACATAAACCAACTATTAATAGTCACTATAAAGTTATTCCAAGGGTAAACCCTCAATGAGGTAATTTAGATAATGCTATTTTAACCACTGAAAAGTTATTATTATTATTCTCTAAAGGTTCTGAAGGTTATAATAGATTAGTTGTCTTTCTTCAAACATTTAAAACAGCTAATCATTTAGAATACACATCTGAAGACACAGATAATAAATATTATTGTTTTTTAGTTTTTGCGTATCTTGTTAATTCACCAGATAAAGATCCTATCATTTATTCTTCAATAAACAGGGCTTTGAAAGGATTACAAATAAGTCATAGTGCGCTATTAAATCATATTAACAATAAATACCTTTATAATTCAAGTCTTATATTATCTTTTGAACCTTTACTTGTAGATAATTTTTTTGAATATCAAGAAAAACCTGCAGGAGACAATCAACTTAGAAAACACATTGTTGTTTATAATCAAAACAATGAGATAATAATAGAATTTAAATCTGGTAGAGAAATGGCTAATTATTTCAAAATCGATGGTAAAGTAGCAAGAGCTGCCATAGCCCAAGGTGAGTACCAAGACTTTTTACTAATATCCAGAGAAGTGTCCAACCGTAAAACCATTTATGTATTTGATAATAATTCACATGAATTAATAAATGAATTAAAAAGTATAACTAAAGCTTTGAAATATGCTAAAGTTAATTATTATACATTAAAAGGTTTGATCGAGAGTGGAAATTCTTATGATGGTAAAATATACAGTTATAAAGATAAATTATAGTTTTACAATGCGTACGTTGCTATAAAGAGCAACATTTTTTAGGTCTACAAGGAATGCCAAGAAGAATAAGTGATTACCCTGATGCTTTCGCAGGTTGAAATTTAATAAGTAGTTTTGGTAGTATCATTAGCGTGGTTGCTACAGTGTTATTCTTATATATTGTATACATACAATTAGTTGAAGGTAAAGCTACAACAAGATATCCTTGATTAACTCCACAGTTCTATAGTGATAGTCTACAAACACTATTAAATAGAAGTTATAACTCATTAGAATGAGCATTAACTAGTCCCCCTAAACCTCATGCATTTGTTAGTTTACCTTTACAAAGTTAAATATGTACTAATAGTCCTTTTGTTAGGAATGTGATTGGTTTCTTGTGACTGTGGTTAGTGAGCCAACTAAGCATGATTGATAAGTTAGGGGATGTGACTATCATCAGGTAGCCTTTATAAAGCATTACGATATGTTTACTAGGTAATAAGGCTGGATATTATTAACTTTTATAAGATTATAATACCCTATATATAATAGGTTTAAGGTTATAAACGGAGGCTATATTATTATCTTAGTGTTAATAGGGTTGTTAGTCACATATAAGCGCGAAGGTAGGGGCGTTTATTATACCTTTTGCTTCTTAACAATTCTCCCTGAATTATTAAGTAAAATCTTTAAGGTGAATATTATATTAGTAATGGTCTATAATTATATAGTTTATATACTGTATAATTTATATACCATTGTTTTGTTTTTATTTTTAGTTTGTTATTGGTTTAGCTTAAGCTATAACTAATCCAACTATATATCTATTAAGTTAGAATTAATATTTTAATTTAAGTAAGATTTTAACTATATGGAAAATAGATGTAATTAAAACATTAATTTGAAAATACTTTTCTAATGTTTTTAGTTATATAATTAGTTTAAATTACACTATTTATATAATTATGTTTATTACTTGTCAAGTTTAATGGCTTAATCTTGCTTTACTGTTTGACTTACACGTCTATCAGTCGCGTAAGCGGGGCATATGATCACAAGATGCAGAAAGGAAAGGTCTTGGATTTTTGAAAAAGCTACGCTAGGGATGTTAGTCCTCCAATGTTTTATTTCTAAAAATTTTAAGTAGTAAATCTATTGGTTAATTATTGGGTCAATTTCAAGAATAACTTATAAAGTTCACTTGAAGCGAAATTTACTTAAGCATTACCTTTAATTTTTTTTATGTCATTTCTCTCCTCCTCAACCAGTTGAGGAGGAGAGAAAAAAAAATAAAAATAAATAAAAAATAAAGATAAAGAAGTAAAACCGTTCAACGACTAGAGGGTGAGTATGCTAACGATAATCCTTCTCTTAAACCCAACATATTTATTTATCCTGTATATATAAACTATTTTATTCTCAACCCTTTTTTCTCTCTTACCTCCTCAACAAGTTGAGGAGGTAAGAGAGAAAAAGGGGAAGGGTAAAATAACTAAACAATAACTAATATTAATATTAATATTAATGAAATAGACTCAATTTAATATTGAGCATGAGCAAACATTATAAAGCAAAAAAAAAGAATTTAGAAACTATGAAGAGACAATTTAAACCTAATAAAATTTATGCTAACGCTCGCCTTTCGTATTTAGTAGCTTCTCAACGTTTATCTCGTGCAGCAAATATAATGGCACGGTCTTCTAAAGTTAGAGAGTTTTCTACTTCTAATCCTTTTAATAATCCTACTTTGGTTAAGTCTACTAAGGATAACCCAAAGGGTTACAAAAATATTGATGTGTAGGCCGCTGAATCACAACGAGCTGTGGAATTTTATGAAGATTATAATAAAGAAGCGGACTTAGATAATGATAAGGAATTTATTAAATTAAGGTATAAGTCATGGATGTACTCTGAAGTTAAGGTTAGATACGACAAGCTGCCGAATAACCATGAAATGAAAAATCCTAGTGACATTAATAATATAATTAAGTCCGTAACAAGTGAATATAAACCAGTTTGTGAAGGAGAAGTTTTGGGTATGAAAGAAACGACAGAAAAAGTTCGACCTAAAATACCCGAATGACCTGCCTCTAGTTCTGGTTCTACGAGTATATCTTCAGCTGAAAATCCTAATATTAGCACTACATTTTCAGGAAAAAAAAGAACATTTGAAGAAGATGTAGAGTCTAGTACTCAACCTTCTTCAAAACACTTAAAAGAAAACCCCAGCCAGATTACTAGCAATGCATCTGCATATTCAGCTTATAAAGATAGTGATCCAGCAAGCCAAGGTAATTATACTACGGACAATCGGAGCCCCTTAGATTATGTTTTGGACAAACAACAATCTGAGCCGTTCGATTTTATGGACAGTGAAGAGTAAATTTGTTTAGTTGCTTTAAAGCTCTGGAGCTTTAAAGGTTTAGACACCAGATTCGGATGCCATATGGCGTGATTTTCAATGGGGGTTTTTTATAATTTAGCGTTGCATTATATACAGAAAATAAATATGAAGAAATAGTCTGAACCATTTTGTAAAATATGGAAATAAAGAAGTAAATAAACTTCTTTTATTAACAAATATTGAACAGGCTAATTGCGCCAGAGAGTACAAATCGAGTGCGCAGTTTGGCACCTCGATGTTGGCTAGAAGGTTTACTATTAGACATATAAAAGGGAGAAGCATTGTTTGCAGTTTAAAGCCCTTTTATAAGCTAAAATAAGAAGGCTATAATATTTAGTTATTATAGTGTACATAAAATCTAGAAGCTATAATAAAAAAGGCAGATAACTATGTCAAGGCCCCGTCCCGCCCTGGAATACTTATTATTTTAGGTATGATATCATAATTATTTTGTCCTTTTTCTCTTTTATGATTTTCACTGTTAACTCGACTGAGTATCAAGGATCATTGGTAAATAGAAGATAGTATGATAGTTATAAGGGTTCTAGCATTTTTAGTCGTATTTCTGTCCCATTTCTCTCCTCCTCAACAAGTTGAGGAGGAAAGAGATGAAAAGGGGGGGCGATAAAAAAAAAAAGGGGAAAAAGGTTAGAGGAGGAGAGAAGAACCCAGGATGAAAAAAAAAATAATATGTGAACTATACAGTTGTGTGTGGTGTTAGTAAAGATCATACATATTGCAAATTTTATAAAAAAAAAAGATCGGTAGGTAAATTCGTCCTTTTTTTTTGATTATCCATGTTACTTTTACTTTTATTAACAATACCTTTGTTAGGTGTATTTACTATTTCTACGGGTATATCTTATAACTTAAGCGATTTAAATATTAAACGTATAAAAAAGATTGCTTTAACTGCATCTATTATAAACCTTTTCCTTTCTTTTTTAATTTTTATACTATTCGACGCTAGTAGTAATCAATTCCAATTTGTACAAGAATATCATGAAATAAGCTCTTTCGATTTTTACTTAGGGTTAGATGGACTTTCTATATACTTTGTATTATTAACAACTATGATAACTCCTATAGCATTATTAAGTAATTGAAAATCTATTCAAGATAATGTAAGATCTTATGTTATAATTATACTACTATTAGAGAGCTTGTTACTAGCAGTATTTTTAGTGTTAGATATTTTATTATTTTATATTTTTTTTGAAAGTATCTTGCCACCGTTATTTATATTAATAGGTCTATTTGGATCAAATAACAAAGTAAGAGCTAGCTTTTATTTATTTTTATATACATTGTTTGGATCATTGTTTTTATTATTATCCATATTAACAATATCTTCAATAATGGGAACTACAGATTTTGATGCATTATACAAAACCAATTTTTATTATTCTACACAGTTGTTTTTATTTTATGGTATATTTATAGCCTTTGCTGTAAAAACTCCAACTATATTCTTAAACACATGGTTATTAAAAGCTCACGTAGAATCGCCTTTAGGTGGTAGTATAATTTTAGCTGCTATTGTTTTAAAATTAAGTTTATATGGTATTTTTAGACTTATGCTACCTTTATTACCTAAAGCTTCCTTAGATTATACTTATATAATCTACCTTATAGGTGTTATAACTATAATATACGCTAGTTTTAGTACCTTAAGAACAATAGATGTTAAAGAACTTATTGCTTATAGTTCTGTATCACATGCAGCTGTTTATCTTATCGGTGTATTTAGTAATACGATCCAAGGAATAGAAGGTGGTATAGCTTTAGGGTTAGCCCACGGATTTGTTTCAAGTGGTTTATTTATTTGTGCTGGAGGGGTATTATATGATAGATCTGCTACAAGGTTAATTAGTTTCTATCGAGGTATAGCTCAATTAATGCCTTTATTTTCTATTCTATTCTTTATTTTATCTTTAGCTAATGCGGGTACTCCCCTTACTTTAAATTTCGTAGGTGAATTTATGTGTTTATATGGTACCTTTGAGAGATTACCTTTATTAGGTCTTTTTGCCAGCTCTTCTATAGTATTTAGCGCTGCATATACTATATATATGTTTAACAGAATAGCTTTTGGAGGATCATACAGTAAATTTTTTGAAGTTAATATAAGTGATGTAAATAAACGTGAATTTTTTATTTTACTTACATTAGTAGTATTTACTGTTATATTAGGTATTTACCCTGCTCCTATTTTAGACGGTTTACATTATTCAGTTTCATCTCTAATATATAGTAATTTTAGTTAATTTAAAGTTGTTGTTAATTATTTTGTTCTAAGATATAGAAGCTTAGTTTTTTAGGATTATTTCTCTTTCTAGCCTAAGTTACTACAGGTAGTTTAGCTTTTTCGTGCTGCTAGGCAGCCTATGAAAAAAAAAATAAAAAAAAATAATAGAATGTATTTTTTATTTATTATTCTTATCTCTTTTTTTTTCTTGGGATTATCTTTGTTTATTATCCTGTATGTGGTTAAGTTAACTTAGTTGTTATAAAATAATTAACCGAATGGTGGTGGGATCAATATTCTAATTTTGTTTTCTACCTATTAGATGTTAATAAAATATATATTAATAGATCTTTTTCTTTGCCCTTTCCCTGCTTCGTTTTTTTTTCTTTTTTTTTTTATTATAAATATATATTATTTGTTGAGAAAAAGAGGGAAAAGGCAATACCTAAAACTTGTGGGAGAAGCGTTATATTAGCTCAGCCTAGCTAATATAACTTAAAGCCCGTTTATATAAACGAATTAATGTTTAATACTTTTACGCTTGCACAGGAAATATAGTTTAAACTACTAGAGAACTTACATATAAAATAATTTTAGCCTTCAACTTCTAGAAAAAAAAAATATTAATGAAATTTTAATTATAAAATGAGAATTTTTAAAAGTCATCCTTTATTAAAATTGGTTAACTCTTATATGATCGATTCACCACAACCAAGTAACCTAAGTTATTTATGAAATTTTGGTTCTTTACTAGCTGTTTGTTTAGTTATACAAATAATCACAGGTGTAACTTTAGCAATGCACTACAACCCTAGCGTATTAGAAGCCTTTAACTCTGTAGAGCATATTATGCGTGATGTAAACAACGGATGATTAATACGTTACTTACACAGTAACACAGCTTCAGCTTTCTTTTTTATAGTATATTTACACATAGGAAGAGGTTTATATTATGGATCATACAGAGCTCCTAGAACATTAGTTTGAACAATAGGTGTAGTTATATTCATATTAATGATAGTTACAGCTTTCTTGGGTTATCAACATAGCCCCAAACGATTTAATACAAGTAATAAGTTAAATTTAATAAATTACAACATAGTAAATAGTAAAAGACTGTTTAACAAAAGTATAATAAAAAGAGGGTATTGTACAAATCGTTCTTCAGATAGTCCTAAACTTACTGAAAGTTTAAAAACAATTATTTATGAATTAGGTCTAAACCCTGTATATATTTATGAGAACTTAAATCTAGAAGATACTAGAAAACAAATATTAAATGATACCAGAGGTTTAAGCGGTATATATATGATAGTTAATAAAACAACTAAAGATTATTATATAGGTTCTGCTTCAACTAATAGGCTTTATGCTAGATTCTGTAGCCATGTTATTTATTTTAAAGGTAGCAAAATAGTTAAATTAGCTATTAAAAAGTATGAATTAAAAAATTTTGCTTTTATTGTATTAGATTTATATCCTAATGTTGTTACCAAAGAAAATAACAAGGAATTAATGGATTTAGAAGATAAATATTTAAAATTGTTAGTTCCTAATTATAATATTTTAACAGAAGCAGGTTCTAGTTTTGGTTATAAACACACTGAAGTTGATCGTCAAAAGATGAAAGATCTATATGATGATGCAAGACGGGTAAGAGTTGGTAGCCTAAATAGAGGTAAAAAGCTTTCTTCTGATACCATAGAAAGGATTAGAGAGAAAGCTTTAATTAGACCACCCATGTCTGAAGCAACTAAGAATAAGTGTATAACTAATACAAGACCTGTTGTCTTGTATAACTTGAATAGAACTGTTTACGGTAAATATCCTACTATTTTAGAAGCAGCTAAGGCTATAAGCTGTGATGAGAAGACCATCAGAAGAGCCTTACAGACAGAAAAAAGGGTAGTTAAACGACAATGGATAGTAGAAGATTTACAAGATAAATAGGTCTTTAGTCGAGGATAATTGTTTTTATACTGGATTACATGTGCTAATGGAGTAATGCTAGATAATTATACTTTATTACGTATAAATCGTAGTCCCATGAGTAACAATCTTTTTTATGTAAAAAAAGAGATTAAAGTGGTATAGCCCGACGGCGCTATAGAATAGTTTTTAAAATTATTTGACGATATTAGTGAAAACGATCAAAGAAATTATGCAAGTTTTTAGATCGTCGGTCATATAAATGGTCGCTACAGACTGGGTCACTAATAGGTGGCTGAAATGCTGCTTAATGCACAGTCGGAATTTTTAGTTAAAAAATCATTTGACTAATAGAATATACGAATTTAAAGTTATTCTAGCTTGTTATTGAGAGGTTAATAATAAGTAAATATTTTTGTATGTTCTACCCTACGGGCAAATGTCGCTTTGAGGTGCAACTGTGATCACCAATCTTATGAGTGCTGTACCATGAATTGGACAAGATATTGTTGAGTCAAACAACACAAATACATACTTAACAACAGATTGTTTAACGATGCTACCTTTAATTGGTACTGTACATAAGAATGCCGTTAAAAAATTGCAAAATACTTTTAAAGCAGACAATAAAGAATATCTTTCCATACCACCATCTTTTATAGCTTTTTTTGTAGGTATGGTGGATGGAGATGGTTATATTCAAATAACCAAAACATCTAAAGGATTTATAGCTATGAAGCTAGTAATATCCTTACAGATAGTAGATGTTTCTACTCTTGAGTATATACATTCAGTTTTAAAAGTTGGAAAGATTAATATATACCGTGATAATAGAAATCCTAGTTGTAAACTAGCCATAAATAGAACTGATTTACAACAAATTGTATTCCCTCTACTTTTATATCACAATATTTTTTTTTTAACTGATACTAGAAAAAGAACAGTTTGATTTAGCTATATACATCTTAGAACAAAATATAAAAAACTTTGATAAGATAAGGGAATAGAAAAGATCTACCTTCTGTTTCTAGATTACCCAAATACACCATTAGAGTACACTAATTTGCTTTTTTTTAAAAATTGAATAGTGGGGTTCACAATGGCTGAAGGTTCTTTCTTTATGAAAAAAAAATGGTGACGGTTGTTTCCAATTAAAGCAGAGAGTACATACAAATTTATTTGAAGCTTTTAAATTGGTATTTAATACAACTAGAAAAATAGAAGTAGTAGAAGGATTATATAATCAATTTGGAGTTAGTTCTAAGGCCGACGTACAAAAAGTTATAGATTTCTTTTCATTTTTAGGTCTACATCCTTTAGTTGGTTTAAAAGGTATTCAATATATGCAATGGTTAAATTTATTACGTAATAGCAATCGTTATAAAAATCTTAATTTTCCTGAAACTGTAATATAGTTTACTCGTTTTATATAATATGTTGTTTAAACTTAAATCTTTTAAGTTGTAGATAATTTGTGAAGGCTCCTTGAAACAGTAATGTTTCAAAGGCAAATGGGCTTAATTGCAAGAACATCTAATAAAACTCCTCCGATTTACTAGATTATTTGCAGCGAAGTTTGATTCGGTATACCTTATATTCTTTTTAATGTATATTATATATTATTAATATAAGGGAGTCAAGAACGTTCAACGACTAATGAGTGAGTAGTACCAACAATAAGCTCGACACGAATGCCCTACAACCAAGCAAATCCTTGTTTGGTTGAATACATAGTCTAAACATCTAGGTAACAGATGAAAAGGATATTAAATTATCCCTAATTAATACATTGTTTTATGAGGAGGTTTCTCTGTTAATAACGCAACTTTAAACAGATTCTTTGCTTTACACTTTGTATTACCTTTCGTTTTAGCAGCTTTAGCCTTAATGCATTTAATTGCACTTCACGATAGTGCAGGTTCTGGTAATCCTTTAGGTATATCAGGTAACTATGACAGGTTAGCTTTTGCTCCTTATTTCTTATTTAAAGATTTAATAACTATATTTTTATTTATAATAATATTAAGTATATTTGTATTCTTTATGCCTAACGTGTTAGGAGATAGTGATAATTATATAATTAGGGAAAAAGCTTAGTTATTGTCAGAATGAACTTCTGGCTATTAAACCATCAAATTGCGGGAAGTCCCTAAAGCAATTTCAACCAAGCAGACGTGGTAACACAGTTTGTGGCACAGGCAATGACTTGTGGTAAGGTAAAATCGATATTGATTATCTATATGATTGCTACTTTCCCCCTAAAAACGATTTATTGTTCATTGGAAGGTGAGCAGGAAATACAGATAAATGGGTAATCCGCAGCCAAGCTCCCATACTAACGAGTATGGGTGTGCAGTTCATCGACTAGATGTTGGTTGGCGCAAGCTTAAGATATAGTCAAGCCCCATTCGAAAGAATGCAGGAAGTTATTTTATGATAAAGTTCCGTTAAATGGATAGGTTTCTTTTTTTCTTTTTTTTTTTTATCGCCCCCCCCCGCAAGCTTGCGGGGGGGGGCGATAAAAATAATATATATATATAAATAAAAATTTATTAAAACAAAAAAAAGAAAAAAAAATCGCCGACGCCCTTCTTTTCTCTTTTTTCTTTTTCACAACATTATAATAAAAAGGGCGTTGGTTTAAACCATTGGGAGGCTACGCACTCCCTGACCCCGGAGGGGTTAGGTTTAAACCTATTTAGGGAGAAGGCCTTAGTCAGGCACATCTGTTATTTAATTGCTTTCTATACTTATTTAAAGACTGAAAGCTATATATCCTCTACAGATCCAGATAAATCTCTCCTTACTGAACCAGGTAAGGAGATTAAACCTCTCGTTCAAGGGAAAGTAGGGGATAGTTTAATGACTCTTCCTGAAGTTAAAAGTATATTTTTTACTCTAAAAAATTCAGGTCCGTCTGGTAAAGGCTCAGATAAAGAATTCTGTTTACTTGCCAACGGCTTCTGACAAGCGGAAGGGTATATTGAGAGGTATATTTAGATCTGAGTTGAACTTTTTATCCTCTTTGCACGGCTACTCAGTTGTTTTCTGTGGAAAGCGCCGAATTCTTTATCAGGTTAGACAAAGCTTTAAGCAATAAGGGTACTTTAAGCATAACTTTAAATAGCTTTGGTAAGTTTGTTATCGCTTATAGATTGTCCGGTTGAGATACTTTCTTTTCTGTGTTTGTTCCTTATTTCCATGTGTTATATGGTGAAAAATACCAGGCTATTCTTAAATTAAAAGAAATTCATGCATTAAAACCCTTAATTAAAGATAATACGGACAATATGTCTAAAGTTCTCTTAGTAAGTCTTGTTTATTCTTTAACTGCTCATTCTTCTCGTTATAAAGTAAGCCTGGAGGATAAATTACTTTCTTTAGGTCTGGATCTGGCTTTATTGAAAGGGTTGCCAAAGGTTTCTTATAAAGAAAATGTTATAAAACCTTCTTTCTTATTTATACTGGGGTTCTTTTTAGGTGATGGTACTTTACAATTGAAACTAGAATGAAAAGAGAGAAACAGTACTGTTGTTGTTGTTCCTTTATTTAGTATAGTACAATCTAACATTGAATCTAATAAGTATATAATGGAAACGATGGTTAACACTTTAAATGCTCTTAATATAAAAACTTCTTTAGATAAAAGTGTTAATACTTACACTCTAACAGTTAAAGGTATTCACAATGTATTTAATTCTTTATTTCCTTTATTGAAAAATTATTCACACTTCTTGTATGGGAAGAGCGAGAGTTTTAATTTATTAGTCTGAGTAGAGCGACTGGTTAGATCAGGTGGTCACCATACTTATTTTGGTTTAAGAGCGCTCATAAATAGAATGTATGATAGTACTAATGAATGTTACACAGATAAAGAAGTTTGAATGGGCCGTATCGAGGATTGATTGAAAGCAGTTTCTGCGCGTAGAGAGTGAGGAGAATACTTTATTTCTCCTGTATATACTCCTAATTATGGGATTAGAGGTTGACAAGTACGTTTCCCTTTTACTTTGAAATTTCCTAAGTCTAATAAAGCACCTAAGTCTAATAAAGCACCTAAGTCTAATAAAGCATTTATCCTAAGAGGGAAGGAAGAACCCGCTAAGGCCTTGCTGTCTGCGGTGCAATATAGAGATAAAATACTTTCAAGCTGAATTGATAAATTATCTAGGGGAGGATAAGGAAGCAGTACAAGAAAAACCCGAAAAAGGGGTTTTGTCTGTATTTTAGACAAGTCGTTTAATTATATTCTGACTATACCCTCTGGGTGATTTCAGGTTTACCTACTGCTATGCTTATTACTTTCACATCCTTATCAGAGGGTACCAATTCAGTTAGGTCAAAGCCTAGTGGATCGACTTTACACCCCTTGTGAGTTACAGGATTCTCGGATGCTGAGGCTTCTTTTGGTTTGGGTTTCGCTAAGAAGTCTGGTTCGCGTGCAGGTTGACAAGTATTACCTGTTTTTAAAATTAATCTGCATGTAAAGGATTTAGCATTTTTACAACAAGTACAAGTTTATTTCAATAACTTAGCTCAGGAATCTGGTCAGACTTGTAGTGGACGTTTTTTAGTTTCCGGTGACAATGCATTGTGACGGGTTGGTTCTATAGCAGAACTTAATAATGTTGTAATACCGCACTTTGATAAATACCCGTAGATAACTAAAAAACTAGCTGACTACCTTTTATTTAAGGATGCGGTTAAATTAATGAGTACTAAGCAACATTTAGGCTCTGGAGGGTTAGATAAAATTGTTAACCTAAAAGCATCCCTTAATTTAGGTTTACCAGAGGAGTTACAGGTAGTTTTCCTAATAGTATTAAAGTAAACCGCCCTGTAGTGGAGAATAAATCAATTCCTCATGGTATGTGGATGGCCGGGTTTACTTCTGGGAGGATTGTTTCTTAGTTAGTATATTCAAAAGTACTACAACTAAGTTAGGTTATACTCCTAGATTAAGGTTCAGTATAACTCAACACTCTCGAGATGAACTACTTTTACGTAAATTTGTAACTTATTTTGCATGTGGTCGGTTTTCTTCTCGAACTTCAGGTGCGGCAGGGGATTTCTTATGTTCTAAATTTTCGGATATCGTTGAGCAAATAATTCCCTTTTTTTTTATGAATATCCGACAATTGGTTCTGAGCGTCATGACTTCTTTTTTTTTTCCATTTTTTTTAGTTATAAATATATAATTATTACGTAAATAATATTGTATAATAATAAAAAAAGGGAAAAAAATTTGGGTTGAAAGAAGGTAGCGGCTTTAATGGCTTCTAAGGCTCATCTTCAAGCAGGGGGGTTTAGATAACATCCGCCAAATAAGTGCTGGGATGAACACAGGTAGATCACAAGATTAGTCTCCATACACCATTTAAGCTTTTAAATTCTTTTATGACGACAGGTGTTCAACTTGTGGCGGTCAAGCTGAAGCTTTAGCAGCTGCTGTGCAATATAGAGATAAAATTATTTCAGATTGAATTAACTAAAAATTTAGGTTAACTTTAAGTATCTGTTTTCACCTTACTTCGTAGTTTTGCTAAGCTAGCGGACTAGGGTGCTAGAGGAAATAACATTGTCAGACTAATTAGATCTGGGCTAATCCAATGCAAACTCCACCAGCGATAGTTCCGGAGTGGTACCTACTTCCCTTTTATGCTATTTTAAGATCTATACCTAATAAATTATTAGGTGTTATTGCTATGTTAAGTGCTATTTTAATACTATTAGCTATGCCTTTTACTGATTTAAGTAGAAGTAGAGGTATACAATTTAGACCTTTAAGTAAAATAGCTTTCTATATCTTTATTGCTAATTTTTTAATACTAATGGTATTAGGAGCTAAACACGTTGAGTCACCATATATAGAATTTGGACAAATAAGTACAGTTATTTATTTTGCCCATTTCTTGATTATAGTACCTTTCATTAGTTTACTAGAAAACAGTTTAGTAGAGTTAGGGTTGCCGGAATCTAACTCTGTAACGGGTAAATCTCACACATTCGTTAGTTAGCGTTAAATAGTGCATGTGTTCATGGAATTACAGGTGTTTGCACACTATGTGCTAGTATTGCAAAACAAAATGTAATTTTGCTTCATAATCATCAATGAGTTGCAATTACAGCTCCAAGCATTGCTGAGGTTAAATATGATTTATGTACTCATGCTATAATTACCACTGCGGCAAATTATTGCCAACAGTGTTTTGCTGTTGCTTGTTTAACCTGTGCTTAAATGTATTATACTTCTACCTAAGATATTAGGTGGTCTGTTGAGAGATTTGGTTGGTATGTTGACTGTATCTTAGTAAGCTTAAAGGATTTAAGCTTACTTGTACCTTCAGATGTTATATGCATTATTAAGATTGTAGGATTTATTAGTAATAGAACCAAGTATTACGGAGCACATAAATTCTATCCTTACTAATATTATTAACGTATTAGAACAATTAATAGTTTATATGAGGAGTTTGATCGTTTACATGATCTTTGAATACATGTCTGTATAATAAGCCAGCCAGGAAATAGTTATCTAAGTTTTATCTATTATTAGTTAGATTACGTAAAATTGTTGCATTAGTGCGTGTGTTACGGATAAGGTATAATTGTTTAAATTATTCATTGTGTCGATATAAGTAGTATGGGTTATACTAAGAAATTAATGTAAGTAGAATTTTTAGGGTCTATAATTTAAACTTTAGCTTCCCCCCCCCCCTCCCCCCCTTTTTCTCTCCTCCTCAACTAGTTGAGGAGGAGAGAGAGAGGAATGAGGGGGGGCAGATCTTCATCAACATCTTTTATTTTTTTTTTTCTTTTTTTTTTTTTAGTAAGTAGTTTAATTGTTACGCAATAATTAAATTATATTTATAAAAAGAGAGGAAAGAAAAAAAGGAAAAAGATTAGAGCAAAGGTAAAGCTCTTTTATTGGCTAATATTTGAATTAGTTTACAATATATGGCTAGTTTTTTAGCAAAATGATATTTTCTCGGCTGCATAGACTATTAATAGATCTAAATGATAAAATTAATACCATACTAAGTATACCAGATAACACGCACAGATTAGATATTTCAGGTTATGCTAATCAAGTCAATTATACACTATTACATGATTGACAAAGTTATAGTTATATGTGTACTGAGCTGTTTGAAATTGTCAATACACTACGTCAATATCTAGTGTGGCCGAATTAGAATACTTACTATAAAATACTTATAATAGCTATTGTTAGCTTTTTCTATTTATTACATATTTATTATGTATAAAGAGATCTTTTTCTGAGGCATAGCCAAGATGGCAAAAAATATGGGCTTTATTATTTTAACGTTGAAATAATAAAGCCCATATTAAGGAATATGCTGTAGATGGTTCTATATTTGGATTTGAGATCTTAAATTAGGGGTTCAATTCCTCCATATCTCTGTATATATGCTATATCTAATATATATAACATATATACTAAAAATAAAGTTGAATAAGTTTAATAGTTCCATATATTTTAATAGTTATAAACATATAGATGAACTAACAACCAAAACAAAGGCTAAATATGTTTTTAGCCCTGTAATATGCCATAAGAAATTTTTCTTAAATTATAATTAAACATAGCTAAACATGATACAAGCAGCTAAAATAATAGGGACAGGTTTAGCTACTACTGGTTTAATAGGTGCAGGTGTAGGTATTGGGGTTGTTTTTGCGGCATTAATATTAGGAGTAGCTAGAAATCCATCGTTAAGAGCACAACTTTTCTCTTATGCTATATTAGGGTTCGCATTCGCAGAGGCTACCGGTTTATTCGCATTAATCCAAGGGTTTTAGGAGCCCTTTTTGGTTAAAAAAAGTTTAGGTTAAGCCTAGGCTAGCTTGTCTAAGCTATGATTAGCAACTTATTAGTAAGACAAGCGAGATTCTCAAATTGCGGGGAGTTCCTAAAGACTAAGTAACCAAGTCTAACTAGTAATAGATTAGATGGCACAGGTAATGACTCGTGGTATGGTAAAATCGCTTAGTATGGAGGCGTGCTTCGCTAAAAATGGATAATCCGCAGCCAACCACCGATGTAGATATTTGTGGATATATTTTTTCTAATTATTTTTAGAGAAGATCGGTGTGCAGTTCAACGACTAAATGTGAGTCGGCCATAAGATGGCTTAAGATATAGTCTGACCCGGTATGAAAGTACTGACCTTGAAGAATGTTTAAACTTTTTAAAGGTGACCTTATTTTTTGATAGTATCTTGTATAATGGATACAACTATATTAATAATAAGGATTAAACGGAAAAGATCGCCTTGTATCTATAGGGTGCAATCCCTGCTTTTATTCTTTCTGCTAGGCAGGGTGAGCTATAGATATAAAGATCCTTGCTTGGATGGCTTTTTTATTATTATACGTTGCTTAGTTACTAACGAGAGTCTTGCCTTTTTAAGTGGTCCCTCTTTGATGGCTTTATTTTCATTTCACAGATTAACGCTAATAGGCGTTTCTTTAGGTACGTGCTATACGCATGGTTCAAGTTATTCGGTATCTACTGAAAAAGGTGGTTCTTATTTAATGTGTAAAGTAAATGAGCCCTCTTTAGAGGCTGCGTCATACACTCCACACATATGTAAGTTTGGTATTAAAACTTATGATGATCCATTTAACACACGAGCCTTGATACGTGAGGACAATAAGGATAAAGTTGGTATTTATTGTTGGTTTAACAAAGTTAACGGTAAATTCTATATAGGTAGCGGTGATCCTTTATACGCAAGATTAAGTGACTACTACCAAGATTGATATTTTTCTACTCGTGCTAATTTATACATAATTAGAGCTTTAAGTAAACATAGTATGTTAAAATTTTCTCTGGTTATTTTAGAGTACACCACAAGCGATAAGCTGATCGCTTGTGAACAAAAATGAATTGATTTACTAAAACCTGAGTATAATCTTAGTCCTATGGCTGGTAGCTCTAAAGGTTATAGACATACAGACGAATCTTTAGAGAAAATACGTAAAGCAACCTTAGGTAGAACTCATACTAGTGAGGTAAGACAACTTATGAGAGAGTCTCGTATAGGTGTTAATAATCCTTTTTATGGCAAAAAGCACTCTGAAGAAGCAATAGCTTCTTTAAGACTTGCTGCTACGAATAGAACCAAGCCGGCTGTTCCTGGTATCGAAGTAGAGATTACAGATCTTGAAACTAATATTACTACGACGTATGCATCTATAAGAAAAGCAGCTGATGCCATTAACTCGGATATAAAATCTTTAAGTCGTCGAGAGAAATTGCAGATAGAAAAAGGTATTAACACAGCTTATAGAAATAAATACATGATAGTGTTTAAAAGACCTTAATATTTGCATTAATGATGGCTTTTTTGTTACTATACGTTGCTTACAAAAATATTAAATAAATTTTATTTCTAATTACTTGATGCCTATCTTTTTTTTCTTATAGCCTGATTAAGTATTAAATACTGTTTTAATAAACATTGCACTTGTGCAGTGTTTATTAACTCTTATTAGCTCAATGGTAGAGCAGGATATTTCTAATATCTAGATCTAAGTTCGAGTCTTGGATAAGAATAATATATCCATAGTGATATGGGTATATTTTTTCACGCTTGACAATCTATATATATATAAATACTCTTAAATAATAGGTAGCTTTTAGATAGTGTTGTTTAGATATCTTTGGTTTAAATCTAATGTATTTAAATATATTCTCACTTAAGCTATTTTAATAAATGTTATTAAAAATAAAAATTATGTTATAAAAATAATATTTTCTTTTTAATGAATTTACATATTGTATAAATAAATGTTATATTTACCTACTTTAATTTCAGTAATTGAAGTTCTATTAGTCACTGTACCTGTCTTATTAACTGTAGCTTATGTTACAGTGGCCGAAAGGAAAACCATGGCTAGTATGCAAAGAAGATTAGGTCCTAATGCTGTAGGGTACTTGGGCCTTCTTCAAGCATTTGCGGATGCCTTAAAACTTCTTTTAAAAGAATATGTTTCACCTACACAAGCTAATTTGGCTTTATTTTTTCTTGGTCCTATAATAACTCTTATATTTTCATTACTAGGTTATCTAATTGTACCTTAGGATTATAGGGTAATATAGTCAAACTCCGGGGAGGTCCTAAAGCTTATTTTACCAAGCTTTAACTGAGAGGTTAAAAGTGGATGAATTAATTACTCATGTATGGTAACAAGAAATAAGATACTTTCATTTTTTTTTGCTCGAAAAAAAAGGAGTAATGGATGATCGCGGATCTAAACTAGTTGTTAGATCTTACCCTGCAACTGTAAAAGAGCAACGAGTAAATGGCTATAGATATATACATAACTTTTGTAATATATTTAAGATGTATTCTAATGAGCTTAGAAATAAGCTAAGGTAAAAAAAATTTTGTCTAAAAATTTCGACGATTCACCGTTAAATGGTTCTAATTCTTTAAATGTTAATACTCGTCGTTATGTTACATTATGTGATAACAAGCATAAAATTGACGATTTACATCTTGGTCCTTGATTTATCACAGGGTTTAGCGATGCCCTATAAAAAAAGAAAAAAAAAGAATGAAATGTAATTTTTTATTTATATTTATTTTTATTTTTATTTTTTTTTTTCCTTTTTTTATTGGGTTGTTTTTCTTGTAGTGTTATAAAAAGTTCCTCTTACAAATTAGGTTGAGAAGTTCAACTAAATTTTCAAATCAAACTACATGTTAAAGATTTTGCACTTTTATTAGCAATTCAACGTAGTTTAGGTGGAATAGGAACTATAAATAGCAACCAATCTTCTTGTGCCTTTAGAGTAAGAAAACTTAAGGAGCTAATAGAATTAGTTAAATTTTTTGATAAATATCCTTTAATTTCTCTAAAAAGAGGTGATTATTTATTATTTAAGCAAATTGTATCAATTATGCAATTGAAAGAACACAACACTTTAGAAGGTTTACAAAAGATTATAAACATAAGAGCAACCTTAAATTTTGGTTTATCCAAAGAATTACAGTTAATGTTCCCTGAAACTATTCCAGTTCCCCGTCCTTTAAGAGAAACCTGTGTAATCCCTCATTCAGATTGAATAGCAGGATTTACAAGTGGTGAAGGTAATTTCTCTGTTTCCTTAGACAAAGGTATCTTTAAATCTCTATTGTTTAAAATAACTCAGCATGAAAGAGATGAAGTGTTATTAACAGCAATTAAAGAATATTTTAATTGTGGATATTGTTATTTAAGAAAACAAGAGAATACAATAGATTTTAAAGTTACAAAATTTTCTGATCTTAATAAAATAATTAGACCTTTCTTTATTAATAGTCCTATATTAGGTGTTAAATCTTTAGATTTCAAAGATTGATGTTTAGTCATTTTTTCCCTTTTTTTTAGTTATAAATATTATCTTATTACGTGAATAGTATTATATAATAATAAAAAAAAGGGAAAAAAAAAGGGAAATGGTAAAGAAAGAAGAACATAAGTTAGAAGAAGGTGCTATTAAAATAAGAGAGATTCAAAGGGGGATGAATAGGGGGAGAAGTTAGTAAATTTATACTATGAAAAGGTTTTTTTTGTATGGTCCTGGTTTAGCTTTAAGTGATATTAATCTGGGTATACTTTACATGTTAGCCGTTTCTTCTTTATCTACCTACGGAATACTATTAGCGGGGTGAAGCGCTAATAGTAAATATGCTTTCCTGGGTTCACTTAGAAGTACAGCACAGTTAATAAGTTATGAGTTAATTTTAAGTTCTGCTATATTACTTGTAATAATGTTAACAGGTAGTTTAAATCTGACGGTTAATATAGAAGCTCAAAGAGCTATATGATTCGTAGTACCCTTATTACCCATATTTATCATATTTTTTATTGGATCTATAGCAGAAACTAATAGACCACCTTTCGATCTGGCAGAAGCAGAGTCGGAGTTAGTTAGTGGGTTTATGACAGAACATGCTGCAGTTATCTTCGTATTTTTTTTCTTAGCTGAATACGCTAGCATAGTACTTATTTGTACTGTTGCAAGTATGTTATTTTTAGGTGGTTACTTATTCAACATTACGCCTCTAGTTTATATAATACAATTTTTTGATTTTGACTTTTGACTATATTTAACGAATAATGGTAGTGATACTTATGTAATACTTGATTCTGTAGTTGAAGGACTTCTTTATGGTCTTTCTTTAGGATTTAAATCTTGTGCTCTTATATTTACTTTTATATGAGTGAGGGCATCCTTCCCTAGAATTAGATTCGACCAGTTAATGTCTTTCTGTTGAACTGTATTACTTCCTATAGTTATTGCATTCGTGATATTAGTTCCTTGTATTCTGTATAGTTTTGATATTATTCCTAGCAATATTTCTTTATTGGCATTACCTCTATTAATACCAAGAGAACTACCAGAATTACAAACTAAAGCTACGGAGCCTCTAAGGTAAGAGACATATATACCACCCTCATAGAATTACCGGTTTTACTGATGCTGGAGGATGCTTTATGATTAAGGTTAGTAAATCAAGTGTAAATAAATGAGGGTGGAAAATTCAAGCGAGGTTTCAAGTAAAATTGAGTAGTAGAGACATAAGTATTTTAAAGCGTATACATGAATTTTTCGAGTCGGGACTCTAGCTGTATACAAAAATGACGCTGTTTTTACTGTTACATCCGTTAAATATTTAATTAATGTTGTACTACCACATTTTTAGTCTTATCCCCTATTAACTCAAAAGTTTGCGGATTCTTTATTATTAAAACAAGCTGTTTTAATGTTGGAAGCTAAAGAAGACTCTAGTTTAGAGGGTATACTTAAGATCATAGATATCAAATCTGCCATAAACTTAAGACTTTCCGAATCCTTGCTTAATTCTTTCCCAGATGCTGAACTAATAGCTAGACCCAAGGTTACCTTAGGGGAAATTGTAGATCCTTATTGATTAGTTGGTTTCGTAGATGGTGATGGTTGTTTCCATATAGTTACTCAGAAAACAGAGTCTAGCTCTAAAGTTTGACTAGCTTTTCAAATAACTCAGCATTCTCGAGATACTTTACTAACGGGAAGCATAGTAAAGTATTTAGATTGTGGTAAGGTTTACAACAGAAATTCTACACCTGCTGTCGATTTTAGGGTATATAATTTGGATACTATTTCTTCTAAGATTATACCTTTTTTTTTATAACATCGGTTACAAAGTGTGAAATCACTAGACTTTAACCTTTTCCAAGAAGCCTGTGTCTTACTTCTTAAGGGTGAGCATCGTACACCCTCAGGATTGGAAAAGGTAAATAACCTTAAGAGTAAAATGAATAAGAGTTATAATAGTGATAGCACAATAGATTTATAAGACTAACGCACATTCCTTTTGATTTAGCCGAGGCTGAATCGGAACTTGTTAGTGGTTTTATTTTATTTTTTTTTTATAAATAGTTTAATTACTACGTAGTAATTAATTTATAATTATAAAAAAAGGAAAAATTTTAGAAGGGGGGGGTAGTTATTTTAGCTAAGTTGTTGTCCTTTTTATATGTTCGTTTAAATATTAATAAAAAAAAAGATGTTTGTTGCCTTCGTTATATTAGTTCCTTGTATATTATATAGTTTTTAAATCATCCCTAGGAATATCTCATTATTCTAGCTCATTAATTTAAGTAATAGGGCTAAAAGTATTTTATATAAAAAAAAATATTGTGAAAGGTTATTAATAATGTCTAGTTAATCTAACCCGAAATGTAAATATCTATGTGATATTTTTTAATCTTACTTGTTTTGTAATGCTTTCGTTTTGTAATGCTTTCGTTTAATTATATTTTATATAGGTCCATCTAAATTTCAAGGGTTTGTAACTCTACCTTTACAAGCTTCCACTACTGCAATTCTTCCTCTTTTTTTTTTTAATGTCTTCGTTTAAATAATAATCCATAAGTAAAAAAAAATTTAAATGCCACAACTAGTACCCTTTTATTTTATAAATCAAGTAACATTTGCCTTTATCTTATTAATAGTGATGATATATGTCTTTTCAAAATATATTTTACCTAGATTTGTTAGATTATTTATTTCTCGTGTTTTTATAAGCAAATTATAAGTTATTTTTTGCTTGTATCATTATACCTTGAGGATGCTATTACCCCCTTTTTCTTAATATAAGCTTTATCTCTCCTTTTCTCGGCTCCCCTCCTACCTCCTCAACTAGTTGAGGAGGATGGAGGGGAGAGTAGGAAAATTAGGTTAGCTATCTTATATTGAAAAAAAAAATATATAATAAACTATCATAATATTATTAGATAAAACAATATATTTAATCCTCCCTATCCTCCCATATTCTGCTCCTATTTGTTCAAAAAATAACACCTAATTCTAAAAATTGTTTCAATACCAGCTATATATTTATGTATATGCCAATACTTATAGTTATTTATATTTATTCACTATCTAGTGTTGTGTAGGTTACTAGCGATGGATAATATTATGATCTTACTAAAACAATGCTATCTTCTTTTTTTTCTTTGCTCCGCACACTAGTGTGGGATCTAGTAAGAATAATAGAGACGGATCATATAACAATAATACAGCTAGTACTCCTAATGACTCTAATAATACAGCAAGTTATACTAACGCTAAAAATAGATTAATTATAACTATAATATTATTAATAGTATTAGTACTTGCATTTGTATTATTAAGAATATTATTAGATAAAGCAGTATTATTAGATAAAGCAATATTATTAGATAAAGCAATATTCTTAAATAAAGCAATATACTTAATCCTTTTTTTTATCTTTTGTTCGAATATTAATAAAAAAAAAAAAAAAAATGTTTAATTTAAATTATACTCAAATACCTAGTCCTTTAGATCAGTTTGAAATAAGAAATCTATTAAGTTTAGATGCACCTATATTAGGTAACTTACATATCTCCTTAACAAATATAGGATTATATTTAACAATAGGTGGTTTATTAATATTAACTTTAAGTGTATTAACAACTAACTACAATAAAATAGTAAGTAATAACTGATCAATAAGCCAAGAAGCGATTTACACAACAATACATAGTATTGTTACTAGCCAAATAAATCCCAGAAATGGGCAAATCTATTTCCCTTTTATTTACGCTTTATTTATATTTATTCTGGTGAATAATTTAGTAGGATTGGTTAAAAGGAGCCTAGGTATTAACAATAATATTTTGATAGTCTTAACTAGAAAAACCAATATTAGCCCGACTACGTTAAAACAATCCCAGACTAGAGCATATTCTACTTCATCCACTTGTAAATCTCCCTGTTACAACATCACGGGGAATAACACTTACAGTCTTAACCCTTATTATATTACAGGGTTTACAGACGCAGAGGGGTGTTTTACTATATCTATCCTTATAGATAGTAGAATGTTAACAAAATGGAAAGTTAAACCTATCTTTAGTATCTCTTTACATAATAAGGATATAAAAATATTAAAGGCAATACAAAGAACATGAGGTGTAGGTAAAATATACAAACACGGTAAAAATTCAGTAGCCTATCGTGTTAGTTCTTTAAAAAATTTGAGAGTAATTATAAATCATTTTGATAAATATCCTTTAATAACTCAAAAATTTGCAGCAGATTATCTTTTATTTAAACAATCTGTTGCTTTAATAGAAAATAAACAACATCTTACTATGGAAGGTTTAACTAAGCTGGTTAGCCTAAAAGCTAGTTTAAATCTAGGTTTACCTGAAAATTTGCAAGAGTCTTTTCCTAACATAGTGCCTGCAGTAAGACCAGAGGTAAAACCAACACTTGGGCAGGAAATAGCTGATATTAAATATTATAAAAAGTAATATAAATAGTAAAAGAATACATCCTTAGCGTAGCACTAGTTAGAAGTAGAATATAGCCTTGAGGGAGATTTAAACAAGTAATGGTTATGATTGATTCGATGACTAGATGATATTTAGACGGGTAGTATCTACCTTATCTCGTGCATGTTTCCAAACATACAGCAGAGATTAGGGATAATGAAGTACGATATACTTTGGTGTAATAGCGCCAAGGTAAAAAATAGTAATTACTATTATGGTAGCGTTATCGGTAAGATAAATATAATTGTTATAATACAAAAAATTTCACTATAAGCTAAAACCTTCTAATGCTTTAGGTACGATATCTAGAAATAAGCCCTAAAGGTATAGGTAGAGGCCTGCTGCCTCCGGAAGCAGGATGCTAGCGCTGCTTTATTTTTTTTTTATGTATGCAAGTCCTGTTTATTGGCGGGTTGGCTTCTCTTTAATAGACGTAATAATTCTAAAGATAAAACAATGAACAATTAGCTAGAAACCTCCTAGTATTTAGTGTAGACATCAAGATGCACATCAGCTACAAGAGCATATGGAGGGATCCTCAGAGACTATACGTGAAAGTCGCTTATATTCTTTAAGAACATAGCAGATAAGAAATAGTCCGATCGTATAGGGCTATATGTCCTATATGATAGTCCCTATAGTTTTGCTAGTACAAGTCACTTTGCAGTAACATTTGCCTTAAGTTTTACAATAGTTTTAGGAGCAACTATTTTAGGGTTCCAAAAACATGGCTTAGAATTTTTTTCTTTATTAGTACCCGCTGGTTGTCCTCTAGCTTTGCTACCTTTATTAGTCTTAATAGAGTTCGTTTCCTATTGTGCCAGAAGTGTATCACTGGGATTAAGATTAGGGGCTAACATAAAAAAAAAGTCAGAGTAGGTGTCTCACTTTATTGTGTTAAATAACCAAACTCCGGGAAGCCCTAAAGCTCTAATAACTAAAGATAAGAAGCTGGCTTCTTATCCGGCCTCGTTAATGACTGAGGGTATAGTAATATCATTAGAGATCCTAGTAATAGGAATGGGTGATCGCGGATCTAAATCAGTAATATTTGAAATGATTGCTGTAAAAGAGCAACGAGTAGACGGTTATTCATATTCTATACGTTTAGATTGTGTAAGGTGTACTCTAGTCGCCGGGAGATCCGGTTCTTGTCTTTATCCATCCTGCATTACTAACCTAATTACGTAGGGTCGCTATGCGGGGGAGAAACTAGGTAATTCAAGATTAAAGTTATCACAATAGCCTATCCTCAATTATAATCTTTATCTTTGTTTTTATTCTCTCTATCTACTCGGCTCTGGAGTAGGAAGAGGATCGAAAGGAAAATAAATATAATAATACCATTATTATATAAGTCCATATATAATCTTTCGGTTATTTCGTATTATGTTTAGTTTATATTTTAACACTTTAAAGAAAGGACAAAGTATATAAACACCTTTTAATCCAGGGTGCAAAGTTTATATATACCTTTAAAGAAAGGATATGTATACGGCTAATTTTATATTTTATTAAAAATTATACTAATAGGTCTTTGCTGTACACAACATCTTATTGTTTTTAGTTATATAACGTTAGATCACGTAGCCTGTTATGTCAATCTAAAAATTATACCTTCTCTACGAAGTGTTTCAGACCAATAGTCGTAAGGGCGTTTTCAACTTCAAATAGTGGTAGTTTCTCTTCTACAGACTCTCCCGCTTTAGCTGTTTTCTCTGATGCGGATAAAGACAAACTAAATGTCCTTAAATATGTTAAAGGTAAATCTGGAATTTATATATGAAATAATAAAGTTAATGGTAAGAGTTATGTAGGGAGCTCCGTGGACTTAAGGCGTAGATTATTGCAGTATTACAATGTTAATAGACTTATGAACGAAGGAAGTATGCCTATTAACGTTGCATTGTTGAAGTATGGTTATACTAACTTTAGTCTTACTATCTTAGAAATTTGTGACAAAGATAGTCTTATGTCTAGAGAAAAACACTTTTTTGAAGTATACTCTCCTGAGTATTACATATTAAAAACACCTGGAAGCCCTTCTCGAGGATCTGGATGAACTCATTCTGAAGCTACAATAGATAATATGCGTATCGCTGCTTCTAAGACATTCAAGTCTCCGGAATTTTTAGATAAGTTGTCTAACGTCATCTAGTGTATCAAGTAGAGGTAACCTGATTTGGAAACAAATACTACTACTATTTACCATGCGATTAGAGCTGCAGCCCGAGCTTTAGACATTGACAAAAGATACATTGAACACTACGTTTACTTAAAACAAGATAAGCCTGTTTTAGGAAGATATATGTTTAGAATACTAAACTCAGATGAAAGTATAAATTTAATTAACGAAAAAGGTTCAAAAAACTTATATGAAAGTGGAGGTTACTAATGTCTATACTAAAGAGGTTAGAACATACTCTTCTGTTAGCGCGGCAGCTAGAGCATTGTGCTATGGTCAAGCCAGTTTATCTTTATACTTAAAAGAAAATAGAACTAAACCTCTTAAAGGGATATTTTTATTTAAATTAGTTTAAATATCAAGACGTACTTTAGATATTACTGATTACTGAGGGGCTTTGGTCTACAAGATAAAGTTGCTAATTGTTTTTAGGATTAATAAGTATTTGCTACTTGCTCATTAGGCGCACCAGCTTCTTTTTTTTTCTTTTTTTAGTTATAAATATATAATTATTACGTAAATAGTATTGTATAATAATAAAAAAGGGAAAAAAAAAATAGGGGATAAAATTATAATTTGAGGATAAATTTGTGAGGCGATTATCAGGTCATATGCTATTAAATATCTTATCAGGTTTCACATACAATATTATGGCAAGTGGTATTGTATTCTTCTTCTTGGGCTTGGTGCCGCTTGCTTTCATTATAGCCTTCTCAGGTTTGGAATTAGGTATTGCCTTAATACAAGCACAAGTATTTGTGGTTTTATCCGCAACGTCTTGCTATGAAAGATGCTCTAGATCTGCATTAACGTGGTTAGCTGAGTTAATGATTGCGTACATAACTAGATGCCTTTTATTTTTTTTTTTATATTACTACCCGACATTAAAAATCCCACACAGTTGGAATTTTTAATATTGTGGATTAAACTAAAACCTCCTAATGAAAAGTAATTTTAATACTGATATTAAATATATTAAAGCTTACCGTTCGTATTTAGCTGCTTCCCATTCTATATCTGTTGCGGTGAGTATTGTGTTATATCAGGATATAATTAGAAAGCGAGAGCTTTCTAGTCGATTAAATGTTAATACACCTCCCGCTAGTAGTAGTGGATCTGAAAGTGGCTATAGTTCAGATTCTAATCGCTTAGCAGTATCGGAATCCAGAGACGACTATGCTCTTAACCATATGCCTACTGAGGATGTGCCCGAGGATGTGCTTCCTCGGTTTGTTAGCACGATGGAGTTAGTTGCTCGGGAAGCACAGGGCGACCCAGATGTGGGGCAATTGCATGCGGACCGTTACCAAGCCTTGAAAACAGAAAGGGATTCGCGTATAGAAGCATGTATTATGCCTAGACCTAATGTAGGACAAGTAAATATTTATTCAGAAAGTGGTGGTGCTGAGACTTCAATAGGTGATAATGCTGCTGAGACTTCAAGAGGCGGTAGTGCCGTTAATAAAAGAGAGTCTAGTAGTAAAACAATTGATCAAGATGCAAGTACTTCATTTTTTTTTCCCTTTTTTTTTTTAGTAATAGAAAAATAATTATTACGTAAATAGTATTGTATAATAAAAAAAAAGGGAAAAAAAATATTTTTTGCGGTACGGAGCCTATAAAACTAATTAGTTATTTATTAATAGATAGACTTATCCCTTATATATTTTTCTGTCTTTAGACAGCGGGCATAACTACCTAGCGGTGCGGAGCGGAAATATAAGGAAATTTGGGGGGGAGAAAGCTTAAATTAGAAGTAATTTATGATAAAGCCCTTTTAAGACTTGTCTTTAGTTTTAGCATTTATACATTTGTATGCAACTACTCTATTAGGATTGTTCTTAGTTGATATCTTTTTTATACTGGCAGACTGTCTGAGAGATAGTATTATTTAAGTAGCTAAGTTATATGTTAAATAAAGTAGTTCTAGTCATAAGTTTTTAAATAATAAGAATATTATTATGTTAATAGATTGTAAAAAAAAAGCAGTACATGCTAAGAAGGATTACTAAAATTAGCTATTAATAATACGAAAAATGCATTTCCATATTGCTAATTGAGCCTTTTTATTATAAAGCCTGTCTCTGCTTCACAGTAAGAAAAACGAGCAATAACGATAGACTAGTAAGTAAAACCTTAAATTTAGACACTGAAACAAACAATATATAAGACAAATTAGCCTTTCTTTACTTTCTCGTTTTAAATCCTACAAGGTTATTAAAAACTATTTTGAATAGTTTAATTGCTTGCTTTTGCTATAAAAACTTCTGGTTTTTTTTATGTCTTATAGGATGGTTTAAATTATTAACAGGTTACAAGCTATTAAATATCCTATCAGGCTTCACATACAATATTATGACAAGTGGTATAATATTCTTCGTTATAGGATTAATACCATTAGCTTTCATTATCGCATTCTCAGGTCTTGAGCTGGCTATTGCCTTTACACAAGCACAAGTATTTGTGGTTTATCTTCATTATACATAAAAGATGCTTTGGATTTACAATAAGTAAAGTAAAAGTAGCCCATACAGGTTATTTTAATCATATTAACTCTATTTTAAGAATTAAAATAGAAAGACAGTGTATTCAAACATCTTTTAGTATACCTTCTATATATGATATTTATCCTTTATTTTGTTCATTGTTTACAATATGCATAGTACCTTAGTACTCTTTAAATCTTTGCATTTTAGCTACAGTTACGGCTAGTACTATGCATGATGCATCTTTAACTATCTTATTAATTTCGGGGGGTTTCTCTTGTACAACTTTTTTTATATTATTTGTTATATGATTTAATTTATATTCCATTTCTCTCCCTCCTCCTCAACTGGTTGAGGAGGAGGGAGAGAAAAAGGGGATAGAAATATTATATTTTTAATATTGCAAATCTTTATTTTCTTCTATAAAAATAAAAGTATGAGATTTTATATTATAGCTTTATTCTTTGTATGTATTGGAATTAACTTCTTAGCTATAAACACATTTATGGCTTTATTTAGTATTGGTTCGTACACTAATTTATTATCATATTTATATCTACGTTTAAATTTATTTCCTTTTACTGTATATCTTAATAAGGTTGTAATGACTAAGATTATAAATTATTACATTTATAGATGTAAAACAGATTATGGCTTATTTAGTTTAAATATGTTTAGATCTATAACCTTGCCAAATTTATTTTTGATGGGAGGTTTTATTAGTATATTTAATTATTTAAATATAGATTTAGCGGACTACTTATTAAAAGCGGATCCTTCTGAACCAAGTGGAAAACCAGGCCCAGGAGGAAAACCTCAGCCCGGCGTAGTTCACCCTATATGGATACAATTAGGGCTAAGGTTCTGTGGATGTGAGATCACGGAAACAATAGAAGTAAGAACGTTTTTTCTATATGAAGTGTAGTGCTGATGGGTTTGATCCTAATATTGCAGCAGAAGAAATTACTTTTTTATCTCAAAAGGTACACGATAAGGGTTTTAGTAATACTTACCCTTATACTATACGTAGGTTAACTGTAAATTCTGAATTACGTAGGCCTTATCCTCACATGGGTCTCTTTAGAGTTGTAAGAGTGCATACAGGTGCAGAAACTAAGTTCTTAGATAGGTACGAAGATTTTGTTCCTGGTACTCCCCCCTAAAAACTTTAGAACTATAGAGTATTCTCCTGCACGGCCTTCTAAATAGTTTATAAACTTCTTAGAAACTATTAATTAGTTAGTTAATTGCTCTATAAGTAGTGGGTTTGTCATCCTTAAGTTTAGAACTAGGAATAGCTTTTGTACAAGCACAAGGTTTTAGGGTTCTTCACTATATATAAAAGATGCTTTAGGTTTACACTAAATTAAAATTAGTTATTAATTATGGTTTTAAATTATTTTTAATGTAGAAAACTAAAAAAAAATAAACATGTTTTAATAAATACAATTAAAACCAGGAGTTATAGAGTAAAGATAGTTAACTATCTTGAAGGTAGATAACTATGTTGTGGGGGGGGGCAGGGGCCGCCTTGACACCGGTATGCAGGGAAACGCCTCTGAAAGCTTGATGTTTTTATTATACTGTATTCTGGCCTGTCTTTTTATATTATACTATAAGGTTTTAATTTGATTATTATTAAGGGATGTGTGAGTAGGTGGTTCTACTATTTGATTGCAGATCAAAATTTTTAGGTTCGATTCCTACATATCTCTACTCCCTATGTGAATAGGGTGTTGTGGTTATTGAGTGGTATCTTTTTAGGTTTTACTCTTTATTGTAGAAGATAGTAGAATAGCTTTTTTTTCTTATCTCATTTTTAAGGCTGCTGTAGGTAGTAAGATTAATACTTGATATGTCCTCTGGCTATTCTGTGATGATGACGCACGGGTTTAACCGTACTGCAAGTCTAATCCTCCCTGCAGGATAAAATAAAAGGGAGAGGTGTTAAGTTTTTTTTTTGTCCAAGACATATTGCATTTTTTAGCTATGTATCTGGAATCATGTAGGACGCTATTTTAAGCTTTAGCATTAAATCGGTTTTTTGTATTTAAGGAAAATTTTTTTAACCTAAAAAGTCTTGTTCCCCGCCAGGATTTTTGAGTCTTAGTGTATTTAACTATTCAATATACATTAGCTATGAAATTGTATAGTCGTTGATCTACTCTACCTTCTTGCTATTCTTGTAATTCTTTTTTTTTTAGTTAGATAGTGGATGGATAGGCGTAGTTTGACGTAATGCAACCCTTATCAGCTTTACTTGGCTTTTGAGGGGTCTGCCATGATTTATGCCAGGGGTTGACCTATAGATTAAGTATGGTTGCATACAACTAAGAAAAATAAAAAAAAATGATGGAAAACACACAGTGTATAGCTTTGATTTTAATTTGCAGGATTTTGATATTGGATGTAGCAGTGTTTGGTTGTATTTAGTACCCGCAGGTTTGGAGGTTTTAGGTTATCTAGCGGAGGGTTGTTTAAGGACATTTGATTCTATAAAAGATTCAGTTTCTGGATTAGATCTTGAATCCAGAAACAAGGGATGATGCAACTCCACACCTTTTAAGAGGTGTTATATTTTTGATCTATATTCTTATTGTTTAATAAAAATAGCTAAGACATTAGGTTTGCTTCCTACTGGTGTTATTATTTGTTATTTAGCGCCTTCATTATCTAGTTTTGTTAATTTTGTATTTGGAATTTTTAATAAATCTGGGGCTAAAGTCTTTGGTGTATTAAAGGAATTTGGGGTTAGTTAGAATTTTAACTAAATGTTATGGAATATTAAGCGATGCAGATGTAGGGGGTTCGAATGATGGGGAAAGAAAGCGTGCTCATGATAGTGTAGCTCCTAATAAAGGTAAAAGAAAAAAAAATAGGGGTGGCAGTAGTAATGACAGTGATAATGGTGCGGTGATGGTGGTGACGGGCGTAGAAGGAAAAGCCTTCAGGTGGAGGTGGTAGAGGTAAAGAAGCTGTCAAACAGGAATGAGCTAGTAGGGTTACTTTAGTAGCTCTTTTATATAATATTATAGAGGCGGTTGGTATACAACAACAACAAATAGTGAATGGTAGCAGTAATATAGTTAGTTTAAATAGTAGAAATTGACGTATTCAATTAGAGTTAACTCAAAACTACATTAATAGCTATCACCCTGATTTAGATTTTAACTTTCAATTATTTCTGTTTAATATTACTGCTTATGCAAATGCTGGTGTTGATATTGGAGGGAATATTGTTCGAACTGTTACAGATGTAAATAGAGATATAATAGTCAGTGATTTGGAGGAAATAGTTTTTGGTGCTAACGTATTATTACAATCTATAGACCTTAATTATGACGGGAGGGTTCCAAGTTTTTTTGAGAATAATGATGACAATGACAACAATAACAATGATAATAATGACAATAACAATAATGATGATAATGATAGTAATGATAATAATAACACACACTGGAAATAACTCAGGTTCTAGCTCTAGTACTCCTGACCCCGGAGGGGTTAGGCTTAACCAGAAAAAAGTCAGGGTCTCCGTAAAGCAGGGTATACCCTAGATTTCGTATGTAGAATTGGTACGGTAATAGGAGGTGGAAGAAACTTTTTTGGAATGTTTTAAAATGGAACCTAAACAGGGTTGCGGAAACCTGATTACTTTACCTTGGTTTCTGTGTGTTTTCGTTAATTTGTTAGTAGATTTTTTAGAGTTTTGGTATATGTTTGGTTTATTTATGTGTTATTTGCTTTTTATCTTGGTTTGGTTGTTGTTATTGTTGTAGGTGGGTGTGTACTTGTCTTGTTTATTCTTTTTTATTTTGGTCAAGAAAGCGTATTAAGATACTGATAACACTAGAAGTCAAGACTAATTGTAGTATTCAAGGGGTGTATTTCTGATTTATCCTGGAAGCCTCTTTATACAGTTAAAGGCTAGAGGTGATGACGAAATGGAAGTATACAAGGTGTAGAGATAGAAAACAACCTCTACCTCCTTAGCTACTAGGGAGTTGTTGGTCTTATTTGGTCTTATTTGCTTTTATTTTGGTTAGGGGATTATATCATTTATATATCGGCTTTGTTTAAAAACATAAAGTATTCAGCTTGCTTGAATTTGGTTGGTCTCCTATACTCTAAAGGTATAGGGTTTGAGTAACTTAAACCTCCCTAAGTGTATGTAAGGGTCTCACCGTTAGTCGTTTGGCGGGATAGTTTGCGTCTAAGTCTCGTAAGAGCTTATGGTACCATCTGGTATTAGTTTAAAGGCACTAATAGTTTTTGGGTATCCTAATCGATCATGCACCGTGGTTTCTCCTATCGCTGTCTTGCCTTGGTTTGTACAGGTCTGAGGAGATGATAATAGAGGAAACCTTATTTTCCAAGTTGATTATGCCTTTATTTACATCGATGTAAATCTACTCAAGTAAGTATACCAATTCAATTGGTTGCGACTTATCTGAAGTTGCTTTTATAGATTAAGATGAATAATTAATATAACAATAATAACACGATAAATTTTTACAAACGAACAACTATTTTTTCTCTTGCATTGCCTTTTTACACGGCTAATAATTTGATGCGCAGAGCTTTTTCTTCTTTTTCTCTCCCTCCTCCTCAACTGGTTGAGGAGGAGGGAGAGAAACGAGGAAAAGGAGACAATTTGGCTCTGTCGACATTATGTTTTGATGCTATTAAAACATATAGATTGTACAATAAATTAGATATAACGGGTGGAAATAACTTTATTGTTGAGCAAAGATCTTTTTATTCTACGAATGAGAGAAAGGAAAAGTTTAAGGAGTTTATTAATGTTAATACTACTCCTGTAAAAACTAAATCTAAAACACATCAAATTTGGATAGATTATATAAACTTCCTTTGAGATGATTTTGATACCTTTGTAGAAAGTTTATACTGTTCTAATAAACTTTTACCTAATACAGATTGTTCTGTATTATTAAAGCTAAGAGAGGGGAAGTTTTTGCTACAATTGATAAGAAACAACAACACTTCATGTTTAAATCGATGGAGGATATTTACCCTTTTGAGAAGTTGTTTTATAAAATCGTTGATAGACTTAGTGAGTTATTTAGAGAGTATGATAATATATTTGAGGGTACTTGTGATTCGGTTCTTTTAGAATTTAGACAAGTTAATGTCGATGTTACGTTAAAGATTTCGAACTTAGATTTTATAAAGGCTGAACACCCTAAGGTTAATATGACTGAGATTAGTAGAGATTTGAGTATTTTTGGTAATACACTTAAAGACGTTCAGGGTTCTCCTCTTAACCCTGTTGTTGTAGATGGGAAATTAGTTATATCAAATACGTTTGATGTAAAAAATCCAGATAAGTTTTTAGAAGAGTATAATGTTAATATGACTATAAATAATAAAAAAGTTTATTATTTAGTTAATGATTCTACTAAGTTTTACCTAATATATCGTATGAATAGACCATATATTATTAGTGTTAATATGTCTGATGAGGGGGTAGACAAAAGGTTTTTTAATTTTTATGGAGATCTTATATCTAAGGTTAAAGATATAGATAATAAAGATGGGACTTTTAAGAGGGAAAGTCGAAATAGTACTCTTGTGTATAAAAACGATACTATATTATCTGTATCTAGAGATATTGATTTTTCTCCTATTAAAATGGTGGGGAAAATTTTAACTAACAATAGGAAAAACTGACTACCTAATTCAAATATAGGAACTCTTGACTTAGAAACATATGAATGTGACGGTGTGTCTTGTTGTTATGCATTAGGTTTTTATTGTAATGAATTTGGTCAGTGTAATACATATTATATAGATAAAGGTTTGGATAGTACTATGTTAATACATACTTGTCTAAATGAAATGCTTAAGTCTAAATACAATAAAAATACGTTTTATGTACATAATCTAGGTATGTTTGATGCTCCTTTTATAATTAAAGCTTTAATAGATTTCAATAAAACAAAAGAAGGACAAAATAACCCTTATATTTTAGATATTACAACTAGAAATAGAGAAATTTTAGAATTGAAGATTAAAAGAAAAGTTAATGACCGTATCCATACTGTTAATATAAAGGACAGTGTTGCTATTTTACCTAGAGACTTAAGAAGTCTATGTAAAGATTTTGAAGTGGAAACAGAAAAAAGTTTCTTTCCTTATAATTTCTGTATGAAGGATTCTTTGTTTTATGTTGGTAAACACCTAGTATAAATTATTATGAAAATATCCCTACAGAATATTACAATTCATTATTTAAAGAAGAATGATCTCTAAAAGAAGAATGTATAAGATATCTAGAAAAGGATCTTATAAGTTTATGTCAAGTACTTGTTAAAGCAAATAGAATTTTTCATAGGTTATTTAAAATTCAAATGACTGATTTTTTTACAATTTCTGGTATATTTCAACAAATTTTCCTTGAATTTCACTAAAATAAAGATGAAAAACCTATACCTTTAGTTAATAATAAAATTGTTTGAGACGATATATATAAAAGCTATTACGGTGGAAGAGTAGAGGTGTTTAATCCTTTTTTTATTACGGACAAAAACCCAGATAGAAAGTTATATTATTATGACGTAAATTCTTTATATCCATATGCGTCTTTGAAACCTATGCCTGGTACAAAATGTAAATATCTAGAGAGTTTTGGACTACCGTTGGACTTAGAAAATTTATTTGGGTTCTTTTATTCTAAAGTAAAATCTAAAGATAACTATTTAGGTTTACTACCTAAAAGAACTCTAAAAGGTAATTTAACTTTTCCTCCTCCTCAACTAGTTGAGGAGGAGGGAGAGAAAAAGGGAGAGTGATATGATAGATATTTTTCTGAAGAATTAAAATTTGCAAAAGATAGTGGATATAAAATAGATGTAATTAAAGGTTATAACTTTGATTCTGTTTTGGATGTATTTTTAAGTTTTGTTACAAATGTAATGGGAATTAAAATTAATGCTAAAAATCCTACAGAAAGAACTATTGCTAAGTTAATATTAAATAGTTTAATAGGTAGATTCGGTACGGGTTTCTTAAAAAGTATAACTAAATTACTGGATGCTAAACCACAAGATTTAGTCCTTAAAACTAGAATTGTAAGTGGTAGTATAGAGATTGATGCTGATGCTTACTTAGATACATTTAAATTAGAAATAGACAAGGGAGTTTGTGAAGATTTTGGTGTTGACTATATTAAGGCTTTAAATACAGAATCTATAGAAGAAAAGTCAATTAAGGGGAGATATCAAACTGTGTCTATTCTTATCGCATCTGCTACGTTATCCTATGCTAGAATACGTATGACTAAATTAATGTTACATATTTTAAATAAAGGAGGTAAGATTTATTATACAGACACCGATAGTATAGTTACTGACTACAAACTGGAGGATGAATTTGTAGACAAGTCAGAACTAGGTAAGGTTAAGTTAGAACATGAAATCAAAGAAGGTTACTTTATCGCGGATAAAGCTTATGCTTTTATTGATGTATCAGGTAAACTAATTAAAAAAGCTAAAGGAGTGTCTAGTGAATATTTAGCATTAGATGATTATAAAAATATGTTTAAAGGAGAGTCTATAAATGCGTAAAAAAAAACATCTAAAAGAGATTACAAAAAGGGAAGTGTTGTTATAAAACCTAAAAATATTCTAATTTTAAGTACAGAGTATTATGACAAACGTACAAAGATTTTTGAAAAAGGAATCTGAGTAGGAACTAGACCAACTATAATCTAAGTTTAAATACAAGAGATGTACTAGATCAAAATTATATCGTAAACTACAATTATGTCGGAATTTGGCTTTTATTTCTTTTCTTATGAGGAAAAAAGAGTAGCAAGTGTTAAATTAATCTTAATCTAGTAATTAAGATTAACTAAAACTGCATAATTTTTTTATCAAGATCTTGGATCTTGTGTTTTTTTTTTTTTTACCTCCTATTAGAACTAGTACTATAAGATTAGTTAGTGTTAAGTTAGTCTAAGATTATAAGTATGATTAATGAATGTTTAATGTAAAAAAAAAAGTTTATTATTACACTAATAGTTAAAAAAAACTGTATACTTATTATATACAGATAAAAAAATCTTATTTTTTTTTGTTGGAAGCTTGTGCGTTGAAAACTAGGTTTCTAATAAATAAACGTTCATTATTTATTAATTTTATTTTACTAAGAATATAGACTTACTTAGCCTTTCATAAACTCTTTCTTTATTTGGTACATTAAGGAATTCTGATAAGTCAGGTAAAACTATTTTCTTTTTATTTATATAAATAGTTCTAGTTTCGGGAGAATATTTACATTTACTCTCACCTTGTGTAATAGTAATTGTATTTATAATATCCTCATCAAATTTATGAATATATCCTTTGTCTGAGTATGTATTAATATACACTGTTCTTAATCTCTTTATTAGAAGATCTATATATTTAGCTGTAACACCATAACAATCGTGAACACTCTAGAAATTAAAATAACTATCTTTTTGGTTAGTGGGTTTAGCTAAAGAGACATATAGCAAAGTTAAAGTAGCAGCATCTAAATAATGAACTAAATTAGGCCTAAAAGCTAATAATTGTTTATTTTTATCCTTTTTTATCTTGTCTGTAATACTTAAACTCAAACTATTAGAAAGATATGTAAAAGGTTTTATTTTTAATATATGTTCTTTCATATATCTCTGACTAACAACTAATCCATGGGGTAATCTTCATGTTATAGGTAAATTTAATTTGTTTAAGATTTTACCTATTTCATTGAAATAATTTGTCAAGAATTTTATCTTAGGATATTTTACATGAATAATCTCTTCTATGTTTTTAACTAATAACTCTATATCCTTATAATTTACAAGGTTATTAGACCCTTGATCTATCTTATATCAAGTGGTATAATCAACCCTAGGTTTTTTGTTACCATCTAACTCTAGATTATCTGGATCACCTAATACCTTATGTTCATCAGTATGGTCCCAAGCTAATATCCCCTTAATAGAACTAACCAAAGTTCTATTTGTTGCGTTATAAGGTTTATTCATAATCACAGGTTTTATAGTTTTCCTGTTTATACCTAACGCCTGTACCCTTTTGATAGATATAATTTGTTCTTCTAACTCCTTAATCATCTCTTTTCCCTTTTGTGAATCGGGAGATTCTTCTTCTTCTTCCTTAGTAAGAGTTGAGACCTTTACGTCATATTCCTCTCAATGCACTAACAAGTCCTTTAGCGATACCTATTTATTCTTTTTATATTCAAGATGAATAGTTAATATTTCAACTATATGACTATAAAAGTCCAAGGGATCTTTACTCTTATTACTACTTCCTAGATTTAATTTATCAAAGATTGATGTTTCATTAGATGATAAAGCTAAATGTTGGAATCCGTTACATGTCCCGTCTAATTGTATAGGTAGATTTGGTTTAAACTCTAGCATAAACTCATTATTTAAGAAATTATTAAGTCTTCTCATTTCAAAGCAAAAATATAAAAAGAGATATTTATCATCTGCTTCTAGAAATAATTTATTATTTTCAAAATCTAGAATTCTATCTCAATTGTTTTCAACTCATTCTAATCTTATAGTATAAAATTTTCTGTTTAAACCATTTCCATGACAAGTAGCACCATAAGCTTTTAAATATTCTATAGCTTCTCTATTTGTTCTTTTTATTGTATCTGGTCTAGCAAATAAAATTAAAGCCTTAGCCAACTCACTAGCTTGGTAATGAAAATACGCAGTAGTAGGATATATTCTTCCTCTTTGATCTAATCTTAAAGGAATATATGTTTCAGGAACATTAGAAAAGATGTTAGCTATTAATAAAATATGTTTTTCTAACATTACTTTACTTAAAAATTGCTGATATTCTCTTTCTTGTCTCTTGTTACGTTTTATATTAGCTAAAGGGTGAATATAATCAGAACTTATTAGCAACCTATGGAGATGGTTATATTTTAATAAATAGTTTAATAAATCTTTATTAATTTTAAAAGGAGTTGCCATCATATTATTTATAGCTCAATAAATTTCATTATCCTCCTCTTTTTTAGAAGGATTATCATAAGCTTTTTTATACCTATTAAGTCTTCGTCGTATTCTACGTTATTAAGCAAATAACCACCCAATTCTCGTTTAGAATACTTCTTAGGAGAGACTATCATAGGTAAATTAATAGGTAATATAGCTATAGGATTTTGGTTATTTTGTTTTTTTTCTATCTCATCGGTTAACCTTAAAATAGCCATACTACTTTTACCGTCATTAGAGGTAATAACTTTAACCTCTAAAATGTTACAACTGCACATAATATCGATTAACTTACCAGATAGACGTAAACAGAATTCACTAGTTTTAAACACAGATTGTTTATCAATTTCTAAGAATTCTTTTAGATAATCTCTAAAAGATTTTTTAGACACTAGCGGACCCGCACCTAAGGAATTTATATAAGCTTTATATAGTTTTGATGTATAAGCATTAGATATTAATTTACCAATATTCATAGAAAGATGGGTAACACTTATTTTAGTCCTTTCATCTTCTTTATATTCATCTCCATCTAATACCATATTGTTAAAAGTTACAACTAAAAATAAGAGATAGTCTAAAAAAATGGACTATCTCCTTGTTCTCTAGACCATTTAAAAGCTTCTTAACATAAAAGTCGTGGATATCTACACTATTAACCAAACTATTGATATTCCTATTAAGTTTTACATCGGAGAGAAAAAAAAATAAAAAAATAAAGATAAAGAAGTAAAACCGTTCAACGACTAGAGGGTGAGTATGCTAACAATAATCCTTCTCTTAAACCCAACATATTTATTTATCCTGTATTAAGTCAACTGTTTTGATTATTGTCGTATAAAAAATATCCTTTGCCAATTAATTAGTATAGATTTAATTTAAAAGGAAAACGTATAAATTTGGTCTGATTATTTATTAGTAATATAGATTAAAATAAAGATAATTATTATTAATATGGCTTCACAATAAAAAAAAAATTTTTTTTTACTCTGCCCGCCCCCCCTTTTTATCTTTATTTTTGCCTTTTTTAATAGTTTAATTACCTCCTGGTAGTTAAACTATTAAAAAAAAGGGTAAAAATAAAGCAGTGGTAAAGGGGGGGTTTATAATAAGGGATATAAATAAAAAAAAAATGTAGGACAATTTTTATATAAAAAAACTAAAGAATAAAGAGTAACTGATTTATATTTAGGTGTATTAGTGGGTTTAACCTAAAAACTTAATTTAAATAAAATATATTTAATAAGTATATTTTACATTTAATAAATTAAGATTTTAAATAAATATAAATGTCATATTTAATTACACTAATACCAGTAATTTAAATCTTTTTAGTTACTGCACTTTTTTTACAATACATAATGTAACAGGGTTTTTAAGCAAGTTTAGCTTTTATATTTTAAAGTATATAGAGACCTTAGTTTAATGGTAAAATACGAGACTTTTAATCTTTGTTATATGGGTTCGAGCCCCATAGGTCTTAAATCTGCCTTCATGCAAGACCAGTACTGGTCTTGCACCTTTTTTTCTCTTTTTTTTAGTTATAATAGTTTAATTTCTACGTAGTAATTAAACGTATAATAATAAAAAAAAGAGAAAAAATCGGGGTAAAACTATTCTTTTTTTTTTTTTATTATTTTATAATAAAAAAATAAACGGCCATAGGTTAATGGTAGACCTTTCGTCTTCCAAACGATTTGTGTCGATTCGAATTCGGCTGGCCGTAAGGGTTAATATTCTAATTGGTAAGAACCTTCTTTGTCATAGAAGTGTATATCGGATCGAGACCGGTTTAACCCGTATACTTATATATAATAATTAAAAGTATTTAGGAAAAGTTGTTATTGGTAAAACGAGATATTTGCTAAATATTGTGTTCTACACCTGGATGTTCGAATCATCTCTTTTCCGATATAATATAAATTATAAACAGTATACTTTAACATTAAAATATAAAGAGCATAGTTTAATGGTAAAATTTGAAGCTTCAAACTTCACCTTCTCAGTTCAAATCTGAGTGCTCTTGATGGTAATTTTTTCTATCTTATTTTTATTATTATCTAATGCCGTTACTTTAAGACGAGACAAATCTATACTTTTTAGTAGAGTAGCTATCACAGTTTTACTCTATTCTTCTTTAATTGCTTTTTATAGCTTATACTTTTGTTTAGATAGTGGTATAGGTTTATATGGTGGTTTATTCCATGCTACAACTACCACACATGTTTTTCATATCTTTATCTTTTTAATTAGTGCTGCAATTTTACAATTAACAGCTTTTTATCCAAGAAAAGTCTGAGTAGCTGAATATTCTTCAATAAGTAAGTTGTTATTTTATAACTTTCTTTACTATAGATCAAGAATAGTAAATAAAATGGGAGAGCAATTTAAAATAATAGAATACCCTTTAATATTATTATTTATTATAACAGGAGCTATATTTTTAGTGTCAACTAGTGATTTAGTTTCTATTTTTTTATCTATAGAGCTGCAAAGTTATGGACTATATTTACTTAGTACATTGTATAGAAACTCAGAATTAGCCACAAGTGGTGGTTTGACATACTTTTTATTAGGTGGTTTAAGCTCTTGTTTTATACTTTTAGGATCTAGCTTACTATATGCAAATTCGGGTACAACTATCTTAGACGGTATATACGTTATTACTAGTTTAAGTGATATAGGTAACAATGGTCATGCTTCCGCAGAGAATATTTTGTATTGATATAAACCTTATTACATTAATTTTTCTTTACTAATTATGAGCGTAGGGTTCTTATTTAAAGTTTCAGCAGCACCTTTTCATTTCTGAAGCCCTGATGTGTATGACGCTATTCCAACTATTGTAACAACATTTGTAGCTATAGTAGCTAAGATATCTATATTTATATTTTTCTTAGAATTAGTACATTATACAAGTAATTCATTATTTTCTTTCCAATATAATTGAACTACAAGTTTACTAGTTAGCTCTTTACTTTCACTAGTAATAGGTACAGTTGTAGGTTTAACACAGTTAAGAATAAAAAGATTATTTGCTTATAGTACTATAAGTCACGTAGGTTTTATATTACTAGCATTGAGTATTAACAGTATAGAGTCTATTCAAGCCTTTATATTTTACTTAATGCAATACTCAATTAGTAATTTAAATGCCTTCATAATATTAATAAGTATTGGTTTTTCTCTTTACTATTACGTTAACGATAATGAAGAATATAAAGAATTAGCCGATAAAAATAACTCACCTATACAATTGATTAGTCAACTGCAAGGTTACTTTTACATAAACCCAGTCTTAGCCTTAAGTTTTACTATTACAATATTTTCTTTTGTGGGTATACCACCTTTAATAGGATTCTTTGCGAAACAGATGGTTTTAAGTGCTGCTTTAGATAGTGGTTACGTATTCCTTACATTAGTAGGAATATTAACAAGTGTAATAAGTGCAGTATACTATTTAAACATAATAAAACAAGTTTTTTTTGAAAAACCTGAATATAAAATAAACCCGGAAATAGTAAATATAAACTTACACGGTAGTATTATTAAAAATAATGTTTTAATTAAAAAATTAACATTTAAATTAGACAATATTGTTTTATCTAGTTCTTTAACTATAACAATTTCTGTGTTAACCTTAATAATACTATTATTTATATTTACCCCACAAGAATGATTAAGTATGGCTAATATATTAGCATTAATATTATTTAACGCTTAAATGACAAGTACTACTTTTTTTTTTGTATTTATACCTATATTAGCAGTTATATTATTAGCTGTTAATCTTATATTTGCTCCACACAATCCTTACCTAGAAAAGGATTCAGTTTTTGAGTGTGGATTTCACTCGTTCTTGGGTCAAAATCGGACTCAGTTTAGTATCTCCTTTTTTATTTTTGCGCTTTTGTTCCTTTTATTTGACCTAGAGATATTGTTAGTCTATCCCTACGTAGTTAGTGCCTATACTAATGGTGTTTATGGTTTAGTAATAATGCTGATTTTTTTCTTAGCATTAACTTTAGGTTTTGCCTTTGAACTAGGTAAGAATGCTCTTAAGATTGACTCTAGACAAAACTTACAGTTCTTAAACCTTGAAACTGACCGTGTCTATAGCTATTGTTACGAATCTATAAACCATTCCAGTTTTGGTTCGACCAACGCGAGGGAAACCACTAAATAAAAGAATATACTCTACTAAGTGTAATACGTTTAACTCTTCTACTGAAGTAGCAGGAGGAAAAGTATATTCAAACGCTGACACCTGTAAAGCTCTTATTTTAGCGGATAACAAGTTAAATCAGGTATCTACCGTTGAGTTAACCTTACAAATAACAAAAGTTATGTAGGTTCAGTTATTGACTTAAAGGAAAGATGCCTTAAGTAAGATAACGTTAATCATCTAAGAAGTAATACTAGTATGCTTATATATAGAGCTTTGATTAAGTATGGCTACTCTAATTTTAAATGGGAGGTTTTAGAATATTGTGCTCCAGAGGTGAGATTTGTAAGGGAGAATTATTACATAAAGATTTGTTCTCCCGAAAACAAAATAGTCCTAGAATCTAACACTACGCCTTCTAGAGTAGGTTGTACACATAGAGGTAGTACTAAATCCCTTATTTTACTTAGTCAACCTGCTAGAAAGATGGTGATGTTACAGACACTTTAACTGGACAATCAACCATCTTTGATTCTATAGTTTCGGCTGCTAAATTTTTAAACGTTAAGGGTACACAGATTAGTAACTATTTTTTTTTTTCTCCATTTTTTTTTCCCTTTTTTTAAGTTATAAATATATAATTATTACGTAAATAGTATTGTATAATAATAAAAAAAAAAGGAAAAAAAAAACAGGGAGAAAAAAACTGAAACCAAGTAAAACCCCCGCTCATTTCTCTCCCTCCTCCTCAACTAGTTGAGGAGGTAGGAGAGAAAAAGCCAGAAAAGGTACATTTTCAAGTTAATAGATAAACCTGTTATCTATGAAAAAGTTGATATAATTGAAAGCTGATGTGTAGGTATAGAAACAGAGGTATTAAACCTAACTACTAATGTAACAACGACTTATAGCTCTGTTCGCGCCGCAGCTGGAGAATTAGGGCTAGAACATTCAACTATAAACAAATATACAAAATTAGACGTACCGTACAAAGACCTCTACGTATTTAAGAAAAAATAATATATAAACTTAATAGTTTTAAATATTATATAGTTGTATACAATGCTGTATATATATATGGATATTTTTAAGTTTTTTACGTCTATTTAGAAAAATTATATGTTATACTCAGTAACAAACATCGAGGGGTGGGCGGGAGGGCTTGCAGAGTGAGTGCAAGAAATGATAATTCTTTTATTTTACTAGCACATCCAATAGTAAACAGATACCTGTTATTGTAGTTGGTCTTTATCCTGCTTCGCAGGGTGCAAGTAAACCTTAGACTAATCTTTAAATATTTTAGGGTAAATATTTATTAGCTAAAGGCTAATCTAAATATGTTATAATAGTGTTTACTAGAGCCAGGAATTCATTAGTATAGATAGACAGCTATCTTGAAGGTAGATAATTATGTTAATGGGCGGGATGGGTCCTTAAATGTTTAGGGTTAAAATACTCTTTATATAAATAGATTATTAAGCCTAAGAATAAATTCGGAAGCATAGGTGTTTCAATCTGCCCTTCACTTGTTTCTTTTTAGTAAATGAAAAATAAGTCAATAATACTTTTGATAAGGTTACTTATTTTTTATATCTATAATAGAAAAAAACATTTTTTTTATAAATATATATGCTTAATTTATTAAATTTAAATCTTCTTAATAATTGTGATACGCCTAGACCTTGGGGTCTATATTTTCAAGATAGTGCTACACCGCAAATGGAAGGTCTAGTTGAATTACATGATAACATTATGTTCTATTTAGTTATAATCTTGTTTGGTGTAGGATGAATAATGATTTCTATTGTAAGAAATTATACATCCGTAAATTCACCTATAAGTCATAAGTACTTAAATCATGGTACACTAATAGAGTTAATATGAACAATTACTCCTGCCATAATTTTAATTTTAATCGCCTTTCCATCTTTTAAATTATTATACTTAATGGATGAAGTGAGCGATCCCGCCATGTCTGTATTAGCAGAGGGTCACCAGTGATATTGAAGTTATCAATACCCTGACTTTTTAAATACAGACAATGAGTTTATAGAATTTGATTCCTACTTAGTACCAGAATCTGACTTAGAGGAGGGAGGATTGAGAATGTTAGAAGTAGATAATAGAGTGAAAAAGCCTTAAGCAAGCTTTAACGGCTCTTAAGTAACCAAACTCCGGGTAAATCCTAAGAGCTCAGAATACTAACCTTTTAACCTAAAAGGGTAAGTAAAGGGGCCAAACTAATCATTTGGGTACAGTAACAAGTTCTGAGATTTGACGAAAGTTAGAATGGATGTTCGCGGATCTAAATCACCTCTTCTTCGGCTCCCCTCCGTCCTCCTCAACTTGTTGAGGAGATAGGAGGGGAGTATAGTAAAGATAGCTTGGCACTTGGCTGAGCTTCATTATGATTAATGTGTAAAAGAGCAACGAGTAGACGGTTACTCGCCATATGTTAGGTTCGAACCTCGATTACCTCAGAAAGTGAGGGTAGATATATGGTGTAAGGTGTACTCTAATAGCCTATTATTTTTTTTTCTTTTTGGCTGCTCGGCAGCCTTAATTTATGGTCTGCTACTAATAAATTAAGACCGTAAAT